ACTCGGCAATGATCGCGGCAAAGCTGACCCACAATGCGGCTCAGCGGATAAACGCCTTCGAAATCACCCGAGTCCAGTCACTGATCAAAGCGGTCAAAGAAAGCTTTAAGCCGGAAGGTTCAGGAACATACGTGAATCTTCAGAGGAGGTACATGTCACTTACCCGGGCAAAATGTGGGAGTGCACAAGCCCTCGGGGCCGAGATCAGAAAGATCCATGCCGAGAAACTTTTACTCGACCCCGCATGTGTCACTTCTGAGATTGAACGAACTTTCTTCTTCCTCCATGCCTTAGGTCCAGAATATGAGAGTTTCCGCGACCATGTCTTTCGGCAAATGGACATTGTCAATGATAGAGATGAGGACGGAAATATCACCAAAGCAGCTCCTACATTCGACTACATTGAGAACAAGGCCATTGAAGAGGAACACAGAAAAGGACAGCTGGGCAACCAACCCGCAGATGCAAATGCCCTTCCTGCCTTCACACTCAGTCGAAGACTTGAAGACAAGAAAGTCATACCGTCTCCAGATGGGAAAACTTGCCGGATCGAGATCAACAATGTCCCCTTCTGTCTTTTCTGTCGAAAACCCTATCACAGAGAGCCGCAGTGTTTCAAGAAGAACCCTAAACCGAGGGACCAAGGAAAGGAGAGAACGACGCGCAGATCAAACCCCAAAGATGCGCATGCGGACCATCGTAATTCATCAAAGAGGCGGGCCAGTACGGATCATGAAGACGACGATTCAGAAGGACCGAGAGACCCCAAAAGACCGACGTTTATGGCGACACAAGCCTCAAAACAGGATATCAATGCAGCATTCGGAGCCGAAGTTGAAGGAAATGTTGCCACATTTGATTTCATTCCCAGCATGATGGTCACGAAGGCTCCCTCGATCAGTGAGGCCTGGATCGTGGACAGCGGATGTGCTCAGCACGTCTGTAACAATGCCTTGAGATTCGTTAAGATGGACAAATATGACGGTCCACCATTGCGAAGCGTCGATACCTCAACGGCTCCTTCCGGCATAGGAGTGGCAAATATCTTGTGCAATGTACGAGGAAGAAAGAAATGGCTTGTTCTAGATGACGTCTTGTTTGTCCCGACTGCGCATGCGAATCTCATATCCGTGCTGCAGCTTCTCAATCGGGGGGCAAAGATTGATTTCTCGAGAAATGGCGCCTTTATTCGGAACAAATCAGATGGGAGAAATCTGTTCACTGCGAGCCAATATCATGGAGTCTACGCACTCGACCTATGGTCGAAACCTGCTTTTCCAGCCTACCATGTCAGCCCGCAATCGGCACTTTGGCACAATAGGCTCGCTCACATGAGCGGTGCGAACATACAACGACTCAAAAGGCAAGCTCACGGCATTCAGGACGATACACCACGCCAACCTTGCAACGCATGCCTTCAGGGAAGAATGATTGAAACCCCCATCGCCGTTCAGAAGCGTGCAAAAGAGCCACATACGCCATGGAACTCCTCCATATCGATGTTGCAGGACCTTTTGAGGAGGGCCTTGATGGTAGTCGCTACTGGCTAACCATTGTTGACGACCATACTGGATGGGTTGAGATCGTCCCCATACCACAACGGCAAGAATACGTCGTGGAGTCCTTGCGGTACTTCCTCGACCACAATGAGCGCCCTGAGCGCAAATGCAGGCGCATTCGTCTTGACCGGATCCCGGAACAAGTGGGAGAAGAAATGAAATTTACCCTCTTCTCGAGGGCAATCCGAGCCGAAGTCACGGGCGTCGACCAGCACCAGCAGAATGGGGTAGCGGAAAGAGCCCACAAGACAATTTACGACCGAGTCGGACCAACGCTCAGGCATGCGAAACTACCGCCCAAATTCTGGCCGGAGATTGCGCGAACTGCGGCATTCCTCTCAAATCGATCCCCATCATCCAAACGCAATATGACTCCGTACCAAGCTTGGTATGGTGACAAGCCTGACCTGTCACGGCTGAGAGTCATAGGATCCAAGGGAGAGTATCTAATTCCACCCAAACAAAGAAAGAAGCTGACGGGACCAAGAACAAGGCCATGTCTACTATTGGGATACGAAGGTAATACAAACTATCGCATCCTGCTAGAAGACGGCAGAATCATTGGTACGCCAAATGCAGAATTTTATGAAGTCCTCAACACTCCCTCCACGCAGACCATACAAGACGTGGGAGCCAAACAGCAGAGCTTTCCTGTGGCAACGGCTGCTGCCGCAGGGGGGAGTGAGACGGTGGGACTAATAAACCAACCGTCGGCCAGTATGCGACATGCATCCGTGCCAGCCTCGGGGCGTCAGGCATCCCTGGCGCCACAAGAGCAAACACAGCCTGGATCATGGGACGACATAGTGCAAGTGCATCTGCCTCAGTCGAGTGATAAGACCTCGCAGCCCGCTGTTGCTGGCCAAGGAGCTATAACCTTTTCGCCTACACGGAGTGATGATACCTTCGGGCCCTTATCACCTGCTTCACAGGATTCCGCCCTTAGGTTTGACTCACCACCCGGTAGCGACCAGCAACAAGGCGATGCTCAGCAAGGGCGAATCCCAGATTGGCTAGATTATTCCGAGCTACGAGAGGGTGGTGCAAAACACTTAGTGCAAAAAGACTCACTGGAACGCCACCCTGAACTCAAGCTCCGTGACACACAAACTTTTCGAGACACATCCGGTTATGACCAAGAAGAACTCGCATTGATGAATATCCCCGACAAGAACGTCATTCCAACCTTCTTGGCTGTTGCGGCGGAAGAGATAGAACCCTTCGAACCAAAGTCCCTTCGACAGGCCAAGAATGATCCACGCTGGCTCGAATGGGAAAAGGGAATGATCGAAGAGATACAATCACTCAAACAAAACAAAACTTGGGAAATGGTTGACCCTCCCAGGGATCGCCGAATCCTGAGCGGGAAGTGGATTTTTAAACTCAAACGAGGATCAGGCGGAGAAATCGTCCGCCACAAGTGCAGATGGGTAGTCAGAGGTTTCACGCAGGAAGAAGGTGTCGATTATGATCAGACATTTGCTTCCGTAGTCAAACCAATGAGCTACAAAGCCTTGTTCGCAATTGCCGCAGCTCTGGATCTCGAGATCGAACAAATGGACGTCAAAACAGCGTTCTTATACGGCGAGATAGACCATGAGATCTTTGTTGAACAGCCTCATCACGCTACAGACGGCACATCGAGGGTCTGCAAGCTTCGCAAGGCACTCTACGGCCTGAAGCAAGCACCTCGTATCTGGTATCAGACGCTGACCAATTTCCTTCGAGATCTTGGCTTTGAGCCCATCAACGCCGATCTCAGTATCTTTGTTCGGAGCAGCATGTACATCGCAGTATACGTCGATGACCTCTTGATCATCGGACCAAGCATTGCAGAGATAAAGAAGATCAAGCGAAGCCTCAGAAACCGTTTTCATATGACAGACCTTGGCCCCTGCAGCTACTATCTCGGCATGACTATCCGACGAGATCGGCAGAACAGAATCCTCTATCTGAGCCAAGAGGCTTACGTGCGCAAAGTCCTTCAGCAATTCGGGATGCTGGACTGTGCTCCTGTCAGCACACCCATCGACACCTCACCTCTACCAGAAAACGGCCCTGAATACATCTGCCCGTCGAATATGAAGAATGAATACCAGCGCGTGATCGGATCGCTGATGTATGTCATGCTTGGGACTAGAGGCGATATCGCATACGCTGTCTCGGCGGCAAGCAGATACTTGGCAAATCCTGGTCCACAACATGTGAAGCTCGCCCGCCGAATCCTTCGATACCTCAAAGGCACCAAATCTCTCAGTCTCGCATATAAAGGCCAGCTCCAGATGCTCCGTGGCTTCACGGATGCAGATTGGGCCGGCTGTCGCCAGACAAGGCGCTCGACGGCAGGATATCTTTTCAACATTGGAAGTGGAGCAATCAGCTGGCAATCAAAGCGCCAGAATGTTGTTGCCCTGTCAACCTGCGAGGCCGAATTCATAGGCCAGACACAAGCAACCAAGGAAGCTATCTGGCTGAGAAGACTCCTTCACGAGCTGAATATGGGCCAGGGACAACGGGCAACGATCATTTGCGGCGACAACCAGGGAGCCATTGCGCTGGCCTCAAACCCTCAATATCATTCGCGTACAAAGCATATGGAAATCCAGCGAAAGTGGCAAGGAGAAGTCCAAGATGCCGGGACAGTGGAACTCAAGTATATCCCAACGTCAGAACAGATAGCGGATGGTTTCACGAAGCCCCTTGCACGAGACAGATTTGAATGGTTTCGAGAAGGCCTCGGCATTGAATAATAGCCCGGTCAGACACGAGCCTTCAAACTAAAAGAAAAGAAAACAAAACAAAAGACCGGCATGCAAGCACCCTTTCCTTCCTTTTTACCACTGGTTTTGGGAGGTTTTAATGGGGCTTGACAACCGTGATAAAAGATCGCTAATCTCCTTCGTCAGAAGGATATCAGCGAGTGGGAGTGTTGAAATATCACGGTTACTGGGATAATCATGTGGGCTGGGATCACGTGCATGCCTATATACCTGTTCACCAGTCTACCTGTATCTTAGACAATCAACTCCCCTAAACAACATAAACACTGAAGCATCACTATAAATCAACACCGCCCACGGGTTTGCTGACTAAGACCCAACCCAACCCGTGGGCCGGGTTTTCGTGGGCGGGTTTGGGCCGTGGGCGGGTTTTGGCGAGGCCTAATCGGAACATTCAACTACATATCATACTCGTAGTAACAAGTGATTCCTGGGATGACTGAAGAAAGGATCCGCCGGCTTCTACCTTTTGATACGACACTGGATCAGCCGGGCAGCGCTTTGTCCATCGATCATCCCAACTTGGATTGTTCCACCCACAATGTGAAGAGACTTCGTCGAATTTATAGTCTTTGTGGCGTTCATCATCAATAAGGAGACCAAGTATTTGATCCAGGAGAGGCTTTTATTCCGAGGCTAATGGCCTTAAATGGCCTCCAGTATGTATAAGGGCAATGGCAATCGCCGTGTGGTGTGGGGCTACGGTACCCCGGGGTACGACGCCTTGCTCGGGACCAGGATGGGAAAGGTGGCTGTATACCTCGTGTTAGGTGTGTATCCCCGAGGAACCTGCCGCATTGCCCGGGTCGTCACCTGGGAACACAACTTGGAAGCTAATTTGCGCTTCGATATTGAAGCAGTGTGAGTGAATCTGGTTGGCTGTTCATTTTTCCATTCCGGCAGCGGTAGTGCTTTGGGGGTGGTAAGTAGTTGAAATATTTTATTTATGGACGCATGTACATTCAAAAATAATCTTCAGCTAATCTCCGTGGGCGAATAATGAACAGTAGACACTCAGCTATCTGAGCTAGATGGGTTAATATAGCCTAGCTTGGGCGTACCGAAATGCTCGTTTCTGCCACGTCTTCGCCGATGTCTTTGGGCCTTTAAAGAATGGGCAACAAAGTCTCTCAAAACAGAAATGCATGAGCCATGTGATGCTGGCATCTCATCACGTGGTCGCAAGCGCATTCTGTGCAATTCGACCCGATTGCGCAATAGTTTGAGTCAGTGGATCTCCAGGCGAGATGAAACTCGCAAGAGGATGTGCATCTCCATCGATTCTCACGATAAAACCTCTCGGGTGCCCTCGAGGTCCAACTAGAATGGTCAACGAAGAATGGTTTTCCCCATTTTTTGGGCAGTTGAGGCGTGGAAAGAACGAACCGAATTCTGGGTTCAAGAATGGTCGTATCGGGGTGGGTCAAAGCTCAGACCCTTATTATATCAAGCTATGACGTTTCTGTGGCCCAGAAAGGTGATCTGCGATGCAGTGTCACGAACTCGTAGCCGATGAACGAGACTCTTGATCACAAAAATCGGTAACGGTGGTTGACTCGTGGACGACTCTGTCTGTAGGACAGAATACCTAAATCCATGCCGCTAGGAGATCACAAAGATCACAATGATACCAATATTGTAATTTCGACTGCAGGCAAGTCGATACTGACAACAAGGATGCATCTTGCAGATCATACCTTAGGGTAGGCTAAATGGAAAGCGAGGGCCGATCCCGCATTCCGCGTGCCTTGGCGCTTGGCAACCTTAACCTCCAAATTTTCCACGGGTTTTCTCCAAACCCCATCCTACTTCCCCAGAGAACAGCCAGCGTGTTGATACGCGCGATGCAACCGCGACAATAACACCCTTCTCACTCGAGTTCGTTCGTGTTGGTGCCCAGACATATCGCAGTCGCCCCCTCCAAGATGGAGGGACTATCCAAAATCGAGAGGGAAGGCGACGTGGGGCCGCCCGGCGCAGACGACGACTTCCAGGAGACCAGCTCAGTGCCGACCATTGAAGAGGAGAAGATGGAGCGAACACTCATTCGCAAGATCGATTTGCATATCCTCCCGTTTGTGGTACTCCTGTACCTGTTCAGCTTTCTCGACCGAGGTATGTGGTGCCATTCTGACTCACCATGTCGTTTGCGACCGTCGAATAATTGCTGACGACCAATTCCAGTGAACATTGGAAACGCCCGTTTGTACGGGCTTGAAGAGGACATTGGACTAGTCGGTGATCAATACCAGGTCGCCGTCTCCATTCTCTTCGTCACCTACTGTGTACGTTCAGCCGTCGGCCGAAACCTGAAAGTCAGCCGCTAATCCACCATCCAGCTCTTCGAGGTCCCCTCAAACCTGGTCATCAAGAAATTGAGACCATCGCGATACATCGCCGCCATCTCTGTGATATGGGGCATCATCGCAACGCTCACGGGCATCGTCCAGAGCTACGGCGGCCTCATCGCCTGCCGAATTCTGCTCGGCGTCGTCGAAGCCGGTCTGTTCCCAGGCTTCATGACCTACCTCACCCTATTCTACAGCAAGCGCGAAATCGCCCTGAGAACGGGGTATCTCTTCAGTAGTGCTGCGATTGCAGGTGCCTTCGGCGGACTCCTCGCCTACGGTATCGGATTCATGGATGGCATTAGCGGCCTGCGCGGTTGGCGATGGATCATGATCCTGGAAGGTATTCCAACCGTGATTCTGGGCCTGGTGACTTGGTTCTACCTCGCGGATGACCCCGATACCGCGTACTACCTTAATGAAGACGAGCGTGCACTTGTCGTTCGTCTTCGGGGCCGGTACGTTGGGCAAACGGCATCTGCGCAAAAGTTCCATTGGGCGGATGTGAAAGAGGGCGCTCTCGATTGGAAGATTTATGCCTTTTGCGTCGGCCAATTTGGCGTCGACACCATGCTTTACGGGTACAGCACCTTTCTTCCGACTATCATCGAGGGAATGGGCAATTGGTCTGTCCCGCAAGTCCAGGCATTGACTATCCCTTGCTACGGACTCGGCGCGATTGTTTATCTCATAGTGGCATGGATAAGTGATCGGACACAGCACCGCGCACTGTTTGTCTGTATCTTCAGTGCCATCTCGGTCGTCGGATACGGAATCATGATCTCGGACTCTTCGTCCGGAGTACACTACCTTGGTGCTCTCATGGTTGCCCTGGGACTGTACGTCGCTGTCGGTCTACCGCTAGCCTGGCTACCTACGAACCTCCCCCGATACGGCAAACGTACGTTTGCGACGGGCCTACAGCTCACGTTCGGCAACGTCAGCGGTGTCATGTCTCCTTTCTTGTACAAAACCTCCGAGGCACCGCGGTACGTTCGCGGTAATGCAGTCACACTTGGCTTGGTCGGCTTTGCGGGTACCCTATACGGTGCCATGTGGTTTGCTCTTCGCGAGATTAACAAGCGCCGGGCGCGCGGTCTCGAGGACGAGAAGATTGCTTCTATGTCAGAGGCGGAAATTCAAGAGCTTGGTGACCGGAACCCTCGATTCTTGTATAGCACTTGAGAGAGAGCTTTGCATGGTAGACTGTTTGAAGGGAAATAGAGCTTAGACATCTGTATCCTTCATTCCCTGTTTTACAAATGATGGCGACGTTGATAGACTAGCGTTTGACGATAATATGTTCAATAGATCAATACATGTTCGGCTTTATCTGCCCTTTACATGATCAAGTACGAAATATTCTAATGATTGCCCATCCCTTGGTACCTCCTCGAATCCCATATAAACTTGTCAATGACAATGTTCGTTCTTCGGATTTCAGTCGCGCGATGCGCGGTAGTCCAAGGACATCTTCGATCAAGTCGGCGAAAGGGCATCTTCTCTCCTTGCGCTCATCAATCATGTACCAGGTGGATATTCGCTTGTAGAGAAATATGGCCCAGCATCCAAAGATTGTGCTTATTTTCCGGGGAGTAAGTCTGCTGACCAGAGCTTTTTTGTAAAGGAAACCTGGGAGATAGTAATATGTATGGCTTGCCAGTGTTTAATGGAATCAGATCTTACTGTTGACGAGCCTCAATTGCAGGATATCTTTGTAAGGCAATATCTCGGCTGCTACTTGCAATATGAACTCGAGAATCTCGAGCAGGACTCGCATTATTAATGAGGGAAAGCTGAGAGGTGAGACCTTTCAAATTTGTGAATGGAACAGAGTCATTCCGCCCCCAGTAGGCTGCAAGGTACAGCCACTATGACAAGGGACAAAGAAGTCAACTTATAAACTGTCGGCCTTTTATTTTGTCGTCAGATGGACTGCCCAGAAAACAATCCTGGGCAAAGTAGATCATTGAAGACATGGCCGGAGCCCACACAATTCAAACCTAACAAACAAATGGATGATGGAGTTGTCAGGTTGGAGATCCTTGGCGAGTAGCGAAGCTCGGTCGTCACGAAAGAGAAGCTGTAGTCGGACAAATCGCGCAGGATGATCGTCCTGCAACGAAATGGTATGTGGAAAAAGCGTGTTGGAATCCACTGACATGCTCATACAAGCTCTGAATCGATGACGTGACTGAATGCTATCCACTGGGCATAAGGTCAGCAGAGGGGTGGTTTATTATTGGGCGGGCCATAGTACCAATCTCGCTCATCTCTTACACAGCTCCCTCCGGGCAGCACCCCCCGGCCATCAGATTCCGACACCAAATCGCAACTGTTTCGATACCCATACCGATATTCGTCTTTCAAAATGTCTTCCATGAACAAGTCCAAGGCCGCCCCCGAGCAAGGTAAGTATGGATCTCTCCAGGTCAGTGGAGCCCTCTGCCGCCGTTGGCTTGCAGATCCCGACTACGAGGGATGCTACATCATTACCTCCCCCCAAGACCTCAGTTATCTACAATCTAATCCTCGACTCAGGGCCCAGATGGAGCCAAAGATCCACAATATCCACGGGGAGCTTCACCAGCAGGTCGTTGAGCTCGGTCTCCCAAACGAGTTCGATGCACCCGTCGAAAAGGGTAAGTCAGTCTATCGGAACTACACAATCCGACACGGCTCTCTCACCTGGGTGGGAACCATCGGACCGGGTATCGTTGTCCTTGCTGAGATCCAGCGCAGTTCGCACCCGATGTGGAACGCCCCCTACATCTCACAGATCACTCAGGCCCTCTACGCCCAGTGCTATGACCTCGCAGGGCTGAGGCACATCATCATCACGAACATCCAGGAAGATGAAACGAGTGCTTTAATTGAAGACCATATCCTTCTCTGGCCAGATAAGGGACCGTACACTTGGGAAATCGGAACGCCAGAATATGATGCTTTGCTGGGCACCAGGCTCGGTAAGGTGGCCGCCTACGTCCTTCTGGGCGCTCTTCCCCGCGGCACTCGGCGAATCAGTCAAATTACCCTTTGGGGGTGCGATGCCCCAGGCGCCGATATGCGGTTCGATATTGAGGCTGTCTAATTAGCCAAAACGTCTTGGCTTGGATTTTTTACCTCTGACAAACCTTGCCTTTGGACGATTGATGGAGTTGTTAAGATGAGTACCTCATGCCTTTTTTTCTGCTTTCTCCAGATAATGCACACAATGTCTAGTCTTTGTTCGACTCTAGTATCTCCCTTTGTCCTTTGTCTATCGTATCCTCGGCATCCTGGCCTATTTTCGGAAATCTGGTGGAGCCACGAAAAGTATAGAAGCACAAGAGTTGCCTCGAGTATTTCGTTTTCACCACATTTCAAACTCACCAAGCATCTACAGGATAATTCAAAGCACATCTACACAAAACTAACAATTCACAACATTACCAACATCACCAAAATGTCTCGCCAACTGAGTGACAATATCGCCGCAGGCATCAACGCCTGCGACGAGCATCATCCTGCTGCTCTACTATCTCTGACTCGAAGTCAGGCTCTGGTGCTCAAACGGCTACACCTACACCCGAAATCTCTCAAGTTAATGCTGGAGCTGGCTTTTCTTACGAACTTTCAGAAATTCAGAACCATCAACATCTAGATAATCAGGTGTTGGTTCCGAATCCGCCTGCCGCTCAACCTACTACAATTGTGGTTGCTGCTGATGAACACTCTGCTAGTGAAGATGCTTCTAACGCAATTACAGGTAGTACTAGCGCACATGCTGGTATCCCTCCGCAACCTTATAACCCTTCGCAGTTCAGTATTCCTCTGCGAACTACTATTCCTCCGGGAGCTACTATTCCTCTGCGAGCTACTAGCGCTCCGCAAGATACTACTCGCTTACCGTCTCCCAGACCCGATCCGTTCTACACTGTTGAACGCTCAGCAGCACGGTATAATGCATTCAAGCAGGCTGGAGCACTTCGACGCCGATGGATGGAAGATCCTAACGAGCCAGGTTGCACAATTTCCCCTGTTACCTTGGATTTTGAGCAATTTAGGACTCAGGACCATGGCGATTTCTCCATTAGTTCTAGCACTGCTAACGTTATGATCCTCTATGCAGAATTATCGCTTCCCACTGACGTTGCATACGAAAGTGTTCAATTTACCACTGACCGTATGCAGTGGATTGGACTGTGTGCATCTGGTATAGTAATTCTCGATGTTCTTGAGAGAGAAAGAGACCCAAATATCCCACATATCTCTGAAGTTGGCATGGCAAACTACGAACAGTCTTTCGCTCTAGGAGGGGAACCGCTGACCCGTATCTATATTACTAAGATGGCAAATGACCACACACTTGATTTCCTTGATAACAAGTTACATTCAGATGAGACTGGCTTGATATGGCCACGCAGTGACAAGCAAACGTTTACCTATGAGAGCCATCCGGACATGTTTGACACCACTCTCGGTACACCTCTTGGTAACGTCGCCGCTGCCATGATTATAGGTGGATATCCACGTGGCACTCGCCGCATCAAGTCTTTTACTGTCTGGCCTTATGGGGATGTGATTCCTGCTAGGATGAGAAACCCTACTTATGCACATTTGTTGTTCGAAACTGAGGCGATTGTTGTTCTGCTCACGAGACTAGTGGAAGTTCATAGAGATGATATTTTCTCCTTTCTCTTCTCTCGTCGCTATCGTTTATGGTCTTTGATTTGTGATCTTTCGCTTTATTGCTTTGCTTTTGCTTTTTCTTTCATATAGCCTAAGCTACCAGATCGACAATAAAAATGAGCTTGCTTTGTTGATTGCTAAGAAGCAAAAGGGAAAAAGAAAAAGAAAAAGAAAAAAGTAAAGCCCCTTGTTCAATATCTTCAGTTATCCAAGAGTCTGACCTTAGTAGTAAAATTCTAGTTCCCTCTTCCACGAGTGTCGTGGAGGTTCGCAGTGTTCCCTGCTCAAAAAAAGTGGTGAACTATATCTCACAAGTGTTCCAGAACACGGTGCGTTCTATCCCTTGGCAATTTAACAGCCCACATATAATGGAGGATACTTTGCGCTTGTGAGCCATATGATCTATTGTTATGAGTGAATATATAACAGATAAATAGCACCTGGCAAGCTCATTGTATGTGTCATGTGCTCCTGGCAGGTTGCTGCAGCGTGCTGCACGAGGGCATCAATTCGCCCCGGCTTGGCATCGTTACGGATCGTCGTCCTCGCGCCGGTACTTCGACACTACAACTCCTGCGATGAGCACGCGACCACCGGACAAGCCTAGACAATGTTTCTACGCTCACTCCTGAAAGTCGCACTTCCGACCTTTGCAATCATCGGGGCTATCGCGTTTTACAACCGTGGATCGGTTTCCTCCTTCCTAGTAATCAAGTCATTCACTCCACCCGGGGGATATCGCGATCAGCATCAGTCTCCCCACACACCCAGCTGGAAGACCTGGTTTCATCCGTCCCAGTCTGTCTCTGGAAGCTCATCCGATAAGTCCCAGGAAGAATGGAATATTCTTCAGCATCTCGGCGGCAATGGACCCTGGATCGAGAAGATGGACGGGCGCGAGAACGCGTCGTGCCTTGCGCCGCCTGATGGATGTTCGGTTGATCAAGTGCATATGGTTTGTTCTCAATTTTCCGGATTGTGAAATCCATCTGTTCTATTACGGGTGTTGATTGCCATAGATGTCGCGCCATGCGGAGAGATACCCTACGACATCGGCAGGGAACCGTATGTTAGCCTCGTCCTTCCGAATGGCCTCTTCAGGATCTGACCTCTCTCATAGGCCATATTGAATTCCTTGAGCGTGCTAAGTCCCTCGGGTTACCACTGAACGGATCCCTGGCATTTCTCAACCACTGGAGCTACTTCACCGACAACCCCTCCCGAGATTTCGGACAGTTGACCAGCACCGGCCCCTACGCGGGTACGTTGAATGCATTTACGACAGGAGTCCGATTCCGAACACGATACCATGACCTCCTACCAAGCGATACAAAGGTCCGACTATGGGCCAGCGATTCCCAACGCGTCATCGACACGGCGCGCCATTTCGCCTCTGGGCTCTTCGGCCTTGACTGGGAGAGTTCAGGCCGGGCAGAACTAGACATTATCCCCGAGACTTTCGAACGAGGCGCAGATACCCTCACACCAGGTGATACTTGCCACAAATACCTCGAAGATATCACACACGGCCATGACTATGGAGCGAAAATGCTTGCATATTTCCAAGATACATACATTCCAGTTATCGCACAGCGGTTTCTTGAACAGAATCCTGCTCTGGGTGAGCTTAGTAATATGGAAGTCTATGGGATGCAGGAGATGTGCGGATTTGAGATTATGGTTCGCGGGTCGAGTCCGTGGTGCGATCTATTTACGAAGGAAGACTGGAAGAACTTTGAGTATGCTCGAGATGTCATCCACTATTATCGCGCTGGACCTGGAAATGTCTACGCTGGTACGATGGGTTGGTTGTGGTTGAACGCGACAACCACCCTACTTCGGGCTGGTCCTGAAGCAGGGCCTTTATTTTTGAGCTTGTGAGTTCCCCCCTGACTGAGACGCTCAGGCCTACCGACTGACAGGACGACTAGTGTCCACGATGGCGACATTGCCCCTTTCCTTACAGCATTGGGCATCCTATCCGATCCCAGTGGGACTAACTTACCGACATCGCATGTCCCGACCGACCGACTCTGGAAAACCTCATCCATACTCCCGATGGGCGCACGAATAACTTTGGAACGACTGAATTGCACCTCTCAGGCCGATCAGACATACATTCGCATCAACATCAACGATCGAATCGTACCCCTCCCTTCATGCCGATCCGGACCGGGGGGTTCATGCGCTTTACCGGAATTTGTGGACTACGTGCATCGTCGCGGGGTAGAAGTCGGTGATTTTGGCGAGGTGTGTGGACTAGAGCGACACGCCGAGCGAATAACGTTCCTGCATCAAAACTAGAATGTTTCAAGTGGTGTCGATCGATGAGCAATTCTTGTTTGCATCGAATTTAGCGTTGACACTGCCGAAGTTTGGAACCCGGGATCGATGACAGCTGGGCCAGGATCGGCCGGTGCGACGAGTTCCACGGCTGCCGGCCAGAGCTGATATATCTGAAACCAGGGAGGTCCTATCCTATGTGATAGATTTATGAAGGATAGAACCCTAGCGAGTGTTTCAAATGTGCATATTCCATGCCGATTGACTTCATTATTAGCTCATCAAAACAAAGTTGTCAAACAAATAGACCGAACACCTTGCAGATCTATTAACATCCCTTTTCTCCATGTCTCCCCAGATTCAGACTTGAACACACCTGTCCTTATTCCCTATTCACCTTCACACACATTCATTCATTCACACATCGCAGCACAATGGGCAAAGCCGAGGAAGTGAGTCCGGTGTCATCTAGCGTGGAGACCACTCCCACCATCGCCGTCAGAAGGAGATCGCTAACAAGACTCGAACCAGGTCAAAGCGCTCCAGGAGCAGCTGCAGCAGCTTCAGCAAGAGTATGCGTCCCGATATGCTCACATTTCATCGTCGCTGTTTAACCTGATGTGCACCCAGGATCCGCGAGGCGGAGTTGAAGGCCCGGGTGGTAGAGGGGCAGCTGCAGAGCTCCAAGACCAAGCGACAGCAGCTGGAGGCGAAGAATGAGACTGTCCCCGCCAGTGAAACAGCGCAGCAACAGCCGAATTTGGGAACCGAATGGGCAACTGCTCAACTTCAGAACTTTTGAGCGTGATTGTATCTTTTATCTGATTATATTTTGATGTTACTTTACCCTAAGGTAGGGTAGGTTGGTCTTTAATCGAGCATGGCACAGGCTTTTGACGCTGCGAGCAGATTTAAATGGCCACATCTCCACCAGCTGGTCATAGATCAGCTTGTGGAGGTATCTGTTGGATGTGTTTTCGGATTGTTGTTAGTTCCGGCCATCTCAACAGCATCTGCAACAGCTACAGGTGCATAAGTAGCCCCGTAGATTATTTTATAGTAAACCCTTCTTTATAAGATTGACTTGTATGCGAAGCTTATGCTGCAATAGAGAGAATCGACTTGGTGCTGTATTGGGCAGCTTTTCTCAAGTATGTGTGAAGGCCACAGGCAACCCCATTGTGAAGCATGGGCTAGTCGATTTAAAAGTGAACACTTCACTTCAAGACATAAAATACACGAAATCCTGTCGGTGAGGTTAGAAAAATTTGCAGTCAGTTTTTTTTTTATTGTACGGACTACAAGGTATGGCAGTGACTAGACACTCGTCACTGCCAGCTGTTTGGGCTGGCTCGCGATCACATGACCCATTCCCCAGTGAACGGCTGTTTACCAAAAAGTTTCCCTCTCGGCTTGTGTTGGTCGACTCGCGCCCTGCCCATCCGAGGTGCTCTACTCACCCAGACACTCTCAGACTGCGCCTTTCTCATCTCCTGCTGCTGCCCTGCAAATAATTGCAGCGCCTCGTCCACGATGGAGTACCACGCCGTGCCGCCAGAGGAGCGCGCACGAGATGAGAACGGCAACATGCTGCCCTGGGGCTACATCTACAAGGAGTAAGACCACCTTTCCATCTCGATTTCCTGTCCGTGCTGACTTTGAGCTTCCAGTGAGTCTCGCAACCCCCGCCGACCCGTCGAAGAACATGGACCTTTCGGCAAGAGGAGGAACACCCGCTGGGACAACGCCCGCTCACGAACCCGCACCGGCACACCCGCTAAGCGCGAGAACCCCAGCGTAGCTGAGTTCGGCCAGCTCTTCGCCAAGCAGCAAGAAGAAGAGAAGGTACCGGGAATCCCGAAATCCACATCTTCGTCCAGTCTGGACAACTCGCGCAAACAGGTCGATAATGGCGCCGCGACCGAGTGCGTCCTCCGTGGATACCGCTCCAAGGAGATGGAGTGGAAGGTCATTGACAAGTACGAGCGTATCTCGCAAGGCATGATCTGTGAAGATTACCCACGGAGCGACCCCAACGCCTCGCAATACGGCCAGCTCTTCAGCGGCGACGTCGTCATCCGCAAGAACCTCTCCGCCGAGGCGAATCGCAAATCCAAGCGCTATGATGGCGGCTTCCACTGGATCAAGGTCACCTTTGACTCACCGTCGGCCGCTGACCGCGCGATGTTCTACTCCCCGCAAGAAATTGACGGCTGCCTCGTTGCCTGCGAGCTGTACGTCAACCATGGAGCCGTAGAGGATGTACCAATCTTCAAGGACTCGGTGGAATCGCAAAGATTGCATTCCAAGGCCAACCGAACCCTGACCACCGCACACTCGACTGCATTCCTCAGCAGCCGCGAGAACAGCAGCCGTGGCGTGGCGACCCTTCCTCGCTCCTTCGCCATGAACAACCTCGCCGCCACGGTAGACGGAACCCCCGAAGAAGAGGAGCCCTCTCTCAACGAATCCACAACCACAACAGCCACCTCCGGCACAGCGACAGCACCTCTAACCACGAATATGGGCGCATCGAGCAGCTTCGCAACCTCTACTTCCACGTCCAGCCTCAACAAACGCAAATCAATCGGAGGCGATGAGCCTCAACCCGAATCCGAATACATGACACACATCCCGACCGTGAAGAGGGTAAAACTCCGTCCATTCACCGAGGCCTTGGCACCCTCACCCACACTCTTCGAGCGCATCCTCCGCTCCATCCCGATCCTGAGCTGGTTCACCGGCGACATCGTCGGCGAAGGCCCGATGATCCGCGAGGACGGAACATTCGACAACGACCGGTCGAACATGTACTGGCGATTCTGGTACATGATCGATATGATCTTGGGTACGGATATGTGCGGATTGAAGGAAGAATCTTGAGGGAGATATACCTCTGTGCTTTCCGACAACAAAATGGTGGTGTGATTGCAATTACTTTGCATCATGTGGACCTTTGACCATCTGCACATATTCTACGCTCCTGTGTTACCGCAGAACGAACACGCCGTCGCCAGACGAATCGAGCCCAGTGAAGCTGGGTATCTGAGGGATAACTTGAAGATGGATTGAGCAATAGCATTAATAGGCGTCGTGGTGGGATTATCAGATTATCTTTTTTTGCTGTACGATAAACAGGTCTCGTCTGCAGATTACGAAGTATGTCCTTGGGACTTATGCTGGAGTGTTTTATGTAGCTTTCCGGATTCTCATAGCATAGGCAGGGCATTGGAAGGGTATTGAAATACTAGGATCATTCCGCCCAATCACCCTGGGGTAGAAAATAATTGCAACTTGCAAATCCTCTTCAGAAACAAGTGAACCGCAAACCTCACACAAGAACTAGACACCATCCCAACTCAAGAAAAAGCATATTCAGAAACGGTTGAATTCATTTCATTGATCATAGCACGACCCAGATTTTAAAGGCAAACTACCTAACTTCAAGTTCGAATTCCATCCTTGAGCAAATTTACTCAGGCTTGTTCTCGAAGTTCTCGCCCTCAACCAGCTCAGGAATATCATCCTCATCGTCATCCTTCTTCTCACCCTGAGCCTTCTGCATGTTCTGGTAGCTCTCAGCGAGCTTACGGAGGGAAGCCAGGGAGTCGGGGCCGAGCTGGTTCAAGATACCGGGGACAAGCTCAGTCAGCTCCTTCTCCTCGCCGGCGCCGTAGAGGGCGTAGGTGTTGGCGGAGGGGACGCCGTGGACTTCAACGTAATCAGTTTGTCGGTCTTTGTAAAGGCGGCCGGGGCAGTTATACTTACCGCGGGGGGCGCCGAAGTGAATGACGTTGCCGTCCTCCTTGAACATGTTGACTTCCTCGACCTGCTGGACGGGCTGGACGTTCAGCTTCTTCAGGGCGGCCTGGAGCTTCTTGTCGTCGGCTCCGGAGTTGCGGGTGACCTTCTTGACCTTGCGGCGGGGAGTACCCTTGCCTCTGTTTGTTGTTAGTTCGTGTTCTCGTTCATTCTGGGTGTGGTGTGTGTGATGGGCGCGTGTTGCGCGGGGTGGGCTATGGATTTGTGCGAATCGGTCGGGATGGAGATGCTTGCTTTGCCGCGGATATGGAAGGCAAGTCCATCGTCGAGTCCGGGCCCGCCCGATCGCGCAGGACAGGAAACGGGGTGTAGTAGCGGGTGTAGAGGGGAATGTGTTCGCGGGTGAAGATTTTCATCCGTGTCGCATGGTGACGGAGGATGTGTTGAGAAATCGAGAGAAGAAAATGACCGATACATACCCTGTAAACAGAAGAAAATTCGAGTTAGCCATTGAAATCACAGTCAGAAGCCCGCCGAAGCTCATCGCTCGCCGAAGCCAGAGGCTGTCGCCATGAGCCAGTCCACCAGAGCAATTGTGTGCGGTCATTGCCCGATCCAAGCTCCGGCTCAAGACTCACAGCTCCAACCCTGCTCCAGCTCGCTCCCAGCATCCAAACAGACAATTCGAACCCAAAGAAAAAAAAAAAATTTTCACATACCAATCCGCACGCTCGCCTGCATCTTCGCCAGCTTGGCCTGATCCATGATGTCGGTATGTGAGGGGTGATCGGTGATCTGAAGCGCGAGACAAGTTAGCCGAGGAGATCCGCGGGGGTCGGCGATAATAATTCGAATCGAATCTTGTCGCGTGTGCTCTTCTCGAGCGACAGCACGTCTCGATCGGGGGGTTGCTGCGTACCGGTTGAGTGGTGGTGGTTGGTGGAGGGGTTATGGAGTCGAAGTTGAGGTTGGAGCGAGATGATGCGCCTCCGTTTTTGTGTGGGGAGTTCGGCGCGGGTTTTCGCTAACGCTGGTTCTCACCACCGACCGCCGCGCGCGGCTGCCTACGTCTACGGCTCTTCTGTTACACTTCTACGAGGTTTCTGCCGCTGTTTGCACTTTCTGCGGGCTGGTCTGATCGGCTGCTCGGTGCTGGGCATGGTTTTGTGGGCGACCAGCTGCGACTCGGCTAAACCCTAAGAAACTGGAAACCCGATTCTGCTTCCGGCCCGCCTTTAACTGCTAAGACAGTAGGTACTACGACAGGACTACAGGACTACGCAGCATAGACCAAGATACAACACTCGAGTCGTGAATACCAAATTGAAACTCAATTGATTCTGATTTTCATGCTTTCGCCTTCTTCTCCGCCAACGTAAAATACTTCTTCCACGGGTGTTTCTCCTGAAACCCGAGCAGCCGCTTAATCTTCGCATTGGACAAGGGCACCTCAAACTCCTCCAACGCCCGCACAATCGGCGTATTCGGATAGTGCTCTTTGAGAAACTCCTCCGTGCGCTTGAAATTCGTCATCGCATCATTCGTCGCATTGAAAACCTGGAACCCCAGCCCATCCGTCCGCAGTGCAGCGTCACACATCCTGCCCAGATCACGCACATCAATATACGACCATCCATGCACCTTCCACAGCGCCGGCTCGTGGACATAGCTGTAGAAAATATCATCATTGTACTCCTCCGGCTCGATCACCCGCCCAATACGCAGGATGTAGATATCAATCCCGAAGCGGGCCGCGAAGCCGCGCGCCACGCGCTCATTGCACAGTTTCGCAATGGCATATGTATCGGTGGGATTGACGTCCTGGTCTTCGTCGATCGGGAAGTAAGGGTAATCCGCATCGCCCTGGGCGAACGAGACGCCGTAGACCGTCACGCTGCTGGCGAGGATAACCTTGCGGATGCCGAGCTTACACGCCGCCTCGACGATGTTATACGTACCCTGCGTATTGGCGCGGAAGGTCTCGTTGTCGGGGACAAGCATGTTACGCGCGTACCCGGCGAGATGAATTACAGCGTCCGGGCGAGGAGGCAGTCCCTCCGGGAAGGGCTCGTGCAGCTGCCACTGGCCCGAGAGGGCATTGAAGACCTGCCCGCTGTCAGCAAGGTCGGTCTTCAGCGTGTGCACGTCTGGGTGGGACATCGGCATGAGATCCAGGTTCAGGATTTGGTGTCCGGCAGAGAGCAATTCGGATATCACGTATTGGCCGGCTTTGCCGGAGCCGCCGGTCACGACGATGCGGCCCATGTTGGGATCGGGTCGGTTGGGAACACCTGGGGAGAGGCTGTAGTTCCTAGCTGATGCGTAGCGAGTGGGAATCTTTGCGAAATGATGCAGGTGGAGGTTCAGAGGGCCTCGGGGCTTCAGAATGGCGAATCTCATGACTGGGATTGGGATCATGATGATGACATTCGTAGTTTTGCCTCCGGTCAGCATAGGCCAAGTAGATTGTAGCTGCGTTTGTAAGAGAGCAAGATACGGATTCAGAAGGTAGGAAATGGATTATTTGATGCTGTATGTGACATGCGATTTGCAAGCTGCTAGCTCGAGTCGAGAAATGGCATCTCAAGGCGATTATAAACAAGTCTGTCATGGTGATATAAATTAACGTAGATGGTATCCGATGTCAAAATTATGTATCCGCCTTAGCTGGCTCTAGCTCCGCTCGGAAATCTGCTCTTCAGTCCATTCCCACAGTTGGCGAGCAATGTCAGCGTTGCGAACAAATTCGGTACCGTCGCTGCGGTATCCAACAGGGGTGTAGTAGGCGCCATTGACCAGTTGGTCCCGCGGGGTGGTCGCAGCGAAGAGGGTATTCAACGCCCCGCTCGAGGTGTTTCGGAAAAATATCGAGGAGACGAGCTCCAGGCTATATTTCATAAACGAGCTGGATGACTTGGCATGCGTATACAGGTCGCTCTTGACGGCGCCCGGATGCACAGAAACCGAGAGGATCTCCGGGTGTCGGCGCGCGAGTTCCGACGCAAAGAAGATGTTCGCAGCCTTGGACGCGCCGTAGCGATGCCAGGTGCTGGCAGACAGCAGCGAGGGTGTCGAGGTCAGCTCCTCGAAGGTTGTCGGACTGATCATATGGGCCGCAGACGACAGACTCACGACGCGGACATCGGGAGTCGCGCCGCTCGCGCGAATCTGCTCAACGGTCTTCTGCAGCGTCGGCAGCAGCAGCTTGCTGAGCAGGAAGTGACCAACGTGATTGGTACCCAACTGCACCTCAAAGCCATCCTCCGTCTTGGTGGCAGGGTTTCCCATTGTCCCTGCATTGAGGATCAGGAGGTCTAGCCGGTCACTCTCCGACTGGAACTTGTCTGCGGCCGCGCGGATCGACTTGAAGGAAGCGAGGTCCAGCGAGATATACCGGATATCGGCGGGGGAGGCGAGCTGCGACTGGATCGAGATAATGGCATCACGGGCTTTACTTTCAGTGCGCGCGGCGAGGTAAATACGCGACGGATGGTGTTTGGCGAGCTGGAGGATGGTTTCCCTGCCGAGGCCGGTGTTGCCTTTGCGAATGTTAGTTGCGTGCTGTCGCTGTCTAGTGCATTCCGACGAGCTTGCCTCCAGTGACGAGAATTGTCTTGCCCTCGAACCTGGGAATGTCGCGCTCCGGCTTGAATGAGGACCCCAGGAGGCCGAAAGTGGCTTCGTTCAAGGTCGGACCGAAGCTGGACAGTCCCTCCAAGGGGTGTCGCAAGCTGTGGGTGGCAAAGCCACTGGTAGCAGCGATATCACGGAATTCCATTGTCACGATGGTTGAGTGTTGCTTCGCAGATCAAGGCGACAGAGAGGGGGTGAGGGCCATGGCGGCGACGGGACCGAGGAGGTGCGCGTTTCGGCTAATGGCGAACATGTGGTGCAAGTCGATCGGATGGACGATCGGAAATTCTGCTGGAGAGCGCGCCCGTATAATCCGGAAACAAATGGGACGTCGTACTCGTCTGGCGTGGGCTTGGGATTGAGAGGGAGAGAACGTGAGACGTGAGGGCGCTGCAGAATGCCGATGGAGCTGGTCACCTGCCATCTGATAAGCAGACAGCTCCAAGTGAACAGTGCAATAGCCTTGAGTATAACTGAGAGTAGTATAACAGAAGTCACTCAAATATATTATGCTAGGTAAATTAGATTCTCAAAAGTACTACAAAATTTACAGTCTTGCAGTAGCCGTCTCAATGCTGTTCACTGTGGAACGCGATGCGATCTCCGATTCTGGCAGCTGCCAGTACATTTTCTCCAACGCCCCGCATCGCTAGGGCTGAGACCCCCTGCATGCGCCCTCGGGCTATTGCGACGGTCTGAAAGCCTGTCATCGCCCAGGAAACCTGCAAGTTTCCCGTCGCTGCAGATTTCTCTTCTCTCCGCGGCTTACTCTCCTTCCCGCATCCTACAATACTGCCGGTCTATTCTGCCGTCCTCTTGCATCTATACCAACAACCCACCATATCATCCAAGATGCGGTTCCTGTGTCTACACGGCGCCAGTACGAACAGCGAGGCACGTTCCCCTTCATGCGTCAAACATTACTCGGTACTCAATACTGACCCATCGCAGATCTTCGAGATCCAAACCGGCGGCCTGCGCCAGGCCCTCGCAGCCAAGGGCCATGTCTTCACTTTTATGAACGGCAGCCTCGACGCAAAGGTCGAAGCTGGTACGTAAACCAAGCAAAAAGTGAGGGTTTCTTCAATCTCACACAAGTGCAGAACTAGAAGGCATCGTCGATGGCCCGTTCTACAACCACTACCCACGCTACCCCTCCCTCCCAAGCTCCAACCTCAACGATGCATTCGAACACACCTACCACACAATCGCTGAGAAAGGACCCTTCGACGCTGTAATGGGCTTCTCGCAAGGCGCAGCCCTCGCCGCTGCACTCATTATCCACCACTCGAAAGAAAACCCGACCTCTGCACCCCTCTTCCGCGTCGCGGTCTTTCTTTGCGGCGGAGTGCCGTGGGAGAGCTCGGGGATAGAGCAAATTGCGCCGAAGCAGGATGAGTTCCCGATTAAGATCCCCACGGCGCACGTTGTGGGTAAGTTGGATCCTCTTTACCCGGAGAGCATGAAGTTGTATGGGCTTTGTGAGCCTGCCAATGCGGCGTTTTATGATCATGGGTCGAAGCATATGGTTCCGTTTGATCAGAAGAATACGGAGGCTATAGTTAAGGCGATTGAGGAGACTATTGCCAAGGCGATGAGGGGGTGATTGTAGTACTGCAGCGCACGGTGTGGGGCATGTGACGATTCTCCTGTTTCATCCACGCTGTTTTGTCAACGGTTGGACTCGGTACTTCTAGTGTCGTGGTTATTCGTGCGTCGGACTGGCAATGCATTATTAGGCGAACGTTCTCATTTCTATGAATCTATGTATGGACAACGTCACACGTCCTGATTGAACGTGCAAGTATGTTAATTTAATACCGTGAAATATTCTACTCCTGCTTATCCACCCGTGCAGGCCGGGATATATATCTAGACCAGGCAACTGCAGCGAGCAGCACCATAAGCCCAAAAATAATCAAACCAAAACCCCATGGCACATCAGCAACACCCCCGGGACGACTTCCATCAAGTCATAGGCCAGAAGACTGGCTCTCCTGGGGAGGCAGAACCTTCCCAAGGAACTTCTCGAGGTCATGGACCTCAAGGGGATCAGCCGAGTGACCGAGATCACTTCAAAAGTCAGCTATAACCTAAACACCAAGACAAAAGGGAAACTTACGGGTAAGTGTTAAACTCAACATCAGTCACACCAAGCTCCTTGAGCTTCTCAGCAGACTTGCTCCCAAACACATGCTTAACAATATCATCCTGATCACCATGGGCAAGGAAGAAAGGCGTATCCTTATTCGCCCACTGCTCCGGAATAAACTTCTTAATCTGCTCGCTAAGCAGCAAGTAGCACGAAAGACCAAAGACACCACCGAGCTTCTTGTCGCTCGTCAACCCGGTGAAAACGGACATGGCGCCGCCCTGCGAAAATCCACCCAGCACAATGCGCGATGACTGGATGCCCGAGTCCATCTCTGCCTTGACGAGGCTGTTGAAGTATTCGCGGGAGCGCAGGATACCGGGCTCATCTTGGGAGCGGAGCTGGACGAGAGGATGTTAGGTTCCAAGGTTGCTTCTTGCAGAGTTGCGGGAGGGGTGGCTCACGTCGCTGCCGAGGTTGGAGATATCGTACCAGCCAGGCATGCTCATGCCCATGTTCTATACAATAAAAATTAGCGAAGACTCGAGAAAGTGCAACGCGATTGAGCGTACCACTGTGATGGGGATAGAGGGCGCATTCGGGAAGATGAATTTGACCTCTTCGAAAATGCCGCGGCGGCGCCAGTTCTGAGCGAGGGCCATCCTAGAGGAGTCCGTCAATTTAGTCGTTTCGAGAGGAGGGAGAGTATCAGGTCGGTTCGTACCATCCGGCACCACTGCGAGTTGGTTAGCTTTGCTCAGTTCTCGGATCAACTGTTGACGAACCTGTCACCCAGGCCGTGGGCCATGATGACCGTGGCAGTGTGTTTCTTGAGCGCGGGCACGATGTAGGGAGCGCGGGCGGCCATGTTGATCGTCTGTATGTTCTTTAAAGGAGAGAATGGAAGGAGTAGAGATAAGCCGTGAGCCTCGGATAACCTCGTTCACATTCGGCCCAGCTGGGTGGTTATTATTCTGCCGGCGGAATGTTGCGATTGGTCTGGGACAGCCCTTCTTAAGTACTCGCCGCTTTTTACACCGCTTAAACGTGTATACAATGGACCAGCGCAGTTCAACAGTTCAATTTCCTTGTAAAGACCATTCTCTGTGACGTGGCAGATAGCGTTTATTTAGAATATTTCATCGGATGAGGCCCATTTCTCAAACTCTAGATGTTCAAAATTCGCCGCCACAAGCCCCGTTAGGAGAATCAATTCAGTATATTCCGAGCGCTTACCGTGCTCCAACCCTTCAAAGGAGACAATTCCCTCGCGACTCATAGTAGCAGATATCGGAGACTTCGAAAGAGAAGCTTACCCATTACAATTAAAATCGACATGGCAAATTGATGTTTTCTTTTCCAACTGCGCGGGCAAATCCGGCAGACCATCCCTATCAAAGTCTTCGGGTTTGTACTTCTCCCACACAAGCACCTTCCGACATGATTTATCTTGATCAGACTCAGCCTGCTCCTTCTGAAGATTAAAGCGGTAATACCCCGGACCGATATTCGGAAATCCCGGTTGTATCTCATCAAACCGCCAGCGTTCCCCATTAGCGAGAGTTACCCACCCCCGATAACTGAAGCAGCAGGCGCAGACAAAGAACGAAGGATAGTCGACATCGACAGTACCAACAACGCCATGGATTCTGAACGGAATCGGCCAGAAATAATTGTGAGACGTGAGCGATGGCGTTAATTTGCTGCAAGCTGTGATAACCAGGTCGTCGCGGTTTAGCTTCTGCGGTTCAGAGCCTGCCAGTTGTATTGTGCTCCCTCCACGCGGAATAGCGGGGCCTTGGTGTCCAGAGGAGACATGGTTGATTCGCAAACGAAGACTTGGCGTGGAAGAGAGGAATCTCCAGATGTTTTTATGGCTTTAGGCTCGGGCTAGCCGAAACGGAGGAGGTATTTGCAATGTTTTGTTGTTTCGTCCGAAGTGGATCTGCGAGTCCAAGATGAGATGGATGCTTGAATCCCAGAAAGATCGACAAACGCATACCTGGGTTGTGTGATCTTTTCTTCGTGGTTATCCATCGTGTTGATCGTACGGTCTAGTGTTCAAATAAATCAGGTTACTCATCTGCCGTGTCCCACGTGGAATGAACTTTAAGCTTGATTGGAGTGGAGATAATGGAGACTCGATAAAACGAAAGAACCCCGATCGTGGATATCCTAAGCTTTCCGTTGTCGAACAGACCAATGTGACCATGGGAGAGATGTGAAAATGAGGCTCCGCCGTGAGAACTCTGGCATGCGGGGCATGTTGGGGGCCTGGGCAACGCTCTTCTGCCGCATCCGACGTGGCCCAACCCAACATTGCCATACACATGACAGGGAGTAGTTGCTGCCTGATGCTTCCGTATCCTAAATGAGGAGATTCTGGTGAGAATTACTGACTGGATATAGCAAGGGTCGCATTGGCGCCCGATCAGCCTAGTCGTAGCTGGTCCCCAGTAATCACCCTTGTTAACGCCTGTTCGTGATGGTCGAGGAAAGGGTAATTGGTGTATGAAATCCTTGGGCAGCGCTACGCCAGGACAGCCAGTTGAGATTAAAATCGCTGTAATGTACCAGCATTACACTGCCAATATAACTGTTCTTGATTTGCAGGAGTAAGTGCTGTTAAATACTGCAAATTTTCGAATCCTTCGATACAACCGCGCTACTGCACTCACTGCACTCCCGCTGCACAGGCGTAGCGCTGGCCCGGGTGTTTGTGAGCTCATAAACGCAGAAAGCCCCTACTAAATCAGGAGTACAGGATCCTGATTGCTTGCTGCGCAGGTGACGTGTTTCAGTTGGCTTGCAGAACAGCTCACACTTGCATTACACAATGCAATCTGCTTGTCACTTCTCGGGCCTATATTAGATGAAGTCGGGATATCTCGAGTTCTCATCCTCATCATTTCTCTTAAGCTCATCGCCTGGTCATTAGCCGATAACGGAAAGTCAAAAATGTCAACAATGGCGGAAAAGAAATTGAAGAAACGACCAAAGCACAGAAAGGTCGTCGAGTGTCCCCTGCCTACGGAGAGTTCTCCAAAGATCGACTACAATCGACCTTTTTCATCGTAGGTACTCCGGATAACTTGAATTAAACAGATTCTGACATTTTCGCGGGCCTTACGAATCCCAGTTCATTAACTTGGCCATAGGGAATAAGCGATACAGTATTCCGCATGATTTCTTTCTTCAGAAATTTCCACCACATGGACCAATCTTTGAAGAAAAGAATTCTACTATCGTCATGCCTAATGTTCATGAAGATGCCGGACATACTATCGTACACTTCCTATACACAGGCAACTACGAAACAGTCAACTCGCCTCTTGACGAAGGCACATCCGATATCTCCAGGGAATTCAGAAGGAGTGTTCTAGTTTACCAAGCGGCAAGAACCTACGATCTTTGCGAGCTTGAAACTATTGCCAAACAGAAGATGGAGCTATTAGACGAGGAGATTCCTATCCTTGAAAAGATGCGGGTGATGAGGGATGTCTTTTCGAGTCTCCCCGCAGGTGAAACATGGCTTTCAAGTTACATGGAAGAAAACTTGCAGCGAACGCTGATGCCTGAAGGTCCAGGGATTGGTCCTCATGGATTTTACAGTATCCTTGGACAAAATCATCATTTTGATATTGTTTTGATGAAAATGATTGTCGAAATTGTTTCCATTCGCTGGCTTTCTATTAAAGAGCAGTATGGTGAGACTCCTAGACACCAGATTTGTCACAGAGTGGTGAAGCTAATTTAAGTTTTTTACCGGATTATTAGAAAAATTATCGAATGAAACACACGCGACAAATTGTGTTCCTCAAGAGCCTGCTTCTGAAGAGTCTTTTCCTGAAGAGCCTGCCCTTGCAGATCCTGTTCCCGATGAGACTGCTCCCGATGACAATTTTCCCTCTGACGCTGTTGCCGGAGAAACAGCCCCCGAAGAAGAGCCAATAATTGAAGAGTCTGCTCTCCCAGAAGTTGCTTCTACAGAGCCTGCTTGTTCTTCGGAGCCTGCTTGTTCTCCGGAGCCTGTACCTACAGACAACCCTGCTGAAAGAGACATTGGGGAATGGACGACTCTTCAAGTATCTTCTGAGGCAGAAGAGTGGCAAAATGGATCTTTGTCTTTTACCAATGCTCCTGATTCCAATGTGCTACCCTGGAATTCAACAGTACACCCCGAGGCTGCAAACAAAGGCCAAGCTCAGAGCCATGTGGCCCAGATTTCAGGTGCAGACCCGTCTTCACATGGGAATCGGGGAAGTCTCGACGCGAACCGAGTGTCTCCAAAAAAGGCGAAGAAGGCTAAAAAGAAGAAACGCCCTCCGGTTCAAAAATAACCACTGTTCCACCTGGGCAGTTCAATAGCTGTAACTCAAGACTGATGTTGAAAGATATCATTTCGGGCAAGCAAATATTCCTAGTTCTTGCTTTCACACACGTATATTTTCAGAGTTAAGGATGGTATCTAGAATTACCAAGTAATCCCCATTAACCTCAGCGGGAGAAACGCAATAGTGAGGAAATTAGAGGGCAAAAATTGGCCGAACATCATCAGGTCTAAGTCATTGTGAGGTGTATCTAGACTGCGGCATATCCTCTTCATTGGATATTGGGTCCTACACCACATCCTCAATGAGGATATCCATGGATATCCGCGAGGATATGAGGATATTTTGCGGATATCCGCACTAGTGATTAGTAACAGCCAATCATCGCTATTAAAGTTAAGAGACATGTCAAAAACGCGCCTGCAGAGGGAACGATTGAGCATAGCGTCACGAGCACAAGTGAGCTACTCGAACTGATCGAGCAGGCTGCTTCTTTCAGGAAGACAAAATTGACGGAAAAGAATGTTGGGTCCTCCCGTACTCATGCGATATGCCACATCAGAGTCGAGAATTCAACCCCTGAGACTATCGACGATGGATACCTATACCTGAATGACCTTGCTGGATCCGAAGCAGCACGAGATATTGCAGATCACACCGCTGACAGAATGAAGGAAACCCGTGAGATAAACATGAGTCTCTCCGTCCTCAAAGACTGCATCCGAGCGATTTCAGGCGTGGATTCGGCCTCGACAAATGGAAAACAATCCAAGAAGCCATACGTCCCCTTTCGGCAGAGCATGTTGACTAAACCCTCAAGCACCTCTTCGACCCTTCCACCGGTCGAAAGTGCTAGACAGCCGTACTAGCCTGCATCAACCCCAGTTTCCTGGACACGGGAGCAACCAAGAACACACTCCGGTACGCCGAGATGCTGCGGACTTTACCGCCGCCGAATAAACCAGCGGGATATGACCCAAATGTTCCAACTACATGGCGCAACAAGGACGTACGCAATTACATAAAGCTAAAGGTAAGTCAGCTCAGAATTCTGGTAATACAATAGGGTTCTCTGAATAACAAACGCGATATAATAGTCGGGTAGCCCCTCCATCGCTCTATATCACCTTGCACCAAAAGAGACCGGTTCCCAACTTCTCCACCTACCCGTCGAGGAATTCGTACGGCGTTCCATGCTCACACACGGTGTCACGGAAGAACACGCCAAGACGTTCCACGAGCGATTCTGGGCGTTGCACATTGACTCCCGTCGCCTTGTGCCAAAGCTGTCTGCCACGGCCAACAAAGTTCCACCAACTGTCAACAAGCTTGTTGAGCAGGGAGGTCAACAAAAATAACCGACAGACCTTGCACCTAATCCTTGCCTACCCTCTTCGACCCTTCGTCTCGACTCCTCACGCGCTTTCTAATCGAACTAAGCCAGAGAAAGCACCGGTAAGTTCTGGGACCGTCGCCATGCCTCCTTCACCGACCCTTCCCTCGAATACCGAATCAGACACCACAGATAATTTTCCGTGAGGCCCTCTTGCTCCTTTTGTCGCGATCGACATTCCACCGATGTTCTACTCGAGTAACGGCCCAGTCCCTGAGAATTCGCTATCCCACTTCGAAGACTGGGCCTATCCAGACCAGGATCTGGTCATGGTAATGCCGAATGTACATTGGTCGCCAGCCCGGAACACCAGAGCAGTCACATTTTGTAACTCTCGTTGCAGTCGTATTTTGCGTGTGCTCCGTGTTCTACCACATGGGTAATAGCAATATTGAACTACAGACTTGACGACAAGTTGTTATGGCCGTGGAGGATATGCAGGAGGAGGTGAGTCCCGAGTATGATCCGGCTACCAGGTGCTATCGCAAAGCTAATGGCCAGGCTTGAACTAGGAGTGGGTGATAATGCCTTCGTTAACTAGTTAGCTTTTTAGAGTTTTAATTGATCAGCATCTGATGGTGCCTGTGAGTCTTGTGCTGGGATATGGGATAAGGGAAAGGACAAATAGGTATAAAAGTGAACATTTGGGCAGAAATGAAGGAACTTTCTCAGGTACTACTGATAGGAAATTGTAGAATCACAGCTTCTCGTCTTGCTAGTGCTGAAAATTACGCCGCTACCGTAGTTTGGCACTCTTGAGTCTACCCGAAAAGGAAGGCGCGTCTGGAGCCTGGGCTGGCAGGCGGTTAAGGGTCACTCATCTCACTTTCCCCCTCCATATCTTCTCCAATCCTCACTACCGCACTCAACCCCACTATTTTCCTGCTTCTAACGAAACTTCCTTCAAAATGAAGGGTAACTCCATCCTTCTGCTTCTGGTCATGGCCATTTTCGTCATGGGCCATTTCCACCTTCTCTACCCGATCAGCCGAGGTGACAATGTGGACAAGATGAACACCTTCCCCTGCGGCGGTCTCTCTGAGTCCACCAACCGCACCAAGCTGCCGTATGGCAATTTCCCCGTCTCCGTCCGCCTCGGTCATTCTTCTTCTGCGATGGAAGTCCTCATCTCGCTGGACTACCCCGAGGATGCGTTCCCGATCATCTCCACGTTCGGCGTGAAGGGCCAGGGCCAATTCTGTCTTCCGGACGTTGAATTCGACCCTCGCAAGATGGGCATCGACAAGGAATCGGTCAATGCCACTATCATGGTGCAGACGAACGGTGACCCTGACGGCGGCCTTTACGCGGTATGTCTCCCCACCTAAAGATTGGAAATGTCTTGCTAACTGCCTATGTACTTATAGTGTGCCGATGTGGAATTCGCCAAAGACACCAAAGTCATGGGTGCCGATTGCAGGAACAACACCAAGTTCGAGATCGTGACCTTCAAGGGCGAGGGCGAGAAACTCCATGCCAACGAATCGACCCCCGATGGCTACAAGCAGACGCACGACAATAAGAATGATGCTGGCAAGACCGATCTTCTTAACTGGGGCATTTCCTATATTCTTGTGCTCGCCTGGTATTTCTGTATGTAAGGTACTGGAGTGGGAGTTTCACATTTTTTAATCAAAACTAACAAAAAAGCTCTGGCTTGGTTGGTGTGGAAGGCGATCATCGCGTTTGTATCCACTTATACAGTGGAAGTAGTTTGGGGTTGATCCTAACAATTTGGTTGGAGAGCGGCTCGTTTAGTTTTTACCAAAAAAGGAAAAGGGACTTGTCGAAGACAGAAGGGATTTCGGCTGAAAATTATTAGCAATCTCTACGGTGCAACCAATATGCCCATGACTTGATCTATTTGCAGTTATCGTCATTCTCTGGTTCTTGTGCAGCTTCTCCCCAGTAATCTTGAGTAGCACTTGTAAAATCATGATATTGAAACAACAAAGCTTGATCATAGTATCAATAAATCAATAAATCTCTCATTAAATTCATGTTTCTTTCAATTTGGATTCATCTCTGCCTTGCACCTATTTTGTGGCATGAGCACGGACTCCGTTATTCGTGTCAATGAGGTGACCCAAATCCCGTTGTACTAGCAATATCTACAATTTCCATATTCGCAGAGCCTCAGCCATCACCATCTCCTTATGCCCAAAGTTCCTCTGGCGTCTTATAGATTGCGATTTTTATATGACCGAGTATTGTATCTGACCTCGCTATTACCTCCATCCCCATCCTCCTCCCTCTATGCCCCATATGGGACAGAGGACCGCAGCTAAATGATCCGACACATTTGGTTTAAAAACAGGGGATTTGATACTGCAGTTCCAACTGCAAAGGCGATGGCCATCGTACCTGTCTGCAGGGGAAAAGGCCAATAAGATACCGCCATGCCAATCCGACCCGGATTTAAGTTTCGCGCTTCAGATCATCTCAGTGCATAAGGCAGTAACAGCTGAGCCACGATCGCTCTAATACCGACCAATCAAAGTCCCCTAGAGGAATCCTAGTACTGTAGTACTATGTCCGTCGACCAATAAAAGCCTTACGAGCTAATCGGGGCCGGCATCTTGGTTTCATTCTTCCACCCTGTTCAGGGTGTTCAGGGTGCGACCAATCACAATTATACGTAGGATATTAGTGCTGAGCCATGATTTACGCTGATCCTGACGAGTCAACTAGGAGCTATATTTGTCGATCAATAAGGCCATCGCCGGCTAATCGGGCCGGCGTTTTGGTTTCATTCTTTCGCCCTCTCTAGACCTCAACCACTCACAACGCTGTGTATAATCTCGGTGCTGAACCATCAAGCACGCTGCTCTAGACGAATCAACTAGGGGCCTATGTTGGTCGGCCAATAAGAGGACGCCATGCTAATCAGGGTCGGCATCTTGCTTTCATTCTTTCGCCCTGGTCGTGCATCGGACCATTCACAGTGCAGGGTGGGACCTTGGTGCTGAGCCATGATTTGCCTCCGATGCACAATTTGTCGGTCTCATGTCTCAGCTGTTGAATGCTATATACCAACTTATTACAAGAATTACTAGTCAAATGATACGATATCTACAGCAAAGCCACCAACATCATCCACTCAAGCACAACCAGCCAGCCGCCTCAACTCATCCCGCACAAACCCAACACACTCCTCAATCAACCCATCCTCAACAACACATTCTTGCCACGTGATAGCCAGCGTAAGACATCCATCACCACCGGTAACGATCGAAACTCCAATTGCATTCCCAATAACACTAGCACACTGCGAAAACACCATCCCCCCAATAGCCGGGTCCTCGGGCTTAGCAGTCGACGACACAACACCGATATTCGATACCTCGAACGTCTTATCGCGGTCTTGACCAATCTTCGACAAGCAAAGTTCTTGCTGGTAATCGTTGACGAACTTGAGGAGATTAGGACCTGCATCCGCGCCCTGGCGCGCGATGGCTGCTTCGATTGTTTGTCGTGAGCGTCGCGCTTCGGGCCAGATGGAGGAGGGCGAGGATACGCCGGAACGGGTGTATGATTCTTCGATATCAGCTACGTACACGCCTATCGATTCGTCTGTGATGATATCTGGGAGGAATCGTCTGCAGGAAATTGCACCTGTGCAGTTTACTCGGGTGGATGCTTCTGGTAGGTGGGCGAAAAGTGCGCGTGCGAAGACGGTTTGCATGAGAGCTGTGACTGTGGTGGTTTCCTGGCGACAGCATTTCCGCAGTCCTTCCACGAGAAACTTCGAGAATGGAACGAGACGAAGTCGTGTGCTCGTGGGTGGCTGGATCTTGGATCCAGTCCACAGTCCTGGGTCTCGTGGTGAGTAAATCTTCGCTTGGAAGATTTTCTTCGCGAGGTACCAGAATGAGAGGGGAAGAGGGTGGATTTCCTCGATGTTTGGGGGCAATGGTGTCTGCGGGCTTGTCACTTTATGCGGAGTCACGCCTGTGGTAGAAAGCGTCTGCAACGCACGCAGGAATGACAAATGGAAAGTTTTGCCGGAACTTCCATCTCCGAGGGCATGATGGAAGACGAAGGCCGCGGTGAATTGGGACTTATCTCCCTCATCAAGAAGAACACGAAGTCTCCAGTACGCATTCGGCGCAACGAAAGGCAAATTATGCTCTTCCTGCAGTAATGATTCCAAGTCCTGATCGGGAGATGGCTCCTTCCCTGAAACATTATTCGGGAATCCGTGCTCGCGGGACGTAAACTGCACGACCTGGTCCAAATCGACCGTCGGCAATCGCACGAAATACGGCTCCTGCGTATCATCCGCCGCCGGAATAGCAGATAACGTGGGATGTTCCGCGACGACAGCCGCGCAAGCACGGAGAGCAGCGTCCTTGATTGGAAGTCCAAACCCTGTCGGCAGGATGTAGTTTGCTGTGACGGCGACGTTCAGGTAGAAGCCGACTTGGTGACGGGCGGTGGAGTACTTCTCCAGTCGTCCTGGGCGGGTCAATTGGGCTCTAATTGGGATCTCCTGCACGTGTACTCACCGACTGGACGCAGTCTTTCAAATTGATGCATCCTTCGTGCTGGACTGGTTGTAGTGATGCGAAGATGGGCTTACAGTGGTTGCCTGTCGGGAAGGTCGGTTCCTGCCGCTAAACTCTTTTAGGTAGCCGAGGATGAGGCCTGGGGCCGCAACCAAGTTCTGGCTGATGCAGATGAGGACTTACAGGAAAGGGTTCGTATAATTAACCTTAGCTGTTCTAGTTTTTTTGATTCAATATTTACACAGGACGATATGATGCATTTCTTTTTCCAACTCGCGCTCGGACTGTGTTCAGATGCATCGAAGAACAATCAGCCCAACGACCCGAAACAAACATGGAAACCCCTATATTCTCAATTACTTTATAATATGGAGAGGCTATGTATTAATATTCTGCTTTTATATACTGGTCTCTGTTTCCTTTCGAAGCAACTCCATGCCTGCGGGCAATTTTCCCGCAAAATGACCATCCTTACTTAGACACCAAGCACAACAGTTCTATCTCAAATAGATGCACTAATCTCGAGCCGGCATTTAACGTTGAGTTATTCCAGATGCAATCTTATCAGGTTCCTATGTATGCATGGACCTAAAAAAAGAATCATCTAGCGAGCACTGAATCAGCGCTACGGCGGGTTATATCACAACCAAACAACCTAGTTTTCCGGTGTCCACAGAGAAAGAATCGCCGGATACGAAGACTAGTACCATTGTAAATGATACATGCTAGAACCTTTCAGCCTTAGCTCAACGCATCGTCGCCTATTCCCAAGCCATATGACGACAGAACGGCGCTCGGTAGGCCATAAAACAGGGGCATTGCGCACCTTAGCTTCGTCTAGATACATGCGATTAGCAAAATCATCACCAAGGAGTCTTAAATAAATTAGCTTCCCAACAATTAATGTGTTTGGTGCTCGCAATCCTGACCAAAATGATACAGTCTCTCGAGAACAAGATTCAAAATCGGACCAATCATACCGGCATATAGTCCCCACTTAGCCGAGCTGGACCCTCCCCAATGACTGTGAACTTGGCCCCCAGTGGATACCTTATACACCGTATACATCAGTTGGGGGACAAGATGATCTAAAATAAGACTGAATAACATTAACATTGGTGTCCGGGGTAGCTTATAAATGGCTGTTCTCGCAATTGCAAAGCTTGGCTGGTCCATTGTTTCTTCCTTTGCTGTAAAGAGCTTTCGTGGCAAACTTAATGTTCATCATGAAACTTCTTCTGTCGGTTCTGGTGCCGGTTTTGGCAGCCGCAGCTTCTTCACCGTCTGTCACAATCGACGCTGGAACGCTTTTGGGTGGATTTTGTGAAAGTGGAAACGTCGTTTATTACAAGTCGATATCCTTTGCCGAGCCTCCCGTCGGTGAACTGCGATTCGAGTCTCCCAAGGCTAAGAAGCAGTTTGCCGGTGGCAAGCTTGATGCCACAAGCTCGCCGGCTTCTTGTGTTCAATGGACTGATGAGTTCATTGAGGATGGGCCGACATCTGAGGACTGGTAAGTTATTCTGACAAATATCTCATTATGACAATCCTGTTCACTCTTTCGCTTCCTAGTCTTTTGGACAGTCGGCTGGTGCGGAGGACGCCTTTGTCGTCGCCTCGCTGCCTCAGGCACCTTCCCTCATAACAGCTTCATCTCGGAATCTGGAGGCGGCAAGAACCTCGCCACCAACTCGACACTCCAGAATGACGGAAAGTCATATGCCAAGGCACTCAAGTGTGGGTTTGATGATGTGAGTGCTGATCCAATACTCTCCGATTCACTGAGTACGATCAGATTACTGACTTCGATCTAGAAAGCCTGCCTACAGTCCAAGACCGTCAAGGAATTAACCGACGCCTACACCAACGACAACTACCTCAGTGCCGGTATCGGCTCCGACGGCGCCATCGGCGTTTCCAGTGCCAACTCGCATAGCTTCTACCCCTACGTCGACGGCAAGGTCATCGCCGAAGAGCCCATCACCCGCGGCACCCAGGCTCCTTCAATCTTTGGATTCAGTATGTCCCACCTCACTGCTACACTCAAATACAGTCTAACAAAAACCCCAGACAAACAAGAAGGCGCCATATATTTGTATAGGTTAGATCCGGGCTGTCTATATCTAGACTGTAACTGTAATGTCGAATATTTCGTAGTATGATTTCGGATTGAATTAGGACTCGAACAATTGCAAATTCCTGTAGGTTGCAGACATACTCTTGTAACACTAGCGATCATCAGCCCTAATCACATACAAGCAGATTTGAAGTAATCACATATGAATCATAATGTACTGAAAACCTGGAACTGCATCGCACCACGCAATAAATGACTCGGTATAATAAGCTACACCGAGCACCAAAAATCATTAATCGGGAGGGAATCTCTCATGCTACATTATTGAAAACACACACTGTTACCTCAGAACATGTTCGTGGCTAGATATTTTGCAGAAATATAGTTATAGTTCGGACATTTAGCTCAACCGCCCCACGTGATTTGACGCATCTTGCGCAATTTGTTGAACAACCTTGCATTTGAGTAAGTCTTCAAAGTTCAGTCTGATGAGGATACTTTTCATATCAAATACACAATTGACTTGAACTCGACAACCCCACGTCCATCTCGACCCTCATAAATACCAATGACCCACCAAAACAAATCTCACATGACTGCCCAGAGGGTCGCGGAACCAAACCGAAACGGGATCCCGGCACATGACATCATACGCCTACCCGACGCTTCTAAAGCTCCAACCGCCAACCTCACCTCCTCCAACATCCACCCTTACACTTCTAACTCAATCCCAATCCATCCCACAACACCGCCAAAATGTTCCGCTTTGTATGTGCCTCCCACCTTTCCCTTTCCTCAACACAGTACCAAACTAACACTTGTTACAATAAGAGCAAAACTCTCGACCCAATCACCCTCTTCCACAACCCAACGCTAGCAAGCTCAACCCGCACCCTAAACATCCTAAAACAAGCCTCAACCACGGCGTCCGAAACCGCAACGGAAGACCAGGCAAGCGACCACTCCAGCCACGCAAAGCAACAACGCGGCGATTTCGAGCTGGAGGTTACGACCTCGGCGCCGACGACGGACCAGCTCCGCTCGATCCTGGATTACATCTCGCCCACCTCTGGCGTTGGTGGCCAGGGAAATAAGGAGACATACTCGGTCAGTGAGTTGATAAAGGGGGCGAAGGATGCGGAGGATGCGATTAAGAAGTTTAAGGAGGATGAAGGGAGGTTTGTGAGACCTATTGTATGTTCCTTCCCACCCCATTTTTTGTTGTTGATGATGTGTTGGAACGATGCTAATCTGTTTGTCTAGACTGTTGACTGGGTGAATGGTCGCGCTGTTATTGGGGATAGGGAGTCGGAGATTTTGAAGATGGTTCGTCAGTTGCCTGTTAACTAGATCGCTGCATAGTACTGCACAGTGTACTGTAGTTCTGGGCGATGTACACATCGACCTTAGGCTTGAAGCATCTGTCTCTCCTATAATTTTGTCTACTTTTTACAGAACATGTACGGGGATGAGAAGCACGTCTATGTATGTATCATACAAATACTCATTTTGAACTCCACCAAAACCCATAAGAATAGTAAACAAGCGTATCTCGAAACGACATTGCACCAAAAGTGCAGAACGTAAAACATGTAACTCGAACCACAGCGTAACACTGCCCTAAGGTAGGGTAGACTCAAAAGCGCAGCCATTAAACTCATACGCAACGCAACGCAACATCGGCGCGAGATCCAGCTCGGGCAAGCGATGGAGAAGAGAATATCACAGATAGGCATCTAGAACATCGTACCGAAGCTCCCGTCCGTCGCAATCGGTTTGCGCGGGGAGCTGCGGCCGCTGTCGACGGCGGGTTTGCGGTGGCTATCATGCAAGAGTTAATAATCTCGACCTTTCTACCAGGGCTGGCGGGATGCAACGTACCGGAAAGTAAACCCAACAAACAAGCCCTTGCTCATCTTATCATCGCGCTCGGCCATCTCCTCCAGCGCTCGCTGCTTATCATGCACCTCCTTGTACTTGGCCATATCGGCCTCATTACTGAAATCGTCAAAGTAACCCGCATCCGTCTCCGAGTCGAGCTCCGGCACGAACGGCGCCCGCTGCTCGCGCAGCCGGTTAAAGTCGACCTCGCTGAAGTAGTCATGGGCGTGAATCTCCTGGATATTCTTGAACCGCGTCTCCTTCGCCGCAACGAGCTTGGTGATCAGATCCCACGTCCGGCGCGAGAGGAAGTAATTCGGATCCTCGTACACGGGCTTCCGTAGCACCTTTTGCCAGCGCTTCAGGTTCTGCCACGTCTCGTCCACTGTCGCTCCCGCGAACGGCGGGTAGCCCGCCAACGCCTCGAAAAGCATACAGCCCAGACTCCAGTAGTCGACGGTAAAATCATACTGCTCGCCCTTTAGCACCTCCGGCGCCATGTAGTCGGGCGAGCCGACGATGGACTTGGCGTAGTTGACTTCGCGTTCTCGCAGGGTGCGGTAGCCCTGTCGGCGTTCGGCCATGGTGCGCTGTTCCATGGGTCGGCCGAAGGGGACGGGGGTGTTGCCGACTTCTTCTAGCTTGACGCGCATCGATTCGATCTTCCCGGGGCTCAGCATGCCGGCTGCAAGACCAAAGTCGGTGAGTTTGACGTGGCCGGTCGAGTCAATCAGGAAATTCTCTGGCTTCAGGTCGCGGTGGATGTAGCCCAGAACATGTAGGGCGTCGATACAGCTGAACATTTCGGCGATGTAGAAGCGCGCGTGTCGGTTGTGCAGAACACCGGTGTTGTTGAGGAGAGTGCGGAAATCGCCACCAGGCACATACTCCATAGCCAGGTAGATCTGGGTATCGTCCTGGAAAGCATACAGAAGTTTGACAAGCCACTCACTCTTGGCCGCAGTGAGGATATCGCGTTCGGTCAGAATGTGTCGGATTTCGTCGAGTTTGAACAGCAGCTTCTTGCTCATCACCTTCAATGCGCAGACCTCGCGCGTGTCCTTCTTCTGCGCCAGGTACACCTGTCCATATCCGCCCTGGCCAACCTGCGTGAGGATCTGGAAATCGTGCTGGCGCAGACGAGTGCGACGCTTGCGCAAATGCGCCCGCTCGCGGCCGAGGTATTTGAGGAGCGCGGGATCGTACTCTTCGGCGGGGGTGGTTGGAGGTTCGGGATAGGCGGCCTTGAATTGGGAGTGGCGGGTCTGGCGATTGTGGACGTAGCTCAGGAGGTCGAAGTAGTGATCGAGAAAGTCTATCATTCACAAGTTAGCACACGTTCTATTCAATTCCCGTGGTGGTTCCTCTCGGGTCGCACATACAGAGTTGGGTAACATTGACCAAGCGCTTCACCTTGGGCTGCTGCAACTTCTCCATCTCCTCCGGTGTCAGCCCGCGCAGCTGCACCTGGCGCTTCGAGGCATCAGTGTCGCGCTGCTGGTACGGTTCATGGCGCGAAATCGCAGCAGCAGTCGGCTTCGGCCCGAGGTCCTTGGGGAGAGTCGAAGGCGGCGTGTTCTCCTTGTTTGCGCGGCGCGTCGGGCTCGTGGGGCGCTGGTGGATGACACTCTCGTTGAAGTCCTCGCCCCCGCGATCTGCGGTAAACATGGGGTGATTGAAGTGGTTGTGGGTAGACTTGGTGGGGGAAGTGGGCGTCAACTTCATAGCCTTGTCGAAGACATTGGGCAGGTCGAGAGCCCCGGGGGGCGCCCGCGATTTGCTGGGGCTACCCTGAGGTGTCTGGGGGGGACTGGTGAAGCCATTGCCGGCGGGGGTGGAGGGGCGGTCGATGGATTCGTTGCCAGAGCGTGTGTGCAGCAGCGGCGGGGGGTTGGGCAGGCGAAGACCACCTGAATCGGAGAGGTCGACCATGGTGATGATGGTGGTTGTTGACTGGAAGAGGATGAAGAGGGAAGAGAGAGGGGGCCCCTTGTTGGCGTTCAGGCAGGAACTGGGCGGGAACGTGGGACGCGCAACGAGCTGCACTTCAAAGGTCCAGCAGAACACTATCACCTGAGGACACTCTCGCGCCCGCACACGACGACCAGCGCCGTATTTAGTGCTCCCCTGCAAAGGCCCGATCAGCTCCACCCGATCGCGATCTTGATTTCTCTCTATCCACCCCATCCACCGCGATCCCGAACCCCCCTCGCTGCCCGGGTTGCCCTAGCAACTCCGCCACTCCCCCACGTCAAACAGGCTGTGCAAGCCCGCTAGTGCGTCAACAGGAAGAAATAATGGTCGAGGCGAGCTGAACTCGATCCACCCGCCCGGCATGACGCGCCCCTGCAGGTCATCTCCTGGCAGGATCGGCTCCAATAGACCCATGATGACGGGTTGTTTCGCCTGGAGCTGAGCCGAGCTGGGCTGAGGGTTCCGCTAGATGATGGGCCACTAAGATGCCGGCGAGGCTCTCCCAAGCCTTGATATGGTCGTTAGTTTCTGGCTAGTTGGCATGGCGTCATTAAACCAAGAAATAGTCTTGGGGCTGAGGATCTGACATCTGTCAGGGGGGTCATTCTTCCGAATAATTATTCTTCCGAGGGGCTACAAGGGGCTACAGGGATGGGTCTTGCAGATAAAGACGATTGTACCGTTAGTCTGGGCTCAGCAGAGTATTCTGCAGATGCAGGGGCCCGAGGGTAAGCAAACTACCGCATTAGGAATAGGCGGCCCCATGCATCCACGGATCGCAGTTGATTTGAAAAAAGTGGAATTGCAGACGATCAAGTATTCTTAGATTCGAGTCACATTCACAGCACACCCTCGGCTCGCTGGCCCGTCTATTCAGCGTGGTTAGCATCGGTTCATACCCTGGAATATAGTCCTGTGGGGTTACTCACGAAGAAAGCCAGCCCATAATCCGGAGTGGTAAAGGTGATAGTCGTGCCCTTGGGGAAATAAAACACATCACCCGGGACAGCCGTGACTTTCTGACCAGTCTCATCAGAAATCTCAAACTGGCCCTCCAGGATGATCTTCATTTCATCATAGGAGTAGGTATAGACGAGCGGCGTGCCCTTTTCGAGGCGGTAGAAGCCGGCCGAAATGGGCTTTTCGGCATTGTCCTTGTCGCTGCAAGCAACGGTATTAGCTCACTTGCCCTGTCATCGGACCAGTCGCGTATGTGAGAAGCTCACCTAGAGCTCACATCGCCCAGAAAGGCATTCTCATTGGCGACGAGAGGCGGCTTGAAGGTAGACTGCGCCTTGGCGTAGTACTTCATCGGAGTGGGGGCCATTTTTCTAGTCGGTTTTATGATAATCTATGAGCTAGGACGGAAGAATATGATTAATTTCTGCTCTAATTTGGCCTGCTCTGCTTTATATTCGTATTTTGCTCTCATCAGCCCCCTCTCTCAAAGAGGGGATGTCCAGAAGACGGCTGACTTTCGTCGTGCTGAGGCAACTGCTTCCTTGTCAGCGAGTATACAGCGTCGACGATCGGATCCGATGTCCGATTTAGGAAGGCCGGGGGTGAATCGATAACCGTTGGCTACGATGCGAGCGATGGATGCGATGAGGGGTTGTCTCTATCAACCTGGTAGTTTCATAAGCGGAAACGGCGATAAGCTCGGAAGTAGCAGAGATGGGATGATAGTACTAGCATGCTGATGGCAACACTGAACAGCAGATAAATCTCGAGATGAAGCAAAATGCCCGAAGCAGCTCACTATACTCATCAATCTGCTGTTCTTCTCTAGATACCCGCATTGCTCTATTGATCTGATGTACGAGGATATTTTTTCCCGAAATGGTTAGCGACGCTCTCCATCCAATCGTGATGGCGCTACCCATCCTCTTGTGCTTGGCCTGCACCGTCGCTATCCAAGGGGAATCGATATCCCCTCAGGGCCCATAGACAGTAAATGAACAGGGAATGCATTCCCATCTGGAAGCGACTCGCGTTCGTGGCACAAGTCTGTCTTAGCGCGGAGTTGAGCGAGGGAATTCAAAAGGATGCACTCCAGCAGGGTGCGAGACAGCACTCATGAAGTGCTCTCTCTGACTCTGATCCGGCTCCACATCAGTTCAAGGGACGCCACTCTTTGAAGATGACCGGCAAGAAGAAGACTCTGCTAAACCTTCCTCTCGATGCAGCTTGGGCCGGCCTTGAAGGGATTTAGTCCGCTGCCGAACAGTGCAGACATCCCTAGGGTATACGGCTAGCAAAGGAAATGCGAAATGGAGGTTCGGCGTTCTGCTGAGCTGGCCGAGACCCTCGATGAAGAATGGCAGCGGTGATGGCCACAAGCTACTACAGGAGTAACTGACACATGTTAACAAATGATGGCACATGACCAGCCGGACCGCAGACGGACCGTCCAGAAAAACACCTCGTCAAAATAGCCGACGTTCGAGACCTCCCTTGCACATCCGCCCTCTTCCGATCCCCTCGTTCAATCCTGGTTGCCTCCGGAACGACGACGATAGCCAGCCGTGCGAAAAGTGCGTTATCAGGACACGGCGGTTGTGGCAGCTCGAATACCCCACTCTTTATCGCCTTGATTGGGTGGAGATGTGAGGAAAGTGGATCGGAGGAGTGATGGATGCGGGGAAGAACATTCTGTTGCGAAGGGGTATGATGCAAGAGATGTCGCGCAGCCTGGTGGACGGTACTGAGGCGGATTCGAATCGGCTCGGAGAAGGTCGGCGTTGGCAGCCGCTGTTCCGTTAGTCTGAAGTGTGATCGGTTCCTGGATCGTGATGAGTGATGCAGTAGGGTCGGTGAGATTTTGAGGTTAGTTTGGTTGTTATCTCTACTTTTTCTGGCAGTTTCCACAATTAAAGAATACAGATAATGGATATCAATAAGGCAGATATTATTCTGTGCTTGAACTAATAGAAGAGCATCTACTATAGTGGTATAGAGGGTAGTACACGACTGGAAGATCCCATGTTGCAGGCAGTCTATGCTCGAGTCCCATGTATACCGTCTACCCCGGAATCCGTTCTATCATAATACACCAGATCATCGAGACCATTACTTCATCCAGCGCATCATTGGCCCTGAGCACCGAACAGTGAGACCAGCCGGGCTGGCGCCGGGATCTAGCTTCGATGGGAGCAGGAGTTCTTTCGGCATTGAGTCGGCTCGTAATTACAAACCCGGTACACCAATGTATCAGCGGACTGCCCACCTAGACAGCTGCTATTACACTAGCGCAGTACAGCTAAGGCTGCGGTATTCCGCCGAGTGATATGCTTCCCCGCATGACCCCCAGATGTGCAACGCAGTCGATCGGCCTTAACGAGACGAGCTGCTCGTCGAGACCCCACGGACGAACCATTCGTGGCCAGCGTACCGTTCAGATTGCAATTGCGAGGTCAAGTAAGAATACTATACTCCTGCCATATTGCGCTAGTATTACTCCTAGCATACTCTGCTGGTCTGGTCTACCCCTCAACGAATCTCCAACGGCCAAGTCACAGATCGGCAGCCCCCGCAGGTGTATTATCTTCGGACTCGGTGGAATTCCTAAAAGGTGTTCTCTGCTTCTTCCCTATCTATCCCTATCTCTTCCTACCTTCCCACCTCATCATAACTACCTCTCTTCCCGCATCCAGACTCGACCGGGTCAACATCCAACACCTTGGTATGGAAAATATCAAAATTCCATCCGCGTCCACGATTCTAGACTCGCCCGACACCCCGGCGGGGAAGCCTGCCTCGCCCCAGAAGGCGAAGCAGACTGCCCAGAAGCCCAAACAGACCAAGAGTCGTAATGGTACGATCTCACTGCTGCTGCCGTCAACTACACTACCCTAGGATCTCCTACGGTAGTGCAGTATACCAGACTTTAACAGACTGGCTCGGTTCACCTGTCAACTGCAGAGCGCTGACCCTCTCTTCTGCTTCGCCCAGGCTGCATCACCTGTAAGGCGAAGCGGCTCAAGTGCGACGAGACCAAACCGTCCTGCCACCAGTGCCAGCGCCGTAAGGTCACCTGTGGTGGATATAAGAAGGACTTTAAGTGGCGACCGTTTGAGGAGACCAACTTGGCTGTGGGAAGGCCGACGGCCAAGCCAAAGAGGGGTGAGATACTAGCAGTATTACAGAACGGCATAATGAGCGGGTCACTGACACATCAACAGCTCAACCATCTCAACCTGCGCAACCACCAGCAGGTAAAGGCACAAGCAAAGGCACAGGGAACTTCCCCACACCGCCGACAACTGAGCAGTCTACGCCGCCAACATTGGGGCAGCCAACCCAGAACACGACGACTCCCCCCGAGTCCTCGTTCCAAAACTCCCCCGACAGCTTCAAGAGCTATCTTTCTGTCGACAACACCTCGCTCGACGAATTCCTCCCGGATGAACCCTCTACCGACAAGGAAAACTCTACCCCGTTAGGCGTGACAGTCCCCGCGGACTTGGATCCGCTGAACTTCCTCTCCTTCCTCGAGCCATTTCAGCATAATGTCCCTTTCACCGATGAGCTCCTGCCTGGCCAGGACATGGACACCACCGACGGCGTCCCCTTCGGACCGCAACTACGGTCCGACGGCCCTGGGCTAAGCTTCTCCCAACTATTGGAGGACGAGACGGGCGACATCGAAGAGATCATCCGCCAATCCGACCCCGGCGCCGGACCCTGGAACCTGAACTTCCCTTGTGAAGACGACACCCCATTCGACTTCTCCCGCATCCCAGAGCAACCCACTCTTGCCCCAGAAAGCCGGGAAATGCTAGCCATGCGCTTCGACCGAATGACCTGCGGGATCCTATCCATCAAAGACGGAGCCAGCGAGAACCCCTGGCGAACCCTCATCTGGCCACTCGCAAAGAGCACCCCAGCGCTCTATCACGCCCTCTTCGCCCTCTCAGCCTTCCACTACGCAAAAGAGAACCCCTCTCTCCGCGTACAAGGCGTCAAACACATGCGTCAGAGCATCACCTGTCTCCGCCAACAGATCCAAAACATGCGAGCCGACACTGCGCTAGCAACCAGCCTGGCCCTCGCATTCGCAGATACATGGGACCAGAATACACGCACCTGCATCCAGCACCTGCGCGGCGCAAAAACACTCATGCTCCAACTGCTAAACGCTGGCCTACAAGGCGGGCTCCAAGCCGAAGAACTCGACCGCATTCGCTTCCTCTACAACACCTGGACATACATGGACGTAATCGCCCGTCTAACCTCCCTCGATGAATCCGGACCCCAAGACCTAAACCCAGCAATCTTCCAACTACCCGGCGACGCAATCCACGAAATCGACCCGTTAATGGGGTGCGCTGCAACGCTCTTCCCGCTAATCGGCCGCGTCGCCCGACTAGTCCAACGCGTCCGCAAAACAGCCTCGAATTCCGTCTCCATCGTCGCGCAGGCAATGGAACTTAAATCCCTCATCGAGACCTGGGAGCCACCGCTCTGGTTCGAGCCGCCTGAAGATCCTACCTCGGAGGTCCAGCATAGTATCCAGGTAGCGCATGCGTACCGCTGGGCTACGCTGTTGTATTTGCACCAGGCAGTCCCCGAAATGCCCTCCGAGCCAGCCGAAGAACTCGCAAAACGAGTCTTGATCCTGCTTGCGACGGTCCCTTACACATCCCGCACTATCATCATCCAGATGTTCCCGCTCCTTGCGGCGGGCGCGGAGGTCGATCAGGAGGATGATCGGAAGTGGGTGCTGGATCGGTGGAATACGATTCAGTCGAGGCTTATGCTTGGTGGTGTGGATCGGTGTTTGGATGTGCTGAGGGAGGTTTGGTCGAGAAGGGATGCGATGAAGGCTGAGCGGCTACAGCAGCAGTTGAATTCTGGTAGACGACCTGCTTCATTTTCCAGTGAGGGGGAGAAGGGCACGAATGCTTTTCGTGAATCGGGGAGTCCGCGCGGGTTCCATGCTAGAGCGACTAGTAATGGCGGTGGTGAGCTGGGTCGGCAGCGCTCGGGAAATGCGGCCACGTCTAAAAGGCGTGGGTCGGCGCTTTCCTCATTGGAAAATATCGAGTTTGAGAGGACGGTTAGGAGTCGCTTGCATTGGGTTAATGTTATGGGGGAATGGGGGTGGGAGGGTAAGTCATCATTCATTCCTTCCTGGCTGGACCATACTTACAATCTGCGATGAAGTATTCCTCGGCTGAACACCTTGAACCACCGAACATCGAGTTTAGATATGACGGCCGACTCAACGGCCTCGAATTTGTCTTAATACACTCACGACTAACGACAGACTGGATTACTTAAATTGTATCTGCTAGTCAGAAGCGCGGCGTTCGAGCTTTCCTTTCTCCTTCCTTTTCCTTTCCTTCTACATTGTTCTGTTGTCATCATCTTCGATAGTTTGTTGTCGATAAAGGCTAGTCTGGCGTGAATATCTAACTATACCTGCTATCTAGGTATAATCGGCTCTTCCACTCTTCAGAGTGCTTCTCTCCACTCGCCATTCAAACAATCTGAGGCCATCACTCAATCCAGACATGCCACCAGTCAGAAATACCAGCCCATGCACCATCGACCCAAAAACAGCTCTATACCACTCCAGACACGACTCCACCAAGCCAAAGCCGTAACCCCGATCCTGAACCGGCCAAGTCGGATACGTGTCACCCCAAGGATACTCCCACCCACCGAAATCGTACCCAGCTCTGCAATACCTCCGCAATCAACGGATATTAGGGTGCCCCATAATCCATGCCTCCCAGAGCCTGAGCTTGCCCTCATCCACCGAGCCCAGCATACGTATGACGCATGGCGCAGATACCGACATTGGGACTCACGCACGCTCTAGTACGTTGTTCAACAGCCCGCAGCAGATCCAAACCCAAACCCTGGGCAGCGTAGATCACTCTGTTCGAATTTTCATTCTGTAATTGGAATTACCCGGGAAATCCCCAATGTCTGACTCTGCTGTTTATCTCGCTGCAGTGTGGATTATACTGATGCTCACTGGAAAGCTGGCTCTAGTGATGGTTTTTACAGGGTTGTCCTTTTGACCCTGTGCTCTACCACCTAGGTAAGGACCACGCTGCAGCCGCTTCTACTCAACATATCACAGATCTAGATGCTTTCTTATACACGTGGTATCGGTAGTCGGTATAAACCTTCATGATGTTTGACCTTCCACCAGAGCTGTGATACAATGTATACTGTCCTTCCATCTGGAGACACATCTTGATTACATTTTACACAGCACACTGGTGCAAGTCGAATGCCTGTGTGAGTTGAACGTACAATAGTGTAATGTTGCAATAAGAGAATAAAAGTCTATTGAGGTTTAGATTTAGGTAGCTTAACCTATAGTGTTTTAGTGCAAGTACAGGAGTGTTATCATCTACATGTCTACAAATAATACTTGATACTACTGTTTACGTAGGAATACTAGGAAATCCATCAAGTGAAAGGACAGGAAAGGCAGACGACCAGCGCCTGCGCTTTCTTTTCTTTTCTTTTCGTTTCTTTTTTTGGCGACCAGAGCCTACAGGAATGGAGCGACCAGCGCCCCAAGGACACACTCTGTGCGAACAACCACCCCCTCTCCCCCCACCCTCGACCCCGAATTAACAAGAGCGAACGAAGGCGGCGACCTCATCACTAAGCCGCCTTCGCCGCTATCCCCCAGGTAGACCAACCCCTTCATCCGACTCCGAGGGTGGGCGTCGCTCAATCCCGTACAGAGAGTCAAAAGATATCTCTGACGGGATGGGAGACCCACACCGGGAATGACCCACACCGGGAAGATCCATCTCGACGACCCCTTCGCCCTCGAAGACGTCCAGGTCCATCTCGACAGGATATTCGACTTTGTCGAGATCCATACCGAGAGGGTAAATGGCCCAATGGCCCCCTCGAAGACAGCACCCACAGCCACCTCATCGTCGGCGCGGCAACGGGGCATTTAGACAAGCCTGGAAGGACACAGGGAAGCGTGCCTTCCGAGACCCCGAAGAGGCGAGCCAATTCCATCCGGACCTACTGCAGTTCCCCGTCCAACGGCAGGGGAAGCTGCAGCATGGCAGAGGCGGTGATATTGGCTTCCCGGGTGAGGATGGAGTCAAGGAGGACTCCGAGCGGGATGCCGCGAATATCGCCAGTCCATTCGATGCCAATCCAGAGGAATTCGGAGATAAAGACCACCAGAACGATGAGCGCGCAAGCCGCGTCGGACCCGAGAAGAAAGACCATCTGCCGAGAATGGAAGGACCAGGCAAGCAGCAGCATCATGGGGTCGCTGTTGCTAGCGAGTCCCATGAGCAGCTGTGCCAGGCTGCCCGCGCCGATAGCCTGGCCGGTGGTGTAGATGGCAGCCAGCTACCAAAGGAAAGAGAAGGAGACGAGGGAGTTGGCGAGCTCGTACATTTTGGGCTCGCACAGTATAGGAAAATGTGAGAGAGAAAAGAGTAAGGATTAGGTAGAGATAATATTTATACCCCCCAGGCTGGGGGAGGGCGAGAGTGAATGGTGGAAGCTGGTGATATACAATGAGATCTGGCAGATGTGTTTGTTTTGGAACGTCAATCGATATACTCGTCCCAAAGGAAGTTGAGGTGGGATCTTGTTCATTTCTCGAGTAGGTATCCAAAAAGTTTTTGGGATATCGAATTGATCTAATTCGAACACAGCCCTTGACGCTGAGGATGTACCTCAGATATGGAGTGTAGACGACATGTCCGACTCGTCACTCCCGGTAGCGAAGACAAGATCTTCGGTGCTTTCCAAGTTCTTGCATCGAAAATAGACACAGCTTCATCTACTCAGACTGAGAGCTACATCGATATCGGGTATGGGAAAGACCAATCTTCGTTTTCTGGTCTGCACCGGTACTCGATTTCGCCCGCGTACTCCGACTCGGGATCTGAAGGCCGCGTTACGTTTCAGCTTTCCTGTCAGGTGAATTCCGGTTCAAAACCGAATGTTGAGTCATATGCCTGGTGGTATCTGCACTGTCTGCATAAGCTCTATGCGGATTTACTTTTTAGAGAGAGCGTGGGGCAGGTTGAGAAGTGGTTGCAGAGTCATGAGTAACATCTCCAGGGCTTCTGCGTTGGACTACAGAATTTACTGTTGAAGCTCAATAATTGGGCAAAGGTGGACATCACTACTCTAAACACTTGTATATAGGATACTCCTCTCAGCGATATTACATTGACTTTAGCATTGAACAGACAGCTGCTTGGTCCTCCATCACTAGATATACGATCAGCTAGACTATGTACAGTTAACCTCCAACAAACCCTCATCAACCTATAAAAGTTAATCAGCAAATACCCAGCAACATTCCATTGAAGAACAACTCACATTCGTGCAAACAAACTCGTCATCCCCATCCGGACTCGAAACATCAATATTAGTCGCCTCGATATTCGAGCAAACCTAGAAATAGCAAGTCAGCAAAGCCCCACCAACCCCAAGAATAAAAACTCACCGTCTCACTCGAACAAACAATAGTACCAACGTCAGGATCATACTTCCCAGACGTCGTCCCCTTAATATTTGTAAACAGAACATCGGCGATAGTCAGCTTAGATGGATACTGATTGCAAAGCGTAAGATTCTTTTGCCCATAGCACTGCGTCACCTCAATCGCATAATCCACATTATCAATGGTCATGGTATCGTATGTGACGTTCTTGACGCTGCCGGAGCCGCCTCCGCCTTGGAGGTCGGTTGAGAGGGCGGAGGAAACGCCGGGCCAGACTTTGATGCGGGCGCCGTCCTACCAATATTTAGTATGTGAGTTGGTGTTGATTATGCCGGGCTTCTTACCGAGGCGTTAAACATGGAAATGTTGTAGATTAGGAGGTTCTCGACGATATCCACTTCACCCGGGTACTGGCCCAGCGAACCAACCGAGATGCCGTGGGAGCCATTGCAGTGGAGATTCTGGACGATGATTTCCGTGCTGTTCGGCTTGAAAGAGACGCAGTCTGGAATCGTCAGTATGGCCTGCCACTGCCACATTTTTGTTGGTACATACCATCACCGTTGTTAATAATCGAATCCTGAATAACAATGTTCGAAGAGCGATAGAGATCCCTGTGCTCGTTAATTTCTTGTCCCACACACAGGCAGATAAGTGCACTCACCATCCATCAGTATTCTTCGCCGTATTCTTACTACTGCTGTACCCGGAAATATCAATCCCCTCAAAAAGCACATTCGACGAATTAGCCACAAAGTGATACCACTGCGGCGAATAGCGCAGCTTCAGCGGACCAATAGTGCCGCCATGCAGACCGATAACGCCGACGAGGATGGGACGCAGGATCAATGCATCCTCCGCGTACAAGTCGTACCAGACCTGTCCATTGCCATCGAGGGTGCCGCCGCCGTAGAGGTTGACGTCTTCCCCTCCGAGCTGGAAGAAGGTCGTTGCGTTTTGGTAGATTTGTTTGAAGGCGTTGGTTTGCCAGTAGTCTGTGTCGTTGGTGAATTTGATTGTGCCGAGGACCTCTGCCAGCTGTTAGTAAATGACTATATGAGAGATTGACTAAGAACTCTTCAGCAGTACATACCAAGATCGACATGCTTCAAGAACGTCATATCCAGCGCCGTGCCCACGGTATACGTCTTATCTTCGTCGAAAACAACCTTGCCACCATTATTACACTTGTGCAGCGCGGAGAGGATATTCTTCGAATCATCGGCTCCATTGCCATGACTAGCAACATGGCACGTCTTCGTCCGAGCCTGGCTAATAGGGAGCGGATGGAATGGCTGGTGCGGCTTGCAGGCTTCTGTCCGCGAGTACTTCTTGGCTGAAGAGGCTTTTGCCTCGACGATTAAGCCAAGTGACAAGAGGAGGCCGAGGGCCTGTGTCAATATGGAAGCCTTCATCTTGGCCAACGACTATAAAGCTGTCGGTGTCGGGAGTGATGGATGTCGCTAGCAGGGGATCCCTTGCTTTATATGCGATGCAAATAAATAGCAAATGCTATACCCCGTTGCTATGCATTGCTATTCTGTAATAGTCAAGGCGCGCTGTAGACGGTGGGGTAACCGCTCTTCGTCCGGGGAAACGGATCGTGGGTTGTGGGGGAGGCTTCGATGGATGCGTGCGCTGGTTGGTGCGCAAGCCTGGTTTGTGGTTAGCGAGGTGGTCGGAGATTGAAAGGGCTGCGGTTTGTATGGATTTGGGTGTTTTTAAGCATTGGTGGCGTCCGATAGGAGGAAGATATGCGAGGAATTTCACCGATTGGGAGGAAAAACCCGGGTAAACACCAACGATGGGGCTGGGGTTTGTACTAGCAGTGAGTACTAGTAACGTTTCAATGTTGCTGCAGGTCCGCGCAATGCAGGAGCTCGCACCGGGCCAGATCTTACTTCCAGGATCCGTCGCTAATCACTGCTCATTTGCCTACAGCTTCGGAGACGGACGATTACGTTACTCAGTATACTGTAGGAGGTCTACACAGCTCGGTGAAACAAAAACACTGCAATGTTTATATGTACAGCGGGCTTCCATGGACAGATGTCCGCACGGGAATATAGCGTCCTCAACAACCTCACAAGCGCACGCTCACAAGATCATCCAGATGACCCGGGTCTCACCCAGATCTCTATATATGCCAACCACGAAACCCGTCTATCCCTCTCAAGACCCGCACAACCCATCTGTTTGTCGCATATGCACCATTTTAGGACGACTTCTCAGCCTTAACAGCACCCTCAGCCTTGTTGGCAACGGCCTTCGCGGAGTCGGCAACATCCTTCTCCATATCCTTGACAGCCTCGATGGCGGAACCCTCCTGGCTCTGGCGCCACATGTAGATACGGGAAACCTGGACGACACCAACGCATCCGAGGAAGAAGTTGACGGCGGCAAGCCTGAGCAGATATATTAGTACGTCATCGCAAGATTCGAGGTCGGGTGGTATAGACATACAGGACGTTACGGGGCTTGATGATCAGGCACCAGCGGGTCCAGATGGCACCGGTACCCATCAGAGCGGCGTTCTGGGTGAGGGAGAGCTTCTCGGCGGGACGGTTGAAGTCGGAGATACCGGCAATGACCAGAGCCCACTGTTCACGTTCGTGTTAGCATTATCTTTTCGGTCCATTCCATTGCATTTTCCGTCGCGCAGGCTTTTCGTGTGGGAATCGAGACAGTCGTGCGAGTCGAAGCAAACGCGAATATCAGGATCGAATTGATGGAGTCATGATCGTACCTTCATAACGGGAGCCCTATCATACCAAAGTTAGCACTCGATCAACCCAGTAACTCTTCTGCCTGCCATTCAGCAGACCTCAAAAGCGTTAGACCCACCAGAAATGCACAGTCTTCACACCGACAGGGCTGTTCCACAGGCGCTGGAAAGTGCTCTGCTGCTCCGCGGCGCCGGCGCCGGCCTCGGAGCTCTGAAAGCGCCAGCCCTGGGCACCCGGCCGGCGGAATGGCGCAGAGGCATTGCGGAACGCAAAGCGAGCGTTGTTGAAGAAGCGGAAGCCTACACGAGACGACATGGCTGTATAGAGGGGAGAGTTGCGGTGGTAGGAAGGTCGTTGGGGTGAGGAAGGGCGGAAGCGTCCGGTGATCGGGAGCGAGTTTTCCGAGGACAAGCAGTCGCGTTCACGTCGCCACACAGAATTTCAGATAAGATTGAGAGTGCAATAGCACAATACGACTACGATCAATCTCTTAGTTATTCATTCAACCACTTTCGACCTTCTGCTGTCGCATTGCAGGCGGTTCTTTTCCGGCTGATGTAAGCATTGGCGCTATCCCGTATATAGTAGGTTTGCAGCCTCAGGCCACATTCTGCCGAGCGAATCACCGCCGCAGCGAATAAGACTGCGGTCATTTGAGGCCCTCCTTGAGTTCTCGTTGACATCCCCCACCAACTCTCGCCGCGTCCCTCCCAACATGTCGGGCAAGTACGTCTTCACCAAGGGCCTGAAGGAGCTCCGCTTCCTCTTCTGCCAGACCTCCGAGCAGAGCGCTGCGACACGGTACGTCTCTTCCCGACTCCTCAACCCCGGCCCCGGCCTTCCGGCATCACGACATGAATTGCCCAAAGCTGACACTGTGCTTCGCGATAGATCCTTCATCAACCGCGCCTACCCCACCATGAAGAAGCACAACCCGCACACTCCCATCCTGATGCGCGAAGCCTCGGGTACCCAGCCGCGAGTCTTTGCCCGATACGGTACGAAGCTTGTGACAACCCAATTGAGAAGAAACGGCTGCTGACATACTGCAAATATAGAGCTTGGAAAGGAGAAGCAAGAGGCGCTGGCTGGTGAGTGAACGTGGACCCTTGCGGGGCATACTCATGGACATTGGCAGCTAACATTGAACGTACAGGTCTCACGGATAGCCAGATTGAAGAGCGCATCACCAACCTGGTGAAGCAGTCATAAACTCTGAAACTTCTGTTTTATGTCTTTCGCGTTTCCATCCATCCTATGTACCTATAGATGAAATCGAGCCTCGTCAAAATCAAACATCGACCAGACCTAAATCCAAGCCATTCCAAACACTGTCCGAGAAAAGAACCGAAATATATCATTCACCACAGGTACTTACTACCTAGGATACGGTACTCACAACGAACTACTATCCCCCACCTCCCCAAACCTATACTGCGCCCAACTCATACTCCCCTCGGGAAAAGTCCACAACCTCTTCCCCTCATCAACACCCGCAGCCCCAGCCCCAACATGAATAGGCAGCAAATGATCAAACCAAGGATGCGCCTGGCGCGCATCAGGCCTCTTCAACAACTCCGCCATAGCCTTCTGCCGTTCCCCGGGGGCGAGGAAACAGCCTCCTTAAGCGCCTCGTCAAAACTAACCGCATACGGCAATGGCCGCGGCGAGCCCATCGTAAAGCGCATGTCGCGGAGATTGTGCACCGCCATTCCGGAAACAATAATCAGGATGTTTTGCGAGCGAAGGTGCGAGACTGCTTGGCCTAGTCGGTAGTGTTGGTCTGGGTCTTCGGTGTCGAAGAGGGAGACTTGGACGATTGGGACGTTTAGTGGGTTTGTTTTTGGTTCGAAGGCTGCCCTCGAACCCTCGGGGTTAGTTTGTTTCTTTCTTTTTTACTTGACACTGAATGTGATAATTTCGGGTTGTACATACCGCACTTAAAACTAGCCCAGACACCATGATCAAGACCGCGCTTGACGCCCTTCGCTTCAATACCGGCTCCCTGCAAAGCAGAGAGTACTTTATCAGCGACCTGCCGACTGCCGACGTTGGGGTACTTTTCCTCGTAGTAATGGTCGGGGAAGCCGTAGAAACTGTATCGATGTTAGCAGCCTTCCACTACCAGTACCCTAACATGCTATAGAATGTATGAGAACGGGAATAGAAGCATCACATACTCATAAATCAAATCCGTCATCTCAGCCGTATTAACATAAATGACATCTTTCCCACCCTGCCAGTGCGCAGAAAACACAACCACGGCATCCGGCTTGACCTTGGTCGTGATTTCCTTGCCGATGGCGCCGAGTTTCTTGTAGGCTGGGTGGTCTGTTTGGTACATGACGTTTGGCTAATCGTTCTAAGATATTAGCATTCATCCTCGTGTCTTGTCTCTATACCATGTGCAAAGAATTAGTAACGATGGATACATACCCCACCATGACTCAAAAAATAAACTGGCGTCTTGGTCGTCATTTTCGAAGAATCAAATTCCGAAGATATCTTCGCTGAATACGAACTCGCAGCAACCGATGCAGACGCAGACGCAGCAGATAATCCCACTACGCTCGGACAAGAAGGCGCAAAGGCCCGACGGAACGAATTCAGATTGGCGTGGTCAATTAGACAAGCAATGACAACGGCACACAGAAGCGTGACGATAAAAATCAAGAGCTTACGCGAGGGTTGTATCTCAGGTGTTCGTGTGGGATGTTGTTGCCGCGCTTCCGAAGGCATATACCCGCTTTCCGATGTCAGCACCTAGGAGATATCGCTGCTGCAATGCTGTGGTGCCAGGATGGCTGAAGCAGTCAAGAATTCTGGCTTATATACCTCTGTAAGCAACGGATTTTCACATACACTCGGACTAGTGTGGTTTATCAAGAAGAATGGGTTCGGGTTTACGGGGTTGCCGATGCATAAGCCGATCGGATTGTGTGTCAGCGCGGAATGGGGCCGCCCGAGCCTTCTCGTACATTGAAGACAGCAGCATCGTTCTGCGACATCCATGATGCTATTAGTAACTTGCAGAAATAATATACAACTACACTACACTGGTATAAGGTAATGAAATTATAATATAATTGCCACAGCAATCATTCTATGTTAAACAGCCTAGCTCCGGGGTATTTATGGCCCACCCGTATCCGATCATGTCCCATTGCAATGGGGAGTAATGCACCGACCCAAAAGCAGAAAAGCATAAAGATAATGTGCAAGGAGTCAGTACGACTGCCGCAGAAAAAGAAAAGAAAGAAAAAAAAAAGAATGGTACACAATGCGCCGGTGGTCATTAAATTACATGAGTCCAATATGCGGATGGATTAGTGACGGGGGTCCTAGCAAGACACCCGTCGGTTACATGACGATGCAGTCTCCGTCGCTTTGTTTGTTCACGGCTGAGCGGGAGAGACGCGTCTTTTGCATGCGCTGGCCGCCCTTCTTTAGGTCTTCAAGGCGTTCGCGGGCTTTGGGGAATCCTTGCGCTGTAATAGTAACTCAGTCAGTATTTGATAAACTTCAGTAGATGAGTCGAGGAGAGGAGTCTTACCCGCTGCACGCCAATACCATCGCTTCGCATCCTCCAGATTAGCGGTGGCGCCAATTCCAACCTCGGTGAAGTATCCCATCGCATATTCAGCCTTGGCAAGGCCAGCAGTGGCAGCCTTTCGTGCCCACAGGTATGCCTCAGTGTCGTTTTGTTGCAATATGCCATCTGATCCAGTCAGATACCAACCACTCAGAGCCAGCTCGCTCTGGTGCTCGCCCTGCGCCGCGGCACGGGTATACCAAATGATACTCGTGCGGTTGTCGACCGGACATCCCATCAGTCCATATTCGTACGCCGTACCAAGGCGGAACTGCGAGAACTTGTAGCCCAGTTCCGCGGCCTGGTGGAAAAGTTGGCAGGCGTATTGCTCGTCGCGGATGATGACATCGTTGCCACTGGCAGTCTGGTACATGAGAGCGAGCTCGTGGAGCGCGTGCGGGTTCTCCGCGTCGGCGCGTTCGGCGGCCCGTTTTAGCCACGAAACACCCTCGCGTGGACTGCGCGCTTGACCCAGCAAGCCCTTCAGGTTGATCATGCCCATCTTGTACATTGCCGGCGTGTCACCCAAAGATGCAGCCCGCTTGTACCACTGTACGGCTTTGAACGGGTCTCGCTTTGTGCCGCCACCCTCTTCCTGGCCGATTTCGCAGCAGACTGCCACACGGTACGCAGACTGGGCGTGGCCTTGCTTTGCGGCGGACTGGTAGAGGGAAAAGGCTTCCTTGGGGTCCACTTCCAGTCCGAGTAGGCCCTCGCCGTAGCAATCTGCAAGGAAAAACTGCGCCTCGGAGTACCCGGATGAGACAAGCTTTTTAACAATCTTGTACGCATCCTGAATGTATTTCTCCTTGGTCTTGGCTTTGGTCTTGGTATCTAGGCGGCTATTCTCCGCTACTAGTACCACAGCAGCCTCGGCGAGTTTCTTGGCAAGCAGAAGCTGAGTCTTTTGGTCGCTGGGGTTGGAGCGCGCCTTTTGCTGCAGCGCTTGTAGCTCTTCCTGTGTGACGGGAGCAGGTCCTGCCATTCCATCTGGAGGCATCGGTTGCGGAGCAGCCGGTGCTCGCGCGGGAGCAGGAGTTGGAGCAGTATTGTATTGGCGAACGGGAGCGGGCTTGGCAGCCTGGTCGTGGCCAGGTCGGAAAGGCACTGGCATCGGATGGTGAGGAAGAGCGTCTGGGTTCTGTTCTTGTTCTGGCGGTGATTGCGGCTGCTCTGGGTGGTACGTTTGCTGGCCGTAGGGAGAATGGCCATTCGGCGAATACGGACTGGTCTGCTCATAGCCGTATCCAGAGCCATCCAGTTGATGCATTCCAGGCACGGCAGGCGGTTCCTGCGGAATGTCGAACTGGAAACCGGCATTTTCGAACTGGTTCGGAGCGTCGCCTCGCAGATTAGGCTGAGACCGGGAGCTTGCGAGTGGAGTTCCTGGTCCCGAAGAATCTGGGGTATACGGTGCATAATGGCCGCCAGATCCAGAGGATGGTGATGTAGGCGTCTGCGCTGTTGGCTTCGGCGGTGTATCCAGGCCCATCTCATCAATCGGGCCCATGTTATTCGACGGCATGGCATCAAAATTGGGCATGTCTTGCTCCTCTTCATGGGAGCCGAAGTAGCTGTCCAAAAATTCCTTCGGGGCATAAGATACTCGGTTGGAGGGGTCCGGAGGAATTATCAATCCAGGGTCAATGTCGTTGACCGGGCGAGCGCGTGGGGGTCGCATGCCTCCAGCCGTGCTGGGACGAGGAGGCATTGGCTCACCCATCGAGCTAGGCGCATGATCGGACTCTGGGTAGGCCGGTTGAGGCGGGTACATATTTGGTGGCTGACCCAGAGGCATTGTGGCACTTCGCGGTGGTCCCGGGAAAGGGCCATTCGGGTCCGTATATCCTCGGTCGGGGCGATCAGGGCGCGGCCGTCCAGGGCCCGGGGGATATCCTCGGCCACGGACAGGCGGCATTCCGCGAGGAGGTGGGCGCATGTCCGGTCGACGGGAGTTCGAGGTATGTGGTCGAGGCGGCGGTCTTCCGTTGATATCCATCGCCGCCATGCCCTTTTCGAGGCCGCGAGGGGGGAGGACCCCGTCGGTCTCGAGGGTCTCTGGGAGGAACCGCGGGAAACGGGTTATCGAAGCCGGGAGGAGGACGGCTGCCGGCTGCATCATTCAGAATAGAGTCAGCAGATGATTTCAAAAAGGTCAAATTTCTGCGCGATGAACTTACGAGGAGGTCCTCTCCGCTTCTGCGGGGGAGGTCTGTCGCCGGGATAGCCCCGGCCTGGTGGAGGACGAGGCGGTCCTGGAGGGCGCATCGAGCGCGGTGCTTGCGACGAGCCGTAGGGGCCTGCCGGACCTGCCTGGTAGCCGTATCCTGGGTCATCATAACCACCCCCATCGTACGGCTGCTCGGCATATCCGCCGTACATCTCATCGGGAGTGTACGGCGCTGCGGCGGAAGCGGGCGAGGGAGCAGCGTATTGCCTCATGGGCGGTGGGCGCTGAGACGACGGAGGGTATTCCATGGCGCTGGCTCGCGGAGGGAGAGAGCACAAGACTCTCAGATAGGGGACTTCGCGATCGCGCCAGTTGCCCTGATCGCATGCAAGGAGGGACGGGGTTCTTCAGAATTCCAGTCAGGCTGCGCACACGAGTCGCACCACGTGCGGACCAGAATGGGCTCAGGACTCACCGTGACAGCGAGACAGCGAGACAGCGAGACCCGATGGGACCAAATTGACTGGATATATGCGTGTAGTCGACTTGACTCTAGTATCACCAGACCGCGGGGAGGAATTTGAGGGGGGCCAGGTGACTTTAATAAAACCGGCGACCCACTGCCAGGCACGCCTGCCGTCATCGACCCTCTTTCCTTTGGAACAATTCACGGCTTGGCATCGCCAGCAGACTGTTTGCGCTGGTGGAGTTTAGGCGAGACATTAACTGTCCCGTCGCATTTATAGGAGGCTTACAGTAGTAGCAGAGAACATTACGGTGGCTGCGGCGATTGGCGACGATGCTTCGGACAAGGCGCGCGGTTACGATGCCCTTGTCACGCTGCGTACTGTGCCTGACGATCAGGGGGTGCAGCGAGACCGTACCAACCCTAGGGTACTTCAGGTGTATACAGTAGTAGGATTTGGGACTAGGGCGAATGCACCCTTCGGCCAAACTGCAATTTGCCTCTGGCGTGGAGTCGTTTCGAGTGTTTCCAGCGTTTCGTGGGTCATCCCATTGCTGCCTATACCTTAGGGTATGTACCAACGTACTGCGAGGGTATGTATGGCGTCCAAGAGATTGGATTGCAAGCGCCGGGCCAATCCTCATTTCGCAGCGGCTTTACACTTTTCTAGTGGTGTACTCCACTCTGCTGGGCCACAGCATGGCTTGGCTATCTGTCGGAAGGAAATTACAGGCGGATCGAGGCATGACTAAGATAAGCAGGGCTAGGGCTGGAGATGGAGGCCACTGTGTGAACCCAGCAGACCCTACGACTGTCGTACGGGCCGGAGATAGAACGAAGGAGCCGATAATGGTCCCAGTCTCCAGCTGCTCAATCGGTCAATCTCCGTGCCGATGCATTGTTTCCGAAGATATTATGCACACGATGCCATTGCCATAATCTTCATCAAGTGGACATGTCTCAGCCCAGGGAAAGACGTCAGGCGTTAAATTCCAGCGGGGAAGGCAGGCCTGAGGAAACTACAGGGACTAACGAACCCACTGAAGAAGTTAGAACCCGTGGAACCAAACGTATTCAGGCCTCTTTCACTTACCCTGCCAGTGGGTAAGGTACTAAGCATATCGCGCTTGCCCAAAAAGGCTAGATATCCTGAGCCACACGACTGAGACAGCTGCGCCACACCGCCACACCCAGCAGCAAATGAGAGCCGCGCCGATCCCGATGATGTCTCTCCGAACCCATCCTCCCATCTTCCCTCATTCCGACTCCGTCTTCCGAGAAACAATCATGTCGCGCGCGGGGCTCTGGTTAAAGACCATTGCCGGGTAAGTGACTTCTAGCCGAGGCGCCATTGCCAGCAGCGCAACCAGCGCAAGCCGGCGCTGTACCACACCCTCGCCTGAAACAAACACTAACAAGCGTCACAGTGGAATTCTGATTTCCATCGGCGGCCCAGCATTCGTCGAGTACATCCGGCCAACCGACGAGGAACTGCGCAAGCGGTATAACCCGGACCTGCAGAAGCGCGCTGCCGAGCAGGGGAGTCGCAAGGAGCAGGAGTTTGATGACTACGTGAATAAGTTGAAGGAGTGGTCCAAGTCGGATAAGTCGAGTAAGCCCAGCTAGCCGGCACTTTCGTAGCTGTCCCGTCATGGAAGAACTCAAGGCTAACGACTTCATGTCTAGTTTGGTACGCCGCCCAGGAAGAACAAGATCGCAAACGCGCCGTCGAGGATGCCGCCCGCGTGCAGGCAAAGGAGCAGGCTCGGGTACAACGAGAGGAAATGCGCAAGGAGATGCTGGGCGAGAAATGAGTAGTCGTCTTGTCTGCTCCAGCTTTTCTCGAGGGTGGCTGAATGCGGTGCGAACCGCTGCCTTGCCACAATCCTTTTCTCTGTCTGCGACTGTGCTAAACTACCGCGACTGCGTCTTTAATTTTCTGACGCTCAGATCTTCTGTACGATCATTATGGCGTGTACGATACCTCCCTTCGCATTCTTGCTGGGCTGTCTTTTTTCGGCTCTGTATATTATTCCTACGATCGCATCTCCGTTCAATTCAAAAGCAACTCGGATGAAATTGGTTTGTATTTATCTGGTAAGTAGTAGTGCTATATATATCCTAGTGTCGAGTAAGGCCACAAAGGTTACACTAAAGTGATGCGTGGTGAACATAGATCATCATTGTCAACACAAATATATATATATCCGATTCATTTGATCCAATTTTACTCAATCATGTCAAACATTCAGAAATTCCAACCAATCTGAACACCGCGCTCACATTGAGCCTAATCCAATGCATGCGACGAAAGGAAATCTATATACCATTACACTGTGTAACACCATATCCACCCAAAACACCACTTTGACAATACATTATGTCAAACCATCTCACTCAGAAAAACCAACGCCCCAACCGGCGCCAACACAAAAAGCACAACCAAAATCCCAGCCCCCGCCTTGTCACCTTTCGTAACATCCCTCGTCCTCACATCCGTGTTCCTCTCATCCGAATCCCCAATACCAGGTTTATTCCCGGTACTCGTCCCACCTGTATTATGCGAAACAGGCTTACTATCAACATGCACAAGCGTAGCCTGAATAACCTCAAGCGCAGACATCTGCTCCCCGATCCCGGTGGTATCATCGTACTTATCCCCATCCGTCCAGCGCAGCCCACACTTATTATCAGGTCCGTTGCACTGCTTTGCGGCGGCTTGGGCAGAGGCGTTGATTTTCGTCATTATCCGGTCTTGCGTGAAAGGGGCCAATGGGACTGTGGCGCCCATGAAGCGGGCTAGATAGGCTTTGAAGGATTGTTCGTTTACGTTGCACTTGGCCACTTCGCATGGCTGGGACATTATGTTTTTGTTTTGGGGGTAGAAGAAGGCAGATAGGGCGTTTGTTATGCCGTTTACTCGTTTTTTCCATTTGGTGGTGTTGGTTGTGTCGTTGGCGTTTGAGGACTAAGTGATGGTGTTAGCATTTTGCTCTGTTGTTCGCATTGGAGGTTGTTCGCTGATGTACTTACAAGGCTGTACATATTGGCCGCGCCATGCATAAAAACAGCAGGAAGATAAGCATGCTGCGTCCGATCAAACGTAGTGCAATTATTCTTCGAATCAGTATTATCATAAATGTCATACTTATCCGTAATAAGCCCAATGCCCTCACACCAATCCCAGATCTTATTCGCCCAGTCAGCATAAGTCTGATTCCCGGTGTAAAGCGCCAACCTGGACGCAACATTAAACAACCCCCCATTCGAGATGGAATTCTTCAAATGCCAGCCACCCAGAGACTCATACGCCTGCCAATGTAACCCACCACCACAGGTAGACGTATCCCAGCGCGCGGCCTGCGAATTGAATACGTTCTCCGCGAGCTCAAGCCACTGCGGCTGGCCCTGCGGTGGATTGGGGTACTTAGTTTCCGCGGCCGACATCACCGTAAAAGCCCAGAAGATCTGGTCGTCATTGCCCATACTTCGGGTTTGGTTGTAGGGCATGTAGTCGTTGTCCTCACCTGTTTGGTGAAGGAGGGCTTGCGTGGTCCAGTCGTTCCATTGCGAGTCGCCGGTGTAGTACCAGTATTCTACCATCGCGCCGAACATCGCGCCTGCTTCCCACCAGTAGTACGGGTCTGGGATGTTACCGGGTACGTCGCCTGGTCGGTAGCCCGTGTAGTAGCTTAGCATGCCCTTGGCAGCTTCTTTTGCTGCTGATTTTATGGAATCTGTTTGGTCGGATTCGTGTTAGGGCATGCTACTTGGTGGGGATTGAGATAGCCACAAGCGTACCAGTTGATGATAGGTCGAGGTCTATAGACGCTCGCACTGTCTGTGATCCGAGAAGAAAAGCGAGCAGGAATGGTCGCCATGATTGTATGGTCCCCTCCATGGCGAAGCGGCGAAATAAGGCTGGAGCTCACTTTGCCGATAGTGTGTGGACTCGGATCACAGATGCCAAGGTCCTGTCAGATGGTAGCTTTCACTAGAAAAATGCTTGTCTGGGAGAGAGAAAGAGAGGCGTGTATACAAAGGCTTCCACGGCAATAGAAATGGAAAGAGAGTATATTCGAAGATAGAGTGCGGTGTAACTCAGGCTAGACCGCTGACTCTGAAGAGCAACAGAAAACGAACGCAGAGATAGTGAAAGGAAGAGAGTATCACAGCTGGGGCTATTTTAAGATTGTACAAATGCCCGAACATCCCCGGGGCAAAGGGACCAGGCAAACTCCCGAGGGGCCGTCAGGATGAGGAGAAAAAGAACCCCTCATGACTCTCAAGTCAGCATACAGCGCAGCAAAACGCAGACTAGCTGATGAAGATCGACGGAGATGTAACAGGACCATCTCCAAAAAGCGATTCAACCAGTCCAGGAAGGCCTGCGAAGTGGATGAGCTGCAGGGTCCGGCGGGATGGACTTTGGGGCCGAAGCAACTAGACGAATCAATTAGCGTCGAGCCCGCAGATTCCACATGGATGAGGCAGGGCAGCAGAATTGGCCCCCCGACTCGAAGGATTTTTCTCTATTGCACGGCCGAGTCAGACGATGTAGGATCAGGCTAGGGGTTGGGGAAATCTTGGCGTGCATCTGGTGTGCAGGATATAGAACGAAACAGGTGTTGAGTGCGATAGAATGGTCATTGGCTGCCTGTCAGATCGAGGCTTGAGGCTCGACTAGATTGACATTAGATATCCCTGGCTTTGATGTGGATGCATGTCTGCATGGACCACCGAATCCATTGCGATACGATTGCGAATGTGAATCTTGCCGCATCGAGCCGGCTAGGCAGCCTCAATCCCCACAACGTCGAATATTTGGTGTCCGCCAGGCTGCATGAGGCTGTCGACTTGTCCCACAGCAGTACTCGCCCCTGAAAGGCTGCAGGGCCGTGAATTCGCATCAGGTAATTCGCCAGATCGAAGGGTCACGATCGACATGTTCCTTGCCTGCCACGTTGTACAGCCGCGTCCCCCCCCCTCCCCCGGGGCGATGGAACGTAGGTTAATCAGTGATCGGGATCATCTGCTTGATGCGATCGTGCATATCGTTCTGGAATACTTTAAGAACGTCCGGGACTGCCGACTGTTGCTGGAGATGGAAGGGGAGGAGCGGCCGGAGAGTGTTACTATGTTTAGTAACGGTTTCTCGAGCAACGCTACGTGGTCTCCATTGTTCAGTATAGGCAGCCACCTGGGCATCTCCCCAGCCGCAACTCTGACTCGATGAATTGCCCTGAGGTGAAAGTAGAAGAAATGAAATGGAATCGTTTATGACATTCAACTCTGCCACGGTTTCCGTTCCAAGGTTAGGAAAATTGCATGGCGACGTGTGTTTGTAGTAGATTGCCTCCTGCCTCAGGCCGACCGGCACCCTGACAGTCCCAGCGGAACAACAAGGCAAGCAATAGTCGCGACTAGCCACGACTAGCTGAGCGGACAGCGTCGAATTTATTCTTTTGCCTATTCTCGATAATCCTCACTGCCAGCAAAAACTGCCGCACAGCCGCCTCGTCCGTTCTTTGAGACAGCGCCACAGCTCACGTGACTCTGAGCAAACCCGCCATCAGCGGCAACTCGCAACTCCAGGCCAAGTCAGCTTCAGATCACCTCCTCCAGATCCCCTCCCGCATCGACCGTGCTCACTTCGCTCTCTCTGCAACGCCCGTCGCTTTCACCTCTGCCACCCATACTATCCTCTGGTTGGTTTTCACCCCCACCCTCTTGTCCCAACACAACACCCTGACTGCCCCATACCGAGGTGGTCCGGTCCCTTTCCACGACGAGCCGTTTTCTAAGACCCCTTTGTCTCCAGTTCCGCCCTTCACGATGTCCCACGAACAGCCTTATGACCCTTATATCCCTGCCGGTGGTAATACCGCCACCGCGGGCGCAGGCGCCTCCCAGAATGGCAACCAGCGAACCGCCGCACTGCAAGCGGTATGTCCTCCCTTCCCCACACTTTTCGACGGCCGATGTTCGCGAGACAGCGTCAGATAAGCGATACCTGGTGTCTAGCAGACGATTTATTGTGCACCTGGCTCTGTCGCGCTGGACCTCGCCGATTCGAACACCCAAACAATGGGAGTCCGCAACCGTACTAACTTTGTTCCTAGCAAATCGACGACACTGTCGGTGTCATGCGCGAAAACATCAACAAGGTCTCCCAACGTGGTGAGCGCCTTGATTCCCTGCAGGACAAGACCGACAACCTGGCCGTATCAGCCCAGGGCTTCCGTCGCGGCGCCAACCGCGTGCGCAAGCAGATGTGGTGGAAGGATATGAAGATGCGTGTATGCCTGGTCATCTGTGTCATCGTCCTGCTGATCGTGATCATTGTGCCTTGTAAGTGTGCTCCAGCTCCTTGCCCAGATCTGGGCTACTCCGTGGCGATCACCGGATCGAGAAGGCCGAGTGGGACGCTAATCCTTCTCTCTAGCTGTCTGGGCCGCCAAACACTAGTTATGGCCACGAAACTACAGATGACACGATTCGATCTCGATCTCACGCATGCCACGCGAGTTGTGCTTTTTCAATTGGGAACATGGGGAATCTTGAAATGTTTTGCCGGGTTTTTACTTCAAGTCGTTGAGGATCATGGGGCTCCGTCGTCGTTTTCCAGCCATTAACCGCTAATACCTCCTGCTGTTTTGTTTATGCCGTGCTTTTTTGCTGCCCTTTTTTTTTGCTGCCGCTCCTTTTCTTTGGGCGTGTTGAAATGACCAAATACTCTTGCTTTCCCGTGCCGACGAGACGAGCGACGTCCAATGTTTGGGTCTATTTTTTGCATGGGATGAAGCCCGCCCCCTCGGGGAATGTAAATGATACTGCTGTTCAAGTATGTGACATTATGCGGTGAATATTTTCCTTGTAGTCTAAGTGTAGCTTGGATACCCGAGGTACTTCAGGTACATCTGTGAGTAGGCTGATCCCTGCATCGGACCGAATACACCCCACTTGGCAGCTGGCAGCTGGCAGCACTTTCTATATACTACGTAAGTACGTACAAATACAGTATGTTACATTTCTGCAGGTTTATTCTGCAGGGCTTACAGTCAGCCGCCCTACGAATGTCTGCAGACAGTACTAAGTGGAAACACTCGTCCGATGTCGCCGTACCCGAAAGAGTTGCAAAGTTCTGGTGTGACCCGCTTCGAACGGCGAGTGCCTTGGCAGACAGTCAAGTGTCTGCTCAACGCCAGCCGTCCAGAGCAACGCGAGGCTCTGGTAGGCTATCCGCTGGCCGGCGCCTTCGTGTCCGAGTCGGAACGAAGTGCAGAAGGCCGGCAAGCTCAGACAGAGTGGAGGAAGTGGATAGGAGAACCACGCAACGCACGAGTCACAGGCACCGATGCGATCAGATAACTGGCACTAGGCCCAGGCCGGGTGACGTTTCGACAGATCTCCGAGTTGTTCCAGCGATAGTGGAGTTAAGGGAGATGAGAAAAAATCTGTACCTTTTCGGAACCTTGTCTCGCTTGGGAGTCCCGAGTTGGCGGACCCTGGATGATCTGTACGGGGAAGGATTTTTTGGCTGGCGCCGACACCGCTGCAGCCAGGGTTCCTTGAATTCTCAGTCTCGACCAGACGTGGACGTAGTGTACTAGACAAAAATTCGTGGTAATTGCTGCGCTGTTATTTGTAGCCGACTCAGATTGCTTTTTGCGTTGGGGCGAACGATCATTCGTGAATTATTTCTCGCGCCCAGAAAATGGAACTGGCGGGCGGTGGAGACGGCGACGCCGCTAAAATCTCTCGACCGCAGTTAGTCACATCTCTCTCGCACCTTCACCTTCACACCACACCACCACCTCTCCACTCCCTCCGTTGAATAAAAAGGGGCCTCCCCCTCCGGCACCTGCGAAGTTCCCAATTGAAGCTGCCGCATGTCGAAGATGCTGTCCCTTCGCTCCGCCGTGCGGAGAGCTTCCACCAAGCCCCTCCGGTCCTTCTCCGCACCGCACACTCCCCTCCGTGCCGGCCTCACTGCCAGTGTCAAACTGTCGAATGCCCGTCACCAGACTCGTGCCTACTCGCGAGCCACCGACCCTTCGCTCAGCTCGACCCGCAGCACCGTCGTTCAGCTGCTGAGCAACATCGGCTCCAAGCGTGAGGTCCAGCAGTACTTGTCCCACTTCACCTCGGTCTCGTCCCAGCAGTTCGCCGTCATCAAGGTCGGCGGTGCCATTATTACCGAGCACCTCCAGACCCTGTCATCCGCGCTCGCGTTCCTGAACCATGTCGGTCTGTACCCGATCGTCGTCCACGGCGCCGGTCCCCAGCTCAACAAGATGCTGGAGGACGCCGGTGTCGAGCCCCAGTTCGAGGACGGTATCCGTGTGACTGATGGCAAGACTCTGTCGCTGGCCCGCAAGCTGTTCCTGGAGGAGAACATGAAGCTGGTTGAGGAGCTGGAGCGCATGGGCATCCGTGCCCGTCCCTTGACCGCAGGTGTCTTCTCCGCCGACTACCTCGACAAGCCTAAGTACAACCTGGTCGGTAAGATCAATGGCGTCGACAAGAAGCCCATTGAGTCCGCCATTGCCGCGGGCTGCCTGCCCATCCTGACCTCCATGGCCGAGACCCCTGATGGTCAGGTCCTGAACGTCAACGCCGATGTCGCCGCCGGTGAGCTGGCCCGCGCTCTGCAACCGCTGAAGATTGTCTATCTGGCCGAGAAGGGCGGTCTCTTCAACGGTGACACTGGTGAGAAGATCTCCGCCATCAACCTCGACGAGGAGTACGACCACCTGATGAATCAGTGGTGGGTCCGCCACGGCACTCGCCTCAAGATCAAGGAGATGAAGGAGCTTCTGAGCGACCTGCCCCGCTCTTCTAGTGTGGCGATCATTCACCCGGCCGACCTGCAGAAGGAGCTGTTCACCGACTCCGGTGCCGGTACCCTGATCCGCCGTGGTAACAAGGTGCACGTCCGCACCTCTTTCTCCGAGATCGAGGACATTCAGCAGCTGAAGGAGGTGCTGATTCGCGACCGTGAGGGTCTCGATGCCCGCGCCGTCGTTGACCGCTACGTCGAGGGCCTGAAGGAGAACGACTTCAAGATCTACTACGATGACCCCATGGAGGCTCTGGCCGTGGTCCTGCCCCCTCAGCAGGGCTCTCTGATTGCTCAGCTGGCCACCTTCACCATTACTAAGTCTGGCTGGTTGACCAATGTCGCCGACAACGTCTTCCAGAGCGTCAAGAAGGACTTCCCCAAGCTCGCCTGGACTGTCAAGGAAGACGACGAGAACCTGACCTGGTTCTTCGACAAGGCCGACGGCAGCCTGAGCCGTGACGGCCAGGTTCTGTTCTGGTACGGTGTCGAGAACGGCGAGGAGGTCAAGCAGCTGGTGCAGGAGTTCACTAAGAACGGCCGCCAGATGTTCGGTGACATCAACCTCGAGTCCCGCCTCCACCGCGCTCACCAGGCCGCTACCAAGTTCGCCAAGGGCCACGGTCTGAGCGGCGCCTCTGCTGAGCAGAAGCGTGCTTTCTCTTCCACTTCCAATGCCCTTCGTGCCTCCCGTGTGCGTCCCACCGTGGCCGTCAACGCCATGCGTACCTACGCCACCACCAACCCTAACCCTCCTCTTGGTGAGAAGAACGCTTCCAACTCCACCCCGGCCAAGGTTGCCCTCATCGGTGCCCGTGGCTACACCGGCCAGGCTCTGATCAATCTGCTCAACGCCCACCCAAACATGGATCTCCGTCACGTCTCCTCGCGTGAGCTGGCTGGCAAGAAGCTCCAGGGCTACAACAAGCGGGAGATCATCTACGAGAACCTTAGCCCCGAGGACGTTCGCAAGATGTCCGAGAACGGCGACATCGACTGCTGGGTCATGGCCCTTCCCAACGGTGTCTGCAAGCCTTTCGTCGATGCCGTCGACCAGGGCTCCGAGAAGGGCAATGTCATTGTCGACCTGAGCGCCGACTACCGCTTCGACAGCAAGTGGACCTACGGTCTGCCTGAGCTCGTTGACCGTTCCCTCATCGCTCGTGCCACCCGCATTGCCAACCCCGGCTGCTACGCCACCGCTGCCCAGCTCGGTATCTCTCCTCTCGTCCCCTTCTTGGGCGGCCAGCCCACCACCTTCGGTGTCTCTGGCTACTCGGGCGCCGGCACCAAGCCCAGCCCCAAGAACGACGTTCAGTTCCTCACCAACAACATCATTCCCTACAGCCTGACGGACCACATCCACGAGCGAGAGATCAGCGCTCAGCTGGGCACCAGCATCGCGTTCATCCCCCACGTCGCTGTCTGGTTCCAGGGTATCTCCCACACCATCAGCATTCCCCTCGCGAAGGAGATGACCTCCCGTGACATCCGCAACCTCTACCAGGAACGTTACGCCGGCGAGAAGCTCGTCAAGATTACCGGCGAGGCTCCCCTGGTTAAGGACATTGCCGGCCGTCACGGCGTCGAGATCGGCGGTTTCGCCGTCCACTCTAGCGGCAAGCGTGTCGTTGTCTGCGCCACCATCGACAACCTGCTCAAGGGTGCCGCCACCCAGTGCCTACGTACGTACACCATCCTCTCATCTATAAAAAAATTACCTTCCTAACCCCTATGACAGAGAACATGAACCTCGCCCTGGGCTACTCCGAGTACGAGGGTATTCCCCTGGAGTAAACGATCACCTTACTCCGCGTATAAAAAAAGGAATAAAGGGTCTTGCCGCGCGTTCTTTCATATCCCGCGTGCATCTAGTGGCTGCATGGGTTGGAAATCCACCCGCCCTCCTTGTTTAACTCCGACCGTATCTGTCTGTATCAAAGGACATTGTTGATGTCGAATTTTGGGTTGTTTCATATCGATCTACCATGATCTCCAAGCTCTTGAGTCTTTTTTTTCAACGTCTGTCTCTATTTTTTGCCAAAGAGTTTCGCCGGTTGGTGTTTGCTTTTTAGATTCCATTATATCTCGGATTTCCATTTCGTTTTCTCCTTTCTCTTCGCCGTTGACTGCCAGCAATAGGTGTTGTGTAGGTGTTTTGAGGTGGTGCAGATGCACGTTCTAAAGATAGATGGTAACTGTTTTTTCTGATCGGGATAAAAGTTGTGTTTTCTGAACAGTGGACTTTGTTTGAGCAAGTGTTTCAATTGCTGGGTTCTTGAGGAGAAGTATTATGGTTATAATGGTTGTTCTGGGCTGTCTGACTGATTCATGTGCTGTATGGGAATGGGGCTTTGATGTGTCCGAGCATCTATACAGCCTATGTCTATTTCGTTGACGGCTACATAATTGGACCCATCCGCTCAGCAATTGCAATATGTCCGAACTATGGACAGAGTCGTCACTGTCTCTCAAAAATACCGGCGGTGTCTTAGCAGATTGCCTGCCTACGATATTGCATCTGTAGACCGCTCACTTCACATGTCCGCCTCAGTCCCCAACCATACTCTGTGCAGCACACTCTACTTTTCTCCTCAACAGAGACGTCTTTCTTTCTGCCTCATTCATCTCCCCAACTTTTCAACCATCCACATCCTCCCGAAAGAAGGAAACCACATCATCAAAGCCATCGACACTGCTCTCTACCTCCAGCTACGCCTCACCACCTTCCACAGACCATCCACTCAACCCATCCAAGCCACAGCTTGACTCAGTGGATTCGACGCTGCCCATCTGGGCCTGAGATCCTCCTGCCAGGATGTTCTACAGTCACGAGAGTACGGTACCCTCCATCCCCACAACAGCACAAGACAAGCCGAACTAACTCTCTCCAGTCTTGACATCGCCAAAACATGGCGTCGCAACAGTATGGTATGTCGCATCCTCACCAGCAGAAAATAAACACTACTTCTTCCCAGCATTCCACTAACAAATCCAGGCTTGCTGCGACCCTCGGTCCGAAATCCGCGACCCGGAAAATCAACCGAAAGGCCATTCTCGATGTCAATGTTCCAGGCGCGTGCAGGGTTATCATTGACCCAGAAGCACCGATGGCTTTGCGACTGCAGGGGAGCTTGCTGTGAGTTGCGCTTGTCTGTTTTTGTTGACACTGTGCTCATGGGTGTATTGCGGTAGGTACGGCGTCACGCGCGTGTATAACCAACAATGCGGATACACACTCCTTGAGGCGCAGTCGATGCACGATAAGATGGTTTCCATGTTGAAGCTGTTACCTGGTGGTGGTATCGATCCTAGTGCAGGACGAGCAAGGTATGTACATCAAGTCCCTGATCAATTAGTTGTTGTTATCGTGTATACGAGATAACAACCTCAGACCGAGCACCCTCATCCTCCCCTACGATCCATCCTTCCTCCCCGAGACCGGTCTTCCAGGCCTCGATCTCGACCTTTCGCTATTCAAGAGATTGACAAATCTAGACTCGACGCAACATTTCGGGCTATGGAGTGAGCCCACTGCGGGCAGTCACTCCAGCCTCTCACAGACTGGCAATATCCACCTCGAGCTACCGCAGGATGATGGACTAGTTGGAGCCGGCCTTCAAAGACCTGACGATGGGGTATATGGATCTGCAGCGAAGCGCGGACTCTTTGGGCGTGCGCCGCTGGTACCACTCGATCGACAGAACGAAGAGGGTATTCTTCTCCAGCCGGATTTCGAGTTCGACGAGCATGGGAATATCGTTGAGTTCGATGTTAGTCGGCTCTCGCCGCGGAAGAGGCGGCGCATCAGTTCGATGCCTCAGCTAGAGGAGACTCCTGGAAGTATCCAGCTCCAGAACGAAGTGAGTATATTTGAGATAATGTTTGCTCTTATACTGCAGAGACTAACAGACGTGAAGGCTATGCAACTTGACCAAGGAGAAATTCTGATCCAGGACGAAGACACGATGAACCTCGATATCGCACATGGAAACGCGACTTCACAAACCAAGCATCGAACTGAAACAGGCGTGCCAGACCCGACGGAAATCCGTCGAGCACGTTCTTCCAATCGCCCAGCACGGGAAATCGTCCCGGACGAAAAAACCAGTCTCCGAAATACCGATCTCGCCAACTGGAATCAAAACTATCTAGCGAACATGGCCCAAGCAAACAAGCAAAAGCAGCACAACAAGCTTCCCACCATCGCAAAGAAAAACGCCGCATTCTGGGTATACGGCCAAGGTCTCGGATCCGTGGGGAAGGGCCTAGGAGCACAACCCGAACCCCATCCACTGGCAATGTTCTCCGGCATCAAGCTCTTCCAATCCATCGGCGGGGAAATTATCACCGAAGAACGCGAAGAAGCAGAGAACGAAACAACCAGGAGCCGAGCACGCGAAACAGAACAACCTCGCGACGTCGAATTCGCCCGGCAAGCACCATCCAGCATCATCGACGAACACTCCTCCCAAATGCCATGGAATATCTCCTCAATCCACTCCGGCCAGCGCTACGGAAGCGTCGAATCCCGAATCGAATCAAGTAGTCGCATCGGCGGTCGCCGCGGCAGACTAACCAGCGCCAGTCCGCTCGTCTTGAAAAGCCGGCGCAGACAAGCAGGCGACATCCCCGCAGACCAGGACCCGACTATGACACTTGACGAAGAGCTCGATATAACCCGGTACCTGGAAGACGAGCTGGCCTACGACCGCGGGGAGGTGAGTTCGCTCTCGCGCGGACGCTCCGTCGATCTGGAGCGTGTTACGGCTGGGCTGGACGCGGATACGTTGAATTTCTTCGAGTTTATCCAGGAGGTTCTGACCGAAGAGGAGATTCCGGGAATTACTTTTGAGGAGCTCTTGCCTCCTGAAGAAACTAAGCAGGTCGTCGCCGTGCAAGCGTTTGTGAATGTCCTTACCCTCGCTAACAAGGGTGCTCTCCGTGTCCGGCAAGCACCCTCCTCTGACGGCGGGTTCTCTGCCTGGCCAAGATGGCAGTTTGGGGATATTTCGATGCGGGTTGCGGGTGACTAGTTTTCAATCTACCAGCGCAAGATGCGACGGTGATTTCGATGCGAACTTTATTCTTACGCTTCAGGACTTTGGTTATCTTTCACATCTTGGGGATTGGCATTCCATCATTATCTCCGAGTAAGTCATCTTTCATGGCTAACAATACCCTATTCCATCTCATGATCCCCTATTACATTATATTATTTGCATCTATACCTTGGTGTACTAGTATAGATAGCTCGACCACGCGCATCACTGTCTCGTGGCTATTTTTAGTCAGTGGAGATGGAAGGGATGACATGTTGACGTGAGTCCGAGTCCGATACGAGAACCGATCTGGCTTGATCTAGCAGTTAGGATTATCGATACCCACTAGCAGGGTTCTTGCATTCAATACGCAGACTTCAGTATTACCCCAACGTAGTATATCTCAGGGGAGTTGGGGGTGTTTTATCGGGAATCTTACCAGGAACCCGTAACCGCGGCGCGAGTATCGCGTACGCGGATACGAGGCGACTCTGGAACGGACAGTAATGGGTAACGATACTCATACCCAGGTACCGACTGGCTAGTATATCACTTACACCCCCAGGATCAAGCACTGCTGGATGGCATTCATACCTTGAACTGTAGTGTTTAAACTGTAGCAGTGTGCTACTCTTAGTGTGTTTATATCCTCGCTTATCTTCCTTGTGTGCTCAGCCTTTCTAACCGAGCGCCCGGTCGCAAATCAGCTTGGCGCCAATAAGGGCGCGGATGGCGGTTTGAAATTGAGATGTCGCTTCGACTTGGTTTTTGAGATAGTCTTCTAATAGTCTCTACTACTAATAGAGTATAGGGTATAGTAGGGTATCATCAGATCTCTGATATTTGATCTTTCATTTGTCTTCTCATTATTGGGCGTTCGTGCGCGCGGAAATCAGTGGTCAGTGCTGCACGTACTCAGGTTCGCACACTCGTGAATATTAGTAGGGAGTGAAGGACTCAGAAATACAAGGCAGAACTAGTTAATTTATATTCTAAATATACAAAGTGATCATGAATAATAAATGTCGATGAATACTATTCTAGTTTTCTACTTGAGTATATACCTAGGGTATGTAAGGTAACCCGGTCTCAAACTTACGCAGGCACGTAATCGCACCGCGTATTCGGGCGTTCGTCTTTCCGTCTCGGTCTTTCCATTTCTTCCTTCTCTCTCTCCCCTTCACCCCCACCCGCGTCCTCATCCCCAGCACCGTCGCGCGTCGCTCGCGCCCGAAATTTTTAGAAGTTAATCAGACAAGGCCTTCACGATCTCTCTCTCCACCCTCGCCATGGGTCGCACCGTCGACCAGGAGGTGCACGCCGCGTTCGTCGAATTCCGCGCCAAGGAAGATGATAAGGTGCGTGACTCGTGTATTTCGTAATATTTCACACCACAACACCAGACGTCACTAACATACGAGACCCGTTTTGGGTCGTTTCTGCAATCTAGTGCCTCTCCGTCCAGTGCATCTACTGTCAACAGATCCGGGCAAAGAACACCTCGCGACAGAAGCAGCATCTCCTCGAGTGCCCCGGCCTGCGCGGCCACCCCAACGCGCCTCAGCCTACTCAGCCCACCGCGACCCCCAATGGCCTGCCGCCCACCAATGGCTACCCGGGCACCCCGAACGGTCCCGCGGCCGCTCCTCCAGGCGCAGCGCCCACGGCCATTCCCACGCCGAATGGAACCATGATTCCGAATGGCGTCAATCCCCATGCGACGCCGATGCAGACCCCACTGCAGAGCCTGCAGAACCGCCCGCCCATGCCGACCCCAGGCCCACCACCGGGACCCCCGGGGTCGGCGCCGCAGTCCGCGACTCCGTCGCGTCCCACCCCCAAGCCAAAGCCCAAGTCGAGCACCTCGAATCTGCCTGCGCCGCCTCTGGACGACGTGCACGCAGCTTTCGTGGAGTTTCGCGCCAAGGAGGAGGACAAGGCAAGTTTTGGGACGTCTGAAATATTGATCGAAGCTAACGTTCTGTTTGCAATAGTGTCTGTCCGTGCAATGCATCTACTGCCAACAGGTTCGCGCAAAGAACACCAGTCGCCAGCGTCAACACTTGCTCGAATGTCCGACCTATCTCAGTGTTATGAAGGATTCGATTCCTGCCAACAACCTGCTGCACACATTCCCTGAAGGTGATGTCGCGCGATCTCTGCAGATTCCGGCTCCGACTCTCGAGCTTGATTTCCGTATGAGTGTAAAGATGAACCCGAAAGTCGGCGTTGGCCTCAGTGTCTGGGGTCACCGAGAGTGGGTGTCGTATGTTGGTGGCCAGTGGGCCGGTCGATGGGGCAAGGGAATTGTTCTTGTGAGTGTGCCCGAGGACCCTCGCCCTATGGAGGATGATGAAGCCTCCCTACCGCCGATACCGAACGCAATTGCTCACAATGCAACCAGCCCGGCGGACAAGATACCCAAGTCGTTACGAAGGACGCGACGACCAACATTCGCGCCAATTACATGCTTCAGACTGCCGACGATCCTCCGGCCTTTATCATCGTCAAGGCCGAGGGATGGCTCACCGGCGCCAAAGACGTTCTGGAGAAAGTCAACGACTCTTCCATGGCTGACGGAATTAACCCCAGCAGCTACAAATACCGCATCAATCTCGGCATGGAGACTGGTGACGAGCGGTACACATTTTTGAATACCCTCATGTGGATCGGCAGTGGCTGCCGCCGCGGCCAAGAAGGTATGCACTATGCCCTCCAATTCCGTCGCTTGAATAAAATGTGCTAAATTTTTTTCTAGTCATCTTCGATGCATTCCGCGTCAACTAAACCGCCATGACTTTCAACTGTCTTGCCGTTTCAGCGATGTCTGTTTTTGCGATGGGAAAATGGTGTTTTTGACCAATTGTTGTTTACTTGTGGACCAGCTCGATGACCACTGCTGCCACGAACGAATTTGTACTCTGGGATATCTCAAACCGAAGCTGGCGCCTACAACTGACGGATTTGACCTCCGCCAGCTCCCCTGTCCCTGATCATTTACTCTTCTGATGTATCTCTTTCTAGTATCAGCCAGAAATGTCTCTACCTAGGTAAGGTTTCCGGGTTTTTGACGACGGATTTTGCTCGGTGCGTTTTTTCGGCAGTTCCGTTAATCAGATGTTTCTTCTCTTCTCTTCCCTTTTTCATTGTGGTGAAAAAGATTGGTTCTGTCTGAGCTTTAATCTGCGGTATACTTTCCTATGCCCGTTACGTCGAATTATATACCAGATTGTCTACAACAAACCAACCTTAGGGTGGGAAAGTCCCTCCAGGGCCGGAATATTCTAGTGTAGGGTACCACGAGTATATACTACTCTAGAGGGTAAACTATCACATCAGGCGTATGGCTGTATTCATCGACGTATGCAACATGTCAATACCCCGACCCAACCACTGCTGACTGGTATGGATGGGTATGATAGTACCCAACATTATAAGTACGGGATCCACCCGCCTGCATCCTGCAGGTGTCGATCTAGCGCTATTCGTACGGACGCGAATAGATACGGAATCGTGAGACAATAATACTCAATGATTTCCCATCTCCATCAGTCTATTCAACATAATCCAGATATCTTCTGGTTTATTGTTGATATTGTAGAATCGGAATTCCCGTTCTCGGGTAGTCAGTCCGTAGTTCGATAACGATCCATGGAACTTCCCCGCGCAGCGCCCGGTACTCGGGTGTATGTGTGCTGTACTTTAGGCGCCATACCTGGATATACGGGGTATCGAGTACCTGGTACGTATTTGATGTGTATGAATACTTTTGCGGGGATGGTTTGGGTTGTTTGTTGCAGTGCCCTGTGGTTGGGCTGGTGGTTTGCTCACGGGGTTTTTACGTTTACATCGCTTGTTTGTTCAGTGTTCTTTGTTTTTTTGGAAATATATCCTCGGTTTCGGTACCCTACGCTTGGTTTTAATAGCGCTGTTGCGAGTACGTCTGTCTCTATGGACCTAGTTTTCTGCTCAGGGTGCTGCAGACTCTATTTTGAATAATGAATTTAATCAAGTACGGTGCTCGACATAGAGTTGACGGGGTTCGCGTGCATATTGCCGATATGGATGCCTTCTGCCTGGGGGAGCGTGACCACGTGACGTTCACCACACTGCATGATGCTCGTCGACATCGAAATATTTTTAAGTTCTTTTAGATAGAAACACATGCTTGTTTATTCTCTGAATACTGCACCTATTGTTACACTGTCATGTCGATCCTCGCCTTCCACCCACTCGGTTCTTTGCGGATAGAATAAATTGAAGGAAGAAACTAGAAACAAACTGGAACCCAGCATCCAGAGAGCTAAAAAAGGAAAAAACCCCTCACCCATCGCGTCATGGGTGTTTTATATACACAGAGCGAAAATCCCAAGTAGCAAGAAATAAGACGAAAGAGCGCATCTAAACAAAACCCAAATCACAACGTCCGACCAGGACTAACAGCCCCCATCTGCATCTCATTCTGCTCATCACAAATATCACGCTTATAACGCACCGAAATCGCCTGCGTCTGCTTAATTCCACCCATCTTAGTGAGAATAATCTCCTCACTATTATTATCCTCGCGGCCGAGCAGGGTCGTCAGTTCCCCGGCGTAGTAGAAATACGGATCCTGCTTGTAGGCAGTTTTAATCTTACTACGCGGTTCGTCAGAGACGTAGTTTCTAGAAGGATCTTCTGTCTGGTCGTAGCTAGATCGCATGCGTCGAAAGAGGATTCGGAGGGATGGGATTGAGGCGGCGAGGATTGTTAGGCCTGTTTCGGCGGAGGCCCAGAGAAGTATTTCTGAGCAGTAGTCTGAATGTGTTATATTGAGAAGGATGTGGGGGAGGGTCTTTCTTACAGGTAAAGCCCTGGTCATTGGCGACGCTTACAAGTTGAGTTCATAGTGGAAGAAATAAGATACTCTCGATATACCCAAGCTCATTGCAATAGCAATCCCAAATCTTCTCCTGTCTCCCCATTTGTAACTCCCAAAGAATTGCACACGGGAGAAAAGCAAGAATCAAATCTATGCACCCGAAATACGCACCTTCGGTCAGGGCGATAGCCTCGTAGACAATAGTCAGCCATTACTGCGCCGTCGCCATGAGCTTCGTAACCCACAATGCGGCGGCAGGCATGCATTGAAGTAAGTAATAGATGGCGGAAAGCCATATGACGGCGTTAATGCTAGTGATGACAAACCACAAGAGGAGTTTCATCCTGGGTTTTGTCATAAATAGAAGTAATGTGATGACGAATGAGGTCTTGCTGAGGACGTAGCCGATGATGACGATGATAACTAGTGATATGTAGAGAGCTTCCAGTGAAGGGCGCCTGGCCTCTTTCGGAATGACGCTTTAGGAACACGAAAAAGAAAAGGTCCTCTCAAAAAAGCGGTTCATCGAAAACGTCAACGATGATGGCTCAATAGGCTTCAATAGCAGCCGTACACAGCAAATCCATCGCAAATCCAGCCTGCGAATCGTCAAGAGCCATCCTCAATCCCAAACAAGAGACTAGAACGAGTGACAAGTTCATCAATCCCCAAAATGCGAAACGAACTCTTTACTACTATCTCCATGGAAATAGTATGCAACATGACAGGTGCCAAAATGCGCCCACAGCGCGCCACAAGCACGAATCAAAAGCCAAAAATCCGCAAAAGTTCTGCACGAACACCTATGTCATGGTCACGGTGATATCGACTGAAGTCAATGTTATATGGAATCCGCACCGACGTCACGAGAACCAGAGTCGATAGATCGTGTCTGAAAATTCTAGACCCTGGCAACAACAACTCGCCGATGCTCTGGGACCTTCGGCAGAGTAGGGGGTTAGAGAAGGGGAGCTCTTCTTCTAAAACAGGTGAAGGTGCTATCCGTCGCCGGTCCCTGATCCGGCTAATCGCTCATGGGCACGTCCATCGGCTGGTTCCACTGCGCCGTATTCAAGACTGCGTGCAAAAGTACCCTGCAGAACGGCAGATGTCAACTTTGAACATACCGTCTGATTTCGGACTTTAGCCGATGCACTCAAGATGAAAGGGTTTTGTCTTTTGTCTGATTCCTTTGCTTTTTTATCCGATGTGGTAGTCTTGTCGAGTATACCTCGCGGCCGTTGTGTGCTAGGGCCGGTCGACCCACACGGCAGCTGGTGGATGTAACTAGGTAATTTATGGCAACCGCCGCCACTAAGGCCTGGACTGCCAAATGACTGTCTCGGTGATGGATACTGCAGCATTATACGTACCTGCCAGCCTTATTTTCATCCGATTTGTCTGCATTGGCGGAACTGAGTGGCTGCCACGCCATCACAGCTTTCATTGAAACAGTCATAGTAAGACTTGGACGGATATCGAAAGATACCACGCAAATGCCGAATATTGGCACCTGCTCCTCAAAAGATTGTGTTGGTTTATCCATGATCAGCTGAGTCTCACTAAAGATTGTCTACGCAAGCCCAGAGATCGCTGATGCACCTCTTTCACAATCTATGATAAACAGTAAAGTGTGGCTGCGGGTTATGCCTTCAAAACGTTGCAGGATGAAAGCTAGTGAAGATACACTCCGCATCATCTCCGGCCCCAAATGTACAGATGCATGGGCAATTGGAGTTTCTCCGGACGAGTACATGGCCCAGGGCAAAAGGTCGAAGGTGGGGACTCATGACTCCTTCAGGATATGGTCTTGGTCATCATCAGACGGTTCTTCCTGGTAGGCTGGAATACACTAATGTAGAGAGAGAGGGGTATTTATCTAAGGGAGCCTGATGACTTCCCTTGACCACCCTTTACCTCGACTCTACAAATAACATATCGACACATATTCGTGAGCGCGTTGATGAGAGTATGGTTTTCTGAAAGTGTTATGCAGGGACGCTGTAATGCTACCACGTGTTGTCATGGGCCAGATCCACTCATTCGAATGCAATGTGATGAAGAACAATTGGTGTATTTGTTTCTAATGCTAATGAGACAGCTGAAGTTTACAAACGCTCCGCCTAGCAAAACAGATCATGATATTTTGAATTGGTCGTTGAAGGATCAGAAGCCTACAGTAAATGCAGGTCAAAAATTAGCCAAATCAGAATCGCTTTGAGAGGGTTGAAACATAACTTACCCTTCTCGGTGTTACCCTCGCCCATACTCTTACTGCTGCTGCTTCCGCTCTGGATCGCACCTAGGATACCATCCATATAAGGAGCACCGCTCCACTTCTGGTGAGTGAGGACGTCGACGCCGAGTTCCTTCTCGCGCGACTGGATGAGGCGGACGTAGGCGAGCATGCCCTCGTCCTTGAATGCGCGGGACAGCTCGGTGGTGATGGTCGCGTTGGTGTGAAGGCCGGCCAGGGAGATCAATTGAAGCACAAATCTAGAGAGGTCCGTTAGCAGATAATCAATGCAGGGTTAATGATAATACGTACCCGTGCTTGGCAAGATCCCAGATGAATGACTTCAGGGTTGCCTCATTGAAACCCTGGCCCATCCAGTTGAACGACGGACTCAGGTTGTAGACCAACTTCTTGCCAGGGTAAGCCGTGCGAACCTCGCCCGCAAGAGAACCAGCCTTTGCAACGTCGGGGTCGCCAGTCTCCACCCAGAGAAGGTCGGCGTAGGGCGCAAATTCCTTCGCGCGCTTAGTCGCGGCGGGGAATCCAGCACGGTAGTGGTAGAAGCCCTCGCGGGTGCGGGGGCTGTCGCAGGACCAGACAACTGGCGACTTGCTGTAGTCGTGGGCTAGAGCGCGACGGCGAGAAATGGAAAGATCGGGGTTCTGTTTGACATGTTCCTTATAGGCGTCCCGGGAGGACTGGGGGGCGCCCTCGGCCTCGAGATGGGCATCGACAGCTGGATATCGTTAGCAACAAGAAACGAACCAAGGTGTCAATCTACATACCCTCGTCAATGGTTACCAGCTTGTGCTTCTTGACCCAGTCGAGCTCGTAGGCGTCGATCTCGGCCGGCGAAGCGCCTTCTCGCTCCATCGCCTGGAGGGTCTCGGCGAGGGGCTCCACTTCCTCCGTGATACCGAGGATGAACTCGTGGTCGCGCACATCAATCGCGCTGCTGATCAACCGGCCACTCTCCGAGTCTGTGCGGGCGATCACCAAGTTTTCGCATCCCATCATGTCCCACTGGAAGCGCGCAGCGGTCAACCGGTTAATGTGCTCGCCCATCGGGACAAGGACCTTGCCTGCCAGATGGCCGCACTTCTTCCCACCATGTAGCTGGTCCTCGAAGTGAACGGCGGCCGCGCCATTCTCCGCGAAGAGCTTAGCAAGCTTCAGGACAGCCGACAGTCCACCGTGTCTGCAAATGCACGCATTAGCTTAGCTTTCCCCTTATTTGTATAGTGTTCACATACCCAGTGTCACCATCTGCGACAATTGGTCGCATATAATCAACGTAGGGGGTCGATTTACGCTGATCAGCGCTCAGCTTCCGTCGGGCATCCCATTGTTTCCGGTCGTGCATAGACTGGGCCTTGAATAGTCGCTGGACCTGGTTTGGCACGGTATTGTAGGGGTAGTCACCGAAGTCGGGTGAGACCTCGTTGGTGGAGGTCAACAGGGAAGAGCAAGCCCAACCAGAGACATACAAGATCTCCTGGTTAGGCGCCTGCTGGGTCATTTGTACGGGATCAATGGCACCCACTGTGCGGTGATGATGGTTAGCAAGCTAGACTCACATTTGCCAATTGAGCTACACAACTTACTGGTATGAACCGGCTCGCCGGCCGCAGCACGTTCGTTCAACAGATTGAACAATTTGCGAGCCATAAGGGAGCTCGGGTATGTCTGCTGCAGCGATCCACGCTTGCTCACAACATCCTCGGCCGAGTAGGGCCGCTTGATGCCTTCATACCGAGGGGAATTCCACCACTCCTGCACATCGCGGACCTGTTGTTCGTAGAGCGCATCTTCCGCCGCACCGGCCTTGTTGGCCGTTGAGAGCAGCTGGTATGAATCGGATGGCAGTGTCGCGGACACTGGGGGCTGGACGGGCGGGAGTGACATCCGAGGATAGCCGCATGTGAAGGCGCGCAGTGCCAGGCGAGACGGCGCGGTCGCAGGGGAGAAGTGGGCGAGCTGGCGCGGGAGTCGTCGTGGTATCGTGCGAAACATGGCGGATACCGAAAGGGGGTGTGAGGAGCGGGAGAGGGAGAGAGGGAAGGAAGACTTAAGAAGTAGCAAGCGTGCTCGCGGTGTAGATGGTCGACCTCGGACCGACTGGGGGTCCTCTGGGGTTCCCCGCGCCGATAACCGCCACTTGAGTCAGCGCCGGCCCGCTTTTGCCGCTATAGCCATTGCACGAAGTATACCTTCGAAAATCAGAGAGAACAATTGAGTTACACACTATTTGACAAATTCCGGCTTCGGCATTTGCTTTCTTTATCACCAGCATAGCTCGTGTTTCGGTATATGCAACTTCGAGAGTGCATGCATGCGACACCAAATAATAAGAAATATATAGAGTCCAACTAGCAAAGACACATAAGACACTTTTGTAATTTGGAAAACCCACACATTATGATTTGAGCAAAGGCATTGCTGCCACTGGCATTCATGATTATGACATGTGATAGCGAGCTAGTTGCAGCTTATTCTGCAATTTCAGCGAGAAGCGCGAATCATATAAAAATCCTTCGGCGCCCACGAAGCTGCCTCCCGTGTAACGGCAAATCCTTTACTCTGCAAGAGCTCCTCGATCGTGACTCGTGCTCCGGACTTCTCACACGTTTCAAGAACAATATTGCGAATCATAAACCAGTGCACATCGTCCAAGCCAAGGAGGACTTCAAGCTCTGCACCCTCGACATCAATCTTGAGCAAGTCAATACTGACAAGGTCGGGGCAACGACTGAGGAAATAGGACAGTCGCTGAACCTTCACTTCTACCTCCTGAGAATCGCCAAAGTGTTCATCTGCAGCCTTCTGGCCATAGACCTTGACAGCTTCCTCATACAGCTCCTTCTTCTCTTCTGGTACCAAGGTAGAATTACCAGGCATGCGCGGGTAGTAAGTCAACCATTCCGTGCTGGCTTTGGAAGCGAGGCCAATGGGGAGGGCTTCGACCTCGGAGATATTGTGCAATTTGAGGTTGCGGCGCAGGACGTCGAACGTCGTCGGTGCCGGTTCAAATGCAAGAATCGTGGACGCTGGGTAATTTTGCTTCATGTAGAGAGAGAACAAGCCAATGTTTGCCCCCGCGTCGATCACGAAGGGTGCCTCGGGGAGATTTGGGACGTCGTAACAGCGGTCGTCGAAGATTTCTTTGTAAATGAACTGGGCTTCCCCCTTGCTTTGGGCGTAGCAAGAGATCTTTGCAAATTTTATCAGTTCGTCTGTCATTTTTGTACAGGCAGGTATGAAGTCTAGGTGAAGTGGACGGTGCCAGCTACTGACTGCTGGTAAGATATTGGAGGAAGGGACTTAAATCCAGTGGCAGTCCTGAAGGAACACAACAGGATGCAATGTTCAAGTTGACTTCTCGATGTTTCATCACCGAGAAAGCTTGAAGTGGTGATACTGTACCTTTTTAGCTTCAGAACATCACCCGAGCATTATGTAACATCTTCCCCTGTAGTCATTATCGCGATATCTAACCTTTTTGCGAACTTCATAGTTGGATGTTACAGAAAGCGGAATTGTAAGGCCCATGATTCGCGTCGGACTATCGTGAAAAGTATCAAACAAGAAGATTTTCCGGCTCGGGAGCTATTTTGATAGCAGTGCGTATAGTTTCTGTCGGTCTCCGAGACAAATGGTTCCAAAGGTCGGGAAAGCTAAAATAGAGAGAGAAGCCTATATTCGCAGGCTGCCAGATAAAATACGAAAACTTCGCAACCCTGTAGTGAGATATTCGCTTCGACACAATAGAGACATAAAGGGATGCCTAACATGATTACATTTGTTTGCCTAATCGCTGATCCGTCCTTGGGGCACTGCAGAGTTCAGAGCCACTGCTGTGTAGAGAATAGCAACGGGCTTCGTGCTTGAGCCACACATCGGCAGGCTCGTCGCACACGTAGATGAAAGTAGTGCGATCACATGCGGCATGATTTTCGTATGTTGTTGCTAGCTTATTTTTACTATTACTATTCTCTTTTTTTATTTAGAGTATACGGCTCAGCTAATAAGGATCAGCTACTACCGCTTTACCCTGCAGCTCTTACAGCCCGAACTTTTCTCGCTGATATCTCCAAGGAACCAGGTAAAAAAGTTTCAAAAGTACCATGGCAGCGAAAACGAAGAGAAATGAAAAAAGCGTCCTCCCAAGATTACGTGCATGTGTTGGCTCTGCCTTTTTTTTGTTTTGGGGGGGGGGGGGTTCTCATGTGACCTGCAAATTGTGAGAACAAAGAGAGCGATTCCAGAGATTTGGCACGGGCCACTATGGCGTGCAAAAATTGATCGAAGTCGCACGTAATTTCAACCCTCACGAATATAATGAAAATTCAATATGCGACCGGTGTAAATAGCGTCAAAAGACGAGTGGCAGTGACGTCGCGGCAGCCTGACTACTTCCACGGCCTAATTTGGACAGAAAGGATCTTCCCGTGCAGGATTATGAAGCTCAGTCAGAACCGGAAAAATATAAGAAAGTCTCCGTGGCGCAATCGGTAGCGCGTAAGACTTCTAATCTTAAGGTTGCGGGATCGTTCCCCGCCGGGGACTATCTTTTTTTTTTGGCAGCTTGACCTGCTTACTAACCAACCACGCCGACCTTTCAACTGAACAATTATCTGTCGGATTAGGCGACTACTATTGTAAAATGAGTGTTGCCTGCTTTGTTATTTCTATCGTCTTTCTGCCTGCGCAGGAGTCCTGTCATTTTGGTGCTTTTCCCTCCCGATCGACTTGTTTTGACATCTTACCGGCGAAGAAGTCATCTAAACTTCGAATGTGCCGATAAAATGCTAGAAGCTTGGAGTGCATCGACATACGACATGGGATTGATATCATGGAGTCCTGTTTCAGGTCGTTTATTGAAGCGTAACAGCCACAGCCGCTTAAAATTTGGGTGTTGCCTCGCTCGCCACGATATTAATAATGTCAAGTGTACGTCATTGATGCTCGAATTCAGCACATATGTTAAAGCGTGAGCAAATTACTAAAAGGGCCACACGAGACAGAGCAAAGTAGTATCAACAGAGAGACTCGTCTGAAAGATGGGCTCTTCTCAATCCTATCGCCAAGCTTTATCTTGCGAATCCCTGAACCAGAAGCCGAAACGGGGATGTTTCTTCTTTTTTTTTCTTTTTTATTTTTGATTCGGCTATATGGCGCCATACGCAACAAGCCCTCAGGAATACATAAAGCTGCAGTAGCTATCAGAGACAGCTCTGCAAATCGTAGAACAAATCCCTTTTTTCTCGGTGTTATGTTCAATGCCGAAATTTTGAAGTCCCGTGCGCGAAGAAAACATGGCAGTGGATGAGGTTACTTCACCCGGAGTCGGCTTTCGTAGCCGACCCAGTAAGAATACTTCAGAAAGCACGTCCGACTGAGATATTTGAAGAACTGCGAGTCGCTCAAGCGATGCTTTTCACTGCTCGGCAACGCTCGATGCTTTGTGAAGCCAATCGTCTTCCATTTTATATTTGGTCCCATTGTTCTGAATATAGGAACAATTGCATACTGACAGGAAATCTACACAGCAGCTGGTGCCTGAAATACCATAATCTCTTGGCATCGCCATGTTAAAACCCGAGTTCGGCTGCATTGTTCGGTTACCAGGGACCAACATGCCCCACCCAACTGAAGCCAGCTTGCTCTGATTTGAAAGACAGCTCAGAATCCTGGGGATTCAGACGTAAAATTTCCTTTTTGCGGGGTCATGGCCCCAGAAACCCCGCAAAGTGCTGGGTCCATGAAATCTAGAGGTGTATTGTGGGATATATAAAACGAAATGCGGCGGCGCCTGGTTCTGTTTTCCAAATTCCTCCAAATCTGGCTTGTCATCCCTAACCATGGGTCGGGGAAATTTCCTTCAGCTGTCACAAACCATCTTCACGGTATTCCCGTGCTTCTTTCTTTTCGGCTATAACCAAGTCGTGGTCGGCGGACTTGTGTCTTTTCACAGCTGGACTGAAGTGTTCCCCCAACTCGACACCCACAACGTTAGCGGACCTGCCAAGTCCCATAACTCCGTCATACAGGGTGTTTACGTATCTTCATTTACTCTCGGTGCCTTCGTCGGCTCCCTATCCTGCTCTTTTATCGGAGATGTTCTCGGTCGTCGGAAAACAATATCCTCTGGGGCAATTCTTACCCTGATCGGCGAGATCATCTCGTGCACCTCTTTCCAGCTACCCCAGCTTTTTGTCGGTCGAATCATAACAGGAATAGGCGTTGGGATGCTTTCCACAATTGTTCCAGTGTGGCAATCCGAATGCTCTCAGGCTACAAATCGTGGGCGCCACGTGGTGATCGACGGGATATTCATTACTAGCGGTTATGCGGCAAGCTACTGGATTAATTTCGGCTTCTACCATATTCAGACTCACTCTCTATCATGGAGGATCCCACTCGCCATTCCCGCTTTGCTATCCATCGTTCTGTCGCTGTCAATATTTTCCTTTCCTGAATCACCACGATGGCTCGTGCGAATTGGTCAAGCCGAGAAGGCAGCTTCTGAGCTGTGCCGAATCAAGAACGTTGACAGAAGATCTGAGGAAATTGCGAGCGAAATTTCGTCGATCGAATTTTCTCTCGAAGAAACAGCTCAAAATGCAGCATCAATCAGAGACATATTCACAGTTAAAGATGGAAAACTATTTTATCGTTTCATGCTGTGCATTAGTCTGCAGTTTTGGATTCAGATGACTGGAGCTCAAGTCATCAGCACATACTCCACCACGATTTTCGAGGACAATCTGAACCTTTCGGATGGCGTGACTCGGATACTAGCAGCGACTGCGTTGACATGGAAGTGCCTCGCGTCTTTTATCACGTTTTTCACGATCGATCGCTTTGGCCGAAGAAAGTTGTTCTTATTCTGCGGCGTCGGTATAACGCTGTGTATGATGTCCATGGCGATCACGTCAAGCTTTTCATCAACCAACCGAGGAGCAGCTATCGGAAGCACAGTTTTTGTCTTCCTTTTCAACTTCTTTTTCCCGATTGGCTTCTTGGGACCGAGCTTCCTTTATTGCACAGAAGTTGCGCCCATCCGGTTACGGGTTGCGATGACATCTATCTCACTGGCAAATCATTGGATATGGTAAGTGCCGTCGCATTGTTCGCAGTGACATCAGACACTGACACTTTGAAGGAACTTCCTTGTTCAGATGGTCACACCTGTTGCCTTGGCGACTATAGGCTATCGCTATTACATAGTTTACACAGTTATTGGGCTCACCTACGCCGGATCCGTTTATTTCTTCTACCCAGAGACAATGGATCAAAGCCTTGAGCAACTGGAAGATTTGTTTCAGCAGGATATTTCAATCTTTGATACCGTGCGTCTGTCAAAGAGACTAACCAGCTTACCACGAGGTTCACTTGGTCAAATCGAAGATTCGAAAGCAGTATCTGAACAAATTGAGGATTCTAGGCCAGATACCGTGTGATTGAATTCATTTGTTTCAATTTCCTTTCAATTTCGATTGGATGTCAAATTATTTGTTCGTAGCACGAGCAAGTCACATGAAATTGCGCGAGAAAGAGAGCGAACATAACAATCTGAGAATAAAAAATGGCCAATATGTTACTTTCTATTGCGCGGCTATAGCATATCATGCGCCGCGCCTTAATGCGAAAGAAAACATCTGAAAAGGTCGTCGATAATCATGTATCCGGTGCATTTGTAGTTCCACTCGACTGTTGATCTTGGCCGGGCGAATTCGTTTTCTCATCTAATTGAGGTTCAATTGGGGCGCAGAGATACACCATTCAGATCCACAATCGTGCGAACATCTTCATAGGTGACGCCCGTGTCAGCCTCGCTTGCCATAAGATGAGCTGTCCGGAGCACATTCTTGATTTTTCGACCATTCAGCTCCAGTTTGACCAGCTCATCCAGCCCTTCGTCTGAAAACCTCTGCAAGCCAGCATCTTCGAGGAACTGCATTTAGATCTGTCGTCGAGATGCATGTTGAGATCGGCGTAGCGAATGGAAACGTGGATCCGGGATTCGAATGCCGGAGCGATATTCTGGGGTCGGTTACTCGTAAGGAACAATATTCCCTACCATTCGTTAGTAATTCATGAAAAGGTGAGACTGGGAGTTGATAATACCTCGTAGTATTCGAGAATTCACAAAAAGATAGAAACCAACTCATTTTTGGCAAGATCAGTCGAGTTTCGGGCTTCGATGAAGACACCCGCTTCATCTAGTAGTAGGACAGCACCCCATCTTGGGACAATTGAGAGAACATCCTTCAAAGTACTTTCGACCTTTGAAGCCCTGGTCCCAAGATCTCCAGCGCCGAGCACTTTTAGCGGTACTTTCACAACTTCCGCGGCCCCTCAGCCGCGAGAGACTTGCCGGCCCACGGAGGATCACCGAGAAGCATGATAACCCAGTGTTCCTTTCCCCGAACAACACCATCAAATGTGTCTTTATTCTTGGACTGAGACATTGCAAAGGCAAGAGTAATCTTCTTCAATGCCTCTGCTTGTCCGGTAATACCAAAGATTCGAATGCCTTTGTGTTCCAGGTGATGCCTGTCACACTATCGACAAAGAATTCGAGCCACTTTTTGTTCTCCATAGCGTACTCGCGCAGGATGGGCGTCAAAATCACTCGCTGAGAGTCAGGGAGCTCCTCCATTTTCTCAGAAACACTGATTTTCTCTCCAGGGTTGAAGATGGTGTATGTATTTGCATCAATCACCATCCAGTCTTTGATGCCCATCTTGATCGGTCTGTCAAGGGAAGAACCTTTACCAGTCCCGTCATATTGCATGTACTAGTATTAGTTAATATTCTCACATAAAACCCCACGGGAAAGTGGCTCTTTTTCAATCAAATATTTCTTCTCGTGGAATTCCAAAAGAAAGGCTTGGAAGCTTGTGAGGGGAGTTGTTCCTTTGAACTTCGGACTCAATTTCATTGAACCTGTTATTGATATCACAATCAACAAGGTGATCTTCCACCCCTTTTCAGCGACGAGAAAGAACAAATGACAACGAGGACACCTCCTCCAAAACAGCCAAACAGGACGAAAACATGGACAAAGTCAGGTCCAACAACGCCCTCGATCTTGCTGCCTTTGTGACGAACCACCATGACACCTACCCATTTATCACACACTCTGGAAGGGAACTATCCGGGAATTAACCTTGATAACGAGTGCATCCAAGGAAGTCGGTCGTGTAACAGCAGCATGATGCGCAAAAGCCGGATATCCAAAAATAGCAGTCGCAGCGCTCGAGGCCGTGATGGCAGATATTGAGCGCGAAGCGCCCAGCTCTGGCCTCAAGCCTCCACTAGTCCTGCCTTTAGAGATGGGACACATCGTATAAGTCTGTCAAGTCAACTGCTCTTTCAGCTGGGAAGTTCTTCAAGGGACATTTGGACAATTTGGTCACTAACGCGGAATATTTCGACCCAAATGGTGAAAGGCATGGGATTTGAATGTCAAGTGGGCTTTCCTCTGATGTCACTATTTCCTCCCGTTCATGCTAAAGTTGGAAACCAAAATCGTCATCAATCTGTTGTCCGTTGGTGCGCACACCTTGCGCTACGTGGGCTCCGACTACCAGGCGTCGCGATCCGCCATCTTCAGACTCAAAGAATTCTTTATGCGCGACCATGAAGATTAGAATCTCTTTGCGATATCTCTTCATGCCGGTGGAGTGATGACAGATAATGCGGACAATTTCCCCGAGATACTGCATGGTACTCTTGTAGACCAGCCAGCTCTACCTGCCGACAATATTAACTGGCTAGCCAAAAAGCGTCGAGAATGGCTCGACGGTCATTTTTTTTGGAGCAGCTGAGATATGGAGGAGTTGGAAGGGAAGAAAGATCGGATTGTGGAAGGAGATCTGTTCAAGTTTCTCATGACCCTATGAAAAATATGTACAACACAACTGAGGAGGTGTGACCACACAGCATTATGACTCTGCCCAGGTTTGGTCACACGATACGATCACTTGGAGAAACTTTCCAGTCTTCAGGGGGCTCAGAGCTTATCTGCAATTCCGTGTCGATGAACCCAGCTCCTGGCGCGCTTGCCGAAAGTGTACCTGCAGCGATAGACTGTAAGATATTCATTTTTTCGTATGAAACAAACTCTTTACTCACATCGGAATTGTAAACAAGGTGACCGCCATCGTAATGCCTCCCATTGTGAAGAAGCAGTCACGAACCCCTTGATTCTCTATCCACCCATTGATATAGAACGACAGACCGAATGCAAATAGATTCTTGATGAAATTCATAATTGCAAATGCTTCGCCGGCTCTCTCACGATGACAGTCGACGACGTAAGTGACAACGCCGGTTGTACCAAGCTGAACACCGAAGTTGATCAATCCCAGGCATACGATTACGGGCACAGGCCACGGATCCTTATTAAATGAGGATTGGCCCCAGGCAAAGAAGCCTGTGGAGGTAAACAGAAGGTATGTAACCATGATGGGTAAGCGGAACTCGGGCTCTGCCTGGATGTTAGTTTCATTCTCTATGTCGAGTGGGAAAAGGAGTACCAAATATGCCCCCGTTCATCTTGGACAGCCTCGTCACAAGTCCATCGATCAGAGGGCCAGCCGCGAGCGTACCGAACACGGAAGCAACAAAAGACGAGAGGTTAGTAGCACCAACGCCGACCACGGAGAAATTGTATGGTGGTGCTGAGAATATCTGCGACAGGGTGAGTGAGATTCCCACTAGCCACGAAATACATATCGTGAATAGGAGGACGGCCCAGAGGACTGCTGGAGACCCGATAAGATAAAATGGCCTGACGAGAGTGTTCCAGAACGACACTTGGTTGACATAGCCACTGTATGGAAGAAGCTCCTTGTAATTCCATCCGGTTGAATCAGTTACCTGTTCAGGGTGGGCACTTTGCGTATTCTCGAGTTGCTCCAGTGATCCCTTGTCATCGACCACGACCTTACAACTGTTAATGAAAGTAGATACTCTGCATAAGTCCCACTCACAGAAGCTTCCCCTGTATCGATGTTGAGAGCCTGTCTTGAGTATGCCGATTCAGGCATCCAGAAGACCACCATAACCAGCATCAGGGCAAACGCACCGCCCATGGCATGTAAAGCTATCTTATAAGAGCCGTATTCGATGATCGCAGCAGCTTTCAGGAGTCATTCATTTGTCACAATTGCTGCCTGCAAGGGACTTACCAATGGGGACCGCGAGGTTGATGCCTCCCAAAATACCGAGGTTGAACACAGCAGTTCGAAACCCTCTTTCGTGAACGAACCTGAATGACTGATAAGTCGGACTTTCCCCGAGGAAGAGAAGAAAAGCGTACCAGATGTCTGCAATCGATGCTGGAACCAGTGCTTCCATCGGAGCCATACAGAGCCCACAACACACTCTTGCAGCGACAAACGAGCGAAAGCTCTTCGCCTCAGCCGCCCAGAAACACGACACCATAAGCCCGACAGTTGTCCCAAGATACACTGGTCGTTTTCCATATTTGACTGCCAGAGAGTTGAAGATCAAACTGCCGACCGCGATAGCTGCGATCGCGCCTCCTTGAACAGCGGATATGAAGGTCGATAGGGATACGCCGAATTCTTCGGCGAGTGGAACGAAGGCACCGCCGAGTAATGGACCGACAGCTGTTGACACGACGAACGATGGTTATTCTTTCCTGAATCTGTGCGAGAATAGGTAACTTACCTCCAACACACCCACTGCCCCATCCGTAAGCAATTGTAAACAGCTCTTTCTTGCGACGAGGCCAGTTGTATGGGTCATCCGGTGAGTTGGATGGCTGGGGGACCAGGAAAATCTTGCCGGTGGCGTCATGCTTGAGGAGCGCCGGGTCTATGCCTGAGTATGTCTGGGTGTCATGGAGCCCATTCAGTGGTGCGGTGCCGGGAGTGTGCTCCAATTTGTTGTCGTCCAGAATCCCGAAAGGCATTTGGAGGATTGATCAGACTAAGGAAGAGATGTAAGAAGAGTAAACAAGTCGGGTCTCTTGTGCGGCGAGCGATGAAACAAGCCTGGCTCGTAAAGTGGTGAGGGGATGACGCAAACAAACGACGGACTGAGATAGTGTCGCTGATCTGTGTTTCTGCTTGCAGACTGAATGTGGGTTTCCAGCGATGCTTCCTTACTTCTGTTGCGACTACCGTCGTGTCTTCCGCGATCCGGGAACCTACTTGAACTTTTTATGACTTGTCTTGGAAACACTAATCATATTCTATGCCGTCTATTCTTTCCACTAGGTACAAATCCTCGACATTACCCATGATCTTGGCCACGGCTGGTCCGGGGTACATGAATATGGGGCCGCGAGGCCCCATTGCGGAGATGGCGCTGCTAAAATCTGGGGTTCATTGCGGGGTTTCCGACGAAGGCTAATACGAATGATCCCTTGTAGGAGGGACTGATTAGGGTCAATTCTTCGGACGAGATAATGCTCATCCGAAAGGAATTGAATTGTCTGTCCAGAGTGAAACTCAGGTAACCCCCCCCCAGGCTCATATTAGAATGTACTAGGGCGTATTCTTGTTACCCCAATAAAGGGGTGAACGTACGCATCTCGTCCACCAACTAGGTAGTAATCACCGTCTTGAGAAGAAAGGTTGATGACTGATTTCTGACCAAGCACTGCACACCTTTCTTTGGCCATGGTAGGGTACCTCCAACTCGCTATTCGGCATTTCTACTTGAGATGCTACCCGAGGAGCAGCACATGCACCGAGACTTTAAGCTGCGGCCTGCTAGTATTCTGACTGCGGTGTGTTCATCATGCTGTGTAAAGGATCCAATTGGAAATAGACCAGAAAGTTCCAATAAATATAGCACCCTTTCATCAGCCCTTCCGACAAAATTCGCGTGATTCATGTCCTGGAAATACTGCAGTGTGGTGGAAGAATTTTTGACCCTTTCGATACTCTTTGCATGGCCAGCAAACAAAAATATATATTTTGTCGTGCATGTGGCTTCACTTCTTGAGTCGAAACGGCAGTCAAATCCCACATATTATCTGACCGACCCCATCAATTTCTACCCAAAAAGGAACGAAATGTTCGATCCGAACCCTATACCAATCTTAAAGAGCACTCTACAAGTCATTGGAAATTCCGCACTCTCGGCTGTTCCTCGTGCGGGGTCTCCAATCTTGGAATGAAAACCCAACGCCATGGCGTCAAGTATATCCGCAAACCCGACCAAGGTTACCACAAAGTTTACGCAAGGTTAGGCTCTAATCGGTTAGAACTAAAGTAAGCCGAATAGAACAAAACAATGTATCGCCTCGTATCAATCGTCATCTACTAAAACAAGCCTCAGATCCACAAATACCGGAAAACCCCCGGCTCCACAACACATGTGGAGAAGGAACAATCGAGTGAGGGGTTGTGACGAAACTAGTGAACAGGCGAGGCACAAGTGCCTAGTTAACACCACAGTGCAGGCCTGAGGTATACCTGCTCACGCTGTACCCGAGTATTGTTTGACATCATTAGCAGCCGTGGAGGCAGATGTCGCCCACAAAGAGCATCGTCGTCACCGGTAGGACCAGCTGCCACCAACGGGTGTTTATCGAACGATCGCTAACTAGGTTTAGGAGGTGCGTCCGGCATAGGTCTAGGCATAACGAGACATTTCATCTCCCAGTCAGATACGCACATCACAATCCTAGACATCAACCCAGCAACCGGGAAGCATACGCTGGAGCAACTTCGTGCCGAGTTTCCGTCGGCAGGAATATCGTTTGAAGAGTGTGATGTTTCGTCTTGGGAGAGCCAGGCTGCTGTATTCAAGAAGATTCACAGTGAGAAAGGACGGATTGATATTGTCTTTGCTAATGCTGGTATTACCGAGAAAGGGAGTCTGTTGCCGGTGAAGGACGACAGTGAGGAGCCTTCTAAGCCGAATCTTGCGACCCTGAATGTGAATTTTGTGGGTTGCGTATACAGTGAGTTGTCGTACTTCCGATTAAGGGCATAGTCCGTCGTTGAGTGGTTGCTAACGTACCGTGCAGCTGTACAACTCGCAATCCACTATATTGCGAAAAACACAACCACCAAATCATCCAAGGGCCTTATTGTCTGCACAGCATCGAATGCGGGGCTATACCCCTTCCCCATGGCACCGATGTATTCAGCCACGAAGCACGGGGTAGTAGGGCTTGTGCGATCACTTTCACGCACTCTGGCCGTGGAGAGGATCCGAATCAATGCATTGGCTCCTGCTGTTATTGGTGAGTTGCGACTGAGCGAGATGTTGTGTTGTTTTCAAATTACTTACAATCATCAGAAACGAACATTGCGCCAAGTTCCGACTTATTCAAGTCGATGGTCCTCACGCCCATGTCAACCGCGACACGGGCTGTTGCGCAGTTAGTTGAGGATGAGTCGTTGACTGGTCAGATTGCGGAGTTGCATGGTGAACAAGTTACCTTCTCTGAGCCGCCGGCCTATGTGGATGAGGATACTGGTAAGAATATTGAGAATTTTTGGAGTTTGGGGTATGCCTAGTGAGGCTGCGTGACATAAAGCAGAGTGGGATGATGATACACTACGCACCAGTGCCTTTGCTTGGAGATAGTTGTTTATTGAATAGGTCTGGCAGCCTGGTCTGCTCATATTTGTGTACAGTCCCAGGGAATATAACACAGGTGATAGAAACAGAAATTATCGAAACACACCAGGATATCAATACCGTAACGCCAACCGTTGACCAACCAGCCAACTCCGTTGAGAACACCAAATTGTAAAAAATAACCACCACCTTTAAGGCAGAGAGGACATATTTGCTCTAGTCCTGTTCATCCTTTAACAGAACCTTTAACTTCTCCAGCTTATCTTCACAATGGACCTCCATTTGCATGATGACATCAACAGCATCTTTATTCGTGATGAGAAGCTGCGACACAAGCCAGAAATTGTATCCATTCTTGTAGAAGCCCATAGAGGCCCACTCATCGTTTGAAACTTTGTTGCGCAGCGCGATCCAGTGTTCGCGCCATCGGTGGAGAGCCGTGCGGATTGAGGAGAGGAGCGAGTCTTCAGGAATCACACTCTTGCTTGCGTTGCCGTCGACTGTGTCTTCCAAAGGCCGCATGAGGAATCCTTGTTGTTTGAGGAGCCCGACTAGCGTCATGTGGGAATTTATAAAGGTAAATAAAACTGAATGCGGTGTTAGCTGGGTCGTGGTGACATGAAAGGGTAGCATGTACCATGTATAAGTATGAACATATCCAGGACAGTCAGGTCCATGTTGCCAACTGCGGGGGAGTGGGCCACTGAGTCTCGGGAGGTTGGCTCGAAAAGACCTTGGAAAGCCGCGTATAAGGTGATGTCGCGAGTGAACCTGAAGTTCGGCTGTGAAAAAGGATGCTTGGCTTTGAAAAGTGACTCTTCGCATGGCAGCTCACATTCCATTTCGGAATGGGTGAGGCGGCAGGGGTAGTTTTGATAGAAAAGAAAGGCGCAATCTAACAGGGATATAACCCCAATGGTCCTATTCAATGTTAGATTTGTCAAAACCAGGAGCGGAAAGTCAAAGCACATACCGAATGCGACACTCAGTCTGTATCCAGAGACGTTCTTGCATTTGCTCCTGGGGTTGATGTCGGCACTTCACAAGCTCAAGCCGTCGCGCGACTTTAACGACCTCACTGAACCGATTCTCCATGGCGCGGTTTCGAGACGCGCGACTTCCCGACCAGTACTGGGTAATGGTCATGATAAAACCAGCAAGCAGATTTTGGAACCTGACCCATTCATTCTCATCGTCGTCCGAGGACTTATTCCCAGAGAAGACACTTGCGACTTCGTTCTCAGCCGAGAACACACGACTAGAGAAGACGAAGAGCTCGGCAAAGTCGATTACTCGCTTTGCAATATATGCCTCTCGCTGGTCAGTGCTGTACATGGCTCCCATGAAAGTCACTGAAGTAAGAAGGGGCAAGGAAACCGTCTCTGGGTCAAATGACGGAACATGAATCATAGCGCAGTTCGTTTGCCAATATTTGAAGTATAGCGATATGAACTTGCGTATGCGTGCTGTGGTCAGCAGGAAGCTAAGGTTCGAAGATATCTCCTCCTGAGCTTTGGCATCCAGTGCTACCGTCCACGCCCTCGCCAAAATGGACTGAATCAAAGCCATTGCAAAGGGTCGTTCCGGCTCAAAGATCGGCGTGTCTGGATGGAGCGCAAGACTAGGGTCTTGCCTAGGCGCTGGAGTTTGAAGCCCGATTTGACTGGCATATGGATCGCCCACGGATTTGTTCCCATCGCCGAATGGCCCATTGAAAAAGTCGAGGAATGTATCCTGGAAAAATTGCAGTGACGCAGGGTCTCCGCCCATCATGGGCTGGCTATACTGTGGTCGACTCCCTTGCACATTGTAAGGCAACACCCCCCCTGGTGCCGGGGGAAATTCATTTTGGTTGTGGAAGACCATGCCGCGAGCGCGTTCGCCGTTCGGAGGGAGATGGAATTGTTCCGTGAAGCTGTCGGTACCGCCGTTTAGGAGGAACTTGATCGATCCGCGATCCGAAGTCTGTTCGTAGATTTCCTGTTTGGCGGATGGAGATCCCAAACTCGAAGACCCATCCGTCATTGTAAGTGCCGGTGGCTGCGCCATGTCGTCGAGGTCCGGATTGGAAGGTTGGCCTAATCGCTCATTGTTGCAGTCGAGGCTTCTCTTGACACATGAGCCACAGGGACTTGCGCCGTCACAGCGGAGTTTCATCGAGGTGCACTGAAAGAAGTCGCCGATTAGTCCCAGACCTGATCGCTAGAGCTGTAGTGAGCTCACTGATTGACAAGCATGTCGCCTCCGGCCTCTTTGGCCAGTCTCGGGGATTTTGCGATCCCCGCGCTGCGCGCAATCGGTATAGTGGTCGCGTAGGTTGTCGCTGGTGGGTGTTAGCTTGCAGTCCTGGAGATATTATCCGTCGACCGGGATGAGGCACACGTACCATCGCGCAAAGGCCTCGTTGCAGAAGATGCACGAATACGGCTTCTGGCCGGAATCTGTGCCATGTTAGCTCCCTGCCGGACTGGCGATAAGGACGCGGTCACATACGGCGCAGATGGTGTCGCTTGAGGTGATCAATGCGCGTGAAGCCCCGCTGACAGACCGTGCAGCGGAAGTGCTTGTCGGCGGGCTTCATGTTGGTCCATCGGGGAGGAGGAGATCTGGGGTAAGAAACGATCCTCAGCGTCGAGGGGGCAAAGGGCAGGTGCGCGAACTGGTATTACGCCATCGCGGCCGCCCGCAAGTACCGGTGGGTCTCCACGCCGACATCGCACGCGCTGAGGAAACGGCAGTACTTGTAAAATTACGGAAAGCGTATCGTGTGGTACGGCGATGATATCACGATCTCGACAGCCGGACTTGGTCCGATCTGCATTCTAACACTATGCCAGCCATACGAACTTGGCCTTGTGGGAGCTCAGACTGAAGCTACAGACTCGGAACTGAACAGCGCCAGCAGTAAATACGCATGGAATGAATAAAGAGGTTCGTTGTGTCATTCGCACACCTCCGCAAACCCCAGATTTGAGACTCAAATCGAGTTGGGGGCGGGGAAATCCACCTGGTCGTCATCTAGATAGTCGACATTGATCCTTCCATACTTCTCGTTCTCCGTCCATCCATCCCCGATCCACCCGAACGGGTTATCATCAAGATACTCATACTCAAAGTCCTCCCATCGAGGCCGTTCAAACACTTTCATCGCATGCAGAGACGATCCTAGGTTCGAGTCAACCAGACGGAATTATTAATGAGGAGTGTAAGGGAACCTACCAGGCCACAGAGCAATAATTCGGCCCCCCTCAGTACCACCCTTATACCAACTACGACACTTACCCCCAAACACAGTCCGCTTAAAATACTCATCGCAATACCCCGTAAAGCGACGAACAGCGTCACGTCGTGGGACCATAGCTCGAATATTGTCTCGCTGCATCTTAGCCACACACTGTGTGAAATAGTCAACCTCCTTCTCAATGAGCAAAAGAAGATTTCCTTCCCCAAGACTCGCATTCGGACCTAGCGAGATGAAATAGTTCGGGAATCCATCTGTCGCAATTGAGATGTATGTCTCGGGCGTTTCTTTCCATCGTTCGGATAGCAGCACTCCGTTGCGACCCTTGATGGGGAATCGAGGAGTGCAGGTCGTGTCGAACCCGGTTGCGCAAACGATCGCGTCGACGGGTCGGTGTTGACCGTCTGCTGTGATGATGCCTTCTTCGTCAATTTTGATGATCTCGGACTTGATGACGTCCACCTTTTCATCGGTCAACGCCTCGAGGTAGCCGGGCCCTGGAGTCAGGCGTCTGCAGGCAGGTGGGAATGATGGAATGAGTTCGTCTATGAGCTCTGGTTTCTTTGCTAGTCGTCTCTTCATGTTCTCCACGAAGACGTCATGTGCTCCGAGCTGCATGGGTGTTCCTGTGAGGGTTGCCTCATGAATGGACTGTAGCTCTAACTCCACGCCTGAATAAGATGTTAGAAAATCTTTCACATGGAAGTGATCGGCTGATCGCACCTTTTCGGAATGTCTGATATGCGTCATGATCATTCTTGAACTCCTCAATATCCGCGGCCGAGAAAGCGACTATGTTCAGATTAGCTTGACACCAAATACCGAATTGGCAAACCTACAGTTGTCCTCCCCATTGCCATGCTTCTCAATATGATCTCGCGCAAAAGTAGGTGATACCCAAGTGCGGGTCCGAACGTAATGGTCAATGCGCGACACCTTTGGCAGCAGCCCTGGAACAATCTGAATACCACTTGAGCCATTTCCTATGACCGCGACACGTTTTTCCTACCCGATAAATTAGCAGAGTGGCAGATCATGGAAAGGAAGGATGCCCATACCGAGTAATCATACTGCTCGTCCCAACGCGCGCTGTGAAGCAACTTCCCCTTGAAGTCATGCAAACCAGGAATATTGGGCCACTTCCAATTATTTAGAGAGCCAGTCCCCTGGATGACAATATCGCCTGCATCGGCATATGTCGAGCCATTGCTCAAATCGTCGATCTGAGGCGAATTTGTGAGACTTATATCCGATGCCATCAAGTTGTAAACACACCTGAAGTTGCCATTTGGAACTTTTTTCATTCCATGTAGCCGACGTCACCAGCTGTCTTAATTTGATAGACTCCATGCAGCCGTATTTATCCACGACATGTTTCCAGTACTGGTGGATCTCTGGCGCGCTGGCGTAGAATGCAGACCACTCCTTGTTTGGTTCAAAGGAAGCTTGGTAGGTATGCGCGGGGATGTCTGTACAGCAGCTTAATTAGTCAGATGCTCAATATCACAACTTGGGTCAAAGTCCTTCAAACCGCAAGCACAGCCTGGATATCTATTCTCCAACCAGGTACCCCCAATATCTTCATTTTTGTCATAAATGCAGATATTAATGTTCGGAATGCGCTGTCTGAACCGAATGCAGGAAAGGATTCCAGAAATACCGGCTCCGATAACAATAAGTCTCAGCGGACGAGCCTCATCGATAGACCGCTCTGCAATACTCTGTTTCAGGGGTTCAGCGGAGCTATGCACCGTTTCGGACGAAGCAGGGACGGGATCAGAGCTGCCACCGAAAATGCGAGAGATGCGTCTCATTTTGAAATTGATAGATATTTAAGATGAATAGAAGCAAAAAGACACCCAAGACCGAGGCTGGCCCGTTTATAAGGTCATACGAGCCCGCGGCCGACTTCCGGACACCAGGAAATCCACAGAGCTCCATCAGCAAGTACCATAACACATCTGCTGGATCAAATGGGTTGATGTGCATCGGATATTCCAGAAAGGCGAATAACCAGTCAATCAAGACCACAATCGTACTCCACAAAAGCGGCGTAAGACCCTTTCGCAAGAAGCTGCTGGAAATCCCCCATTTCAGGATCCACATCTATCCGGATCTAGGGTCATTGGATGAACCTAAACCCATGATCATCGCTAACGTTCAGACATAGATCCGTAACTTAGCGACGGACCGATGCTGACTGGCTGACCGGAAATACCCCATTGCCAGGAACCCCACACGGCGCAATGCGGGGGGTTCTTGGTTTGGCCGTATTTATCTACGCCTTTCGGCTGGAATTGAAACTGGGTGGTTTGAAATTGATATGGCGGTGGCTTGCATTGGTCTCGGGGGTTTGAGGAGCATGGGTTGCGGAGTGGATGTGCCAAGTTAGCTGTAGACTAGCGTAATCCAGATCTCTCTATTAGAATTCGAGGTTGCATCTCGTTTTCCAGTGATGAGGATAGCTAAAAAGCAAAAAAATGCAATAGCAAAGCCACATAATCCAAGGCGTAATTACGAAATGTTCAAGGGAGAGACGATGAATGCCTCCCAGTGTGGCATCGTAACTTTGCGATGCAGCGACTCAAAGGTAACTTTCATTCCCTCCCTCGATTACTGTCCGAGTTTGTAGTAGTGAGCAATTGGGCGCGTCGGCATCGGAGGCTGCCCTCTGCCGTGTTTGCGGAAACGAGTGGGTTGCGCATTGCCGAAGGCCAGTTTGATACGAGGCTCGTGTTGGTGCGGAATTATACCTAAAACCGAGGCCAACGTAGTTAGTTATGCCCCACCGCCGATTACGTCAAACATGCCGTGGGTAACTAGTGAAGAGGGGAACGCTCGATGGCAGCACGCGCTGAGACGTGCGGGTCGATTCAGCAGAAAAACCACCACAAAACACACGCGTGGCAATCAGGAAATAGCGAGAATCCCAAATGTAGGGGTTAGGTCGGGGAGGTGTAAGAAGGTGCATTCTAGAACTAGCTATCCGGCCACCGTATACTGCCGGCTATGTCACATAGTCTGGATGGCACCCATGTAGTAGGGGGAGGGGGTCGTCTCCCCACTACACTAGTTAACTATTTGTCAGGGCGCGAATGATGGGAGCGCAAATAACTGAGGGCAAATTGACTGCGCAAATTCATCAACAATGGATTCTCATTCGTGTCATTAATTATTACATCAAAACGCAAACATTAGGAATACCGAGTCTAGCAATGATTCGTGACCTTGCACCAGGCAACGCAGACAGCGACGATGATAGCAATGATGAGGACTGGACGATGTTAGCCCATGACCTGTACAGGTGAAAGGCGCAGTTAGCACTCACCCACAACAAGCAGAATCCACCACTTCCACTTTTTCGCAGCTCGTGCGCTCCGGATAGCCAAAGACAACTTCTCATTTGCATTAGCTAGATTATCCTCCGCAGACTTTGCATTTTCATCAATCGTCTTGACCTGGTACTCGTGTTTTTCGACCAGCTCCGCAACTTCCTGGAACAACTCGCTCAGAGCTGTGAGGTCCTGTTCGATCTTGCGAATGGCCGCCGATCGCTGCTGGACCGCGTTGCGTGCATCGGTGGCCTGTTGAGACCGTACGCCTTGGACCTATACAATTAGCATCCGAGCCAAGCCTAACAAGCACAAGCAACTGTGAGAAATACCATGAAAATCTGCTCCCCACCCGCAATTACATTCTCCACACCAGCATCAATCTCCTCGGGCGTAGCTTCCGGTCTGGAGATCTCATATCTCCTCCTAACCTGCGAGCGCAACTTTTTCTCAAAATCGAGCTGCTCTTTGCGGTACTCGTTCATCTGCACCTTGACATTCTGGCTGATGATGTTGATTTGTTCTTGCACGCGCGGATCGCTGCTGTTGGGTATTGCTTTGAGCTCGGCAATAAGTCCACGGATCTGCTTGAATGATTCTGAGATGTCGCTATCGAGAGTGCTCATTCGCTGGTTGGCTATGAAATCCTCGGTTGAGGTTGTGGCGTCTAGGACTGCTTGTTGTGCTGGTCGGAGGTAGTCCTGGTTTTGCTTGATTATTGTCAGTTCGTCGTTGATCAGCCGTCGCTTTTCGAACACTGCTTGGAAGGTCGCGCGGTCTTCGAGTTCTGTCAGGGTAATGGTTAGCTAAAAATTTCATGCGTGCGCTGTGGTCAGGGTAGTTGTGTACCGTATCCGTCGATCGTAGGACCGGACTCGAGGTCCCGGGTGTAGGCGTAGTTGCTCATTTTGTCTCTGGCTTTCTTTAGGGTGTGCAGGGTCCTCGTTCCCAAGTCTGGAATGTCGAATGTGATGCGATGGTGCCGTGCCTTTCTTGTATTCGTGATCCGCGCTAGTGCCCCGAGGCGTTCGTAGTTCGTGGTTCAGATTCTCCAGGCAGAGAAATACCTGAGCCGCACCAAATGAGGATGCCTGAAATTTCGAAGAGTCCAAAAAGATTTTGAATCTTTTCAGGACTCCCCAGGCAGTCATAAGGCCGACCACGGTTTTCTGCATCGTACATGGGGGCGGGGCGTCATTGGCGCGGTGATCCTTCGCCCCCCGGCCGTTGCCTGAAGCTTTCCCAAAATAGGTTCGGACTGCGATGGCTGAGCCGCAGCTGAACCAGGCTGAGCCTCGCACTTCAGTGCTGACGTCGAATAATATTCAACGGGGAGCCCATTCGCTTGGGATTACTAATAATGAATCTAAATGCTACCTGCATTGGGCAATGCTAATGGTTTTGGGGCGGCTGCGACCATGGAGGACAGTGCTTAGCTGGCCACGCGCGACGTGATTGAAAGATAAGAAGATCAAATCAAGGAGATCAGATTCTCTAATGTCTTAGCACTCGAGGATGGCATTGCTTCTCTGGTACGTAGGAGTAACGTGACCATGCCAACATGGCACGTTTCAATATTCCGGGGGAAGCTTTGAGCTTATCGCCCCCAATCCAATGGGAATCCCCGGTCTCGATGCCCATTGCTCCTTCTTCCTTAATTCCACCCTTCACCTATGTCCGCAATCCCTTGGACAATAACATCGTCCTCACATTCATGTTGCATATTTCCGACCGCAATGCGGGGGTCTATAGCCGCCCTCGTATATCCGAGCTGGCTACTCGCTACTCCCCGGCCATGACTGTTGATTACCAGAATCTCACCAATCCACATCTCCCCTCCAGTCCACCGATCGCCCACAATTCTCGCGCCTCCCACTGGTCCTCGAAGCCAACTGATCCACCTGCCCCAACGCCGTGACGAACAACATCGCATCGCACATCGAAGAGATTCCCCGCTATCCAGAATTCCGCTCAATGACCGAGGCAGCGCAAACATAGATATAAATCTCCCCGCAATTGAGTCGCAAGACCACGGACTCTAGTAAATACCCAAAGCACCCAGCTCGCAAGGCGTGTGCACACTCCCATGCCCGTCTTCACCGAGTACGCGGCCGCGTCGCGCGAGCTGCGCGTCCTCCCTTCCTTTGCGCCTCCTCTCCCGCGACTCTCCTCACCCCCTGACCGTAATACGGATGTCGAGAAATATGAGGTCGTGATTGTCGGCGCGGGACCGGCTGGTCTCATGCTGAACCTGTTGTTGGCGCGGTATGGGTTAAGCGACGAGTCATTGCTCTGCGTCGATGCGAAGCAGACCACGTTGAAGTCTGGACAGGCAGATGGGCTTCAACCGCGGACGCTCGAGACGCTCAAATCGCTGGGTCTCGCAGACGAGATTCTGGCCGAGGGGTGTCAAATGTGGCAGGTATATTTCGCCGAAATATTGTACCTTCTGGCAGTTAGTCTAACACGAACAGGTCGCATTTTGGAACCCCTCAATCGATAAGAATAAGATTATCGAGCGCACATCAATAATCCCCGACGTCGCGGTCCCCGCGCGCTATCCCCATGAAGTCACCATCCACCAAGGCCGAATTGAACGAATCCTCGAGACCGATCTACATCGATATTCGCAACGGGGCGTGCAGCGAAACACAAAGCTCATCGACGTGAAAATCGACGAAGAAGACGATGCAGAGTTCCCAGTTATCGCAACAATCGAAACAGATGGCCAACAACGGACCGTCCACTCAAAATACCTAGTCGGCGCAGACGGCGCGCATTCCGTCGTGCGACGCAGCATGGGCCTGAAACTGGAAGGCGAGTCACTCGATCATGTATGGGGCGTCGTCGACTTGGTTGTCGATACAGATTTCCCCGACATTAGACGCCGGTGTGCGATTCATTCGCCTGCTGGTTCGGTCATGGTTATTCCGCGCGAGAGGATCGCGACAGGGGATTATCTCACCCGGTTGTATGTGCAGGTGCCTGGGGACGTGAAGCCTGATGGTGATCAGCAGCCTGTCAATGGTGCTAATACACCACCGGTTGATGCTCGGGCTAGACGGAGTCAGGTTACGGAGCAGACGATCTTTGAGAATGCCGCTGCCGCTTTTAAGCCGTATTATATCCGGCCGAAGAAGGATGGTGCGGTCGATTGGTGGGCTGCGTATCAGATTGGGCAGCGGGTCACAGATAATTTTTCGGTCAAGGATTCGCAAGGCGTGAATCGAGTTTTCATTGCTGGTGATGGTATGTCCTATGCCACCTGTCCTTACGTGTTGAAGCTTGCTAACTGCCACTTTCCAGCTTGTCATACCCACAGCCCAAAGGTAAACGCATACCCTAAAAGATGATCTCAGCAATTACTGATCTATATTAGGCCGGCCAAGGAATGAACGTCTCAATGATGGACTCCTATAACCTCGCCTGGAAACTAGCCTACTCAATCCACGGCCTAACTCCACACGCAGCCAGTGCAAAGGCAGACCCCATCCTAGACACATACCACACAGAACGACACACAATCGCCGAGAAACTCATCGCGTTCGATCGCGACTTCTCTTCAATGTTCTCCGGCAAAATCGGCGCCTCGGAAGACGGCGTCGGCGGACTCACACACGAGGAATTCCTGGAGGTGTTTAGCCGAGGAAATGGCTTCACCAGCGGTTGTGGAATTGAATATCCAGAGAACATGGCCGTGACTCGAGCGCTGGATGGGAAGAAGAACCCAATTGCCGGCGAGGATTACCTGTCTGGTATTCTCCGTCCTGGACGCCGATTACTTAATGTTCGCGCTGTACGGCATGCGGATGGGTATCGGCGCGACTTGCAAGATGGTAAGATCATGCCTATTGGGTTGCGATTTGATTCACTGACGATGATTAGATTTTGCGTCGACGGGTCGCTTCCGTATCCTCTGTCTCACGTCCTCGGATTTACTCAGCCACCAAGGTATCTCAGCGAAGACACTTGCTGCCCTTGGAAATGTCATCTCGCGCTTCCCCAAGTCAGTACTTGGGCAGGTAGTTATTCATCCACGTCTTGAGAAGGAAATTATGTGGAATGATATACCCAGCGAGGTGAAGAGGTACTCTGAGATGTCTTTCTATAGTGGATATGAGCTCGATGATGTCTATGGTGTCTACGGTGTTGATCCTGCTGAGGGGGTGTTGGCTATCGTACGTCCGGATGGCTACATTGGAATTGTTGCGGGCTTAGGCGATGTTCAGCGTGTGGAGGCTTACTTACAGTCTCTAATTCGCACGGTCTAAACTTCTCTGATCGCTGCGAGATTCGAAAGTCTTACAATATACACTAAATGAATGAGATCATGATATGGCATGCAGTTTCCGACTCCTGTATTCATTCTTTGCTCCATACAGAGGATTTTGGAGTTCCGGTACGTCCACGGCGAGCGACGGAGTAAAGTGCCACAATTCATCGAATTTGCTGGCGCCCGGCGATGGCTCTCTCGGCTATTTCCAAACGCCGAGTTGTCCAGGACCCATTGCATGCATATCCCTAAAGCATCTGATGTCCCTCTTTGTGATCATGGATGTTCTCTATTTCATGTTCCCACGTCTACGCACGAATAACCGCTACGACTGAAATTGATCCAACAGATGTGGTAACCATCACCAAGATCCCGATACCCACTTTGCTTGCGGTTTCGCGAAGACTTTCGGTCAGATGATTCTTTTCCAATCCTCTCGGGGCTAAGGTGCAGTGCGCCACTCTCGGTAGATTTACTTATCTGCGATATGGGATCCGAACAAATAGTCTTCCTCTAGTCGGCGGTGCCGTCCTCGGTGACCGGTTCACAGCGAAGGAAAGAGCTAAAATACTCACAATGTAGGGGTTAGCCCCCTTATTCGGACCAGCTGTCGGCCCTATAGCAGGGGCATTCATCGCAGGAAAAACAACATGGAGATGGGTCTTCTACGCAAACACAATCGCAGCAGGCGCGATATCAAATTTGGGATGTTGGTTCCTAGCAGAAACATATGCACCGATAGTCCTTAGCACGCGAACAAAGCGCTTTAAACAAGAAACCGGTCACACGGGTTTTATAATCGACGGTGAATGCCAACATAAGAAGATCGGTGATGTCTTCCTCAGAACAGCCCTGATCCGTCCCTACCGTCTCCTTGGAACACAACCAATTATCCAAATCCTATCAATATACATGGCGTTCGTCTACAGGTTCATCTACTTTACCCTCGCAACTTCCCCACCCTCTGGACAAGTCTTGAGTACTACAACGAATCGCCCAGCATCGACGGACTAAACTACTTCTCCATTGGTCTGGGCTCCTTTATTCGGCGCACAAGGCTGCACCCAACTACTCGGCATAATCTACCATCGCCTAACAACAAGGAATAATGGCGCAGCCGCTCCAGAACTCCTAATCACACTCATGTCCATAGCGGCATTCTGCAATCCAGCGGGTCTATTCATCTACGGCTGGACCGCAGAACACCACACCCACTGGATCGCCCCCAACATTGGGATATTCATTTTCTCTATCGGGAAAATCATCGCGTTCCAGTGTATCCAGAGCCTGCATCGTCAATGCGTACACGCGATACGCATCCAGCGCATTAGCTGCTGCGACGTGTCTGCGCGCGATTGTCGGATTTACGTTCCCTCTTTCCGCTCCGTATATTTTTCGAGCGCTGCGGTATGGATGAGGTAATAATGTTCTTGCTTTTGCGTTTGTGTTTATTGGGATTTCGGCACCGGTTTTGCTTTGGCTTTTTGGCGCGAGGTTGAGGAAAGCTAGTCCTTTTGCGGCGGGCGGATGATCCTGCAGAGTTGAAATGGCGAATTGGGCGAGGCTGAGATGCTCTCAAGGATTACGCATTTAGGTAGGGATCGTCACCGGTGCTCGGTGTTGTCCCGCTGGGGCGAGATTGGATTATCACACTGGTGCAGCAGGAACGGCAGATAATTTTTTAAAGGATGCTAAAGTAGCTTTATGATTAACTAGTAAAAATGGTTTTCGTCGAATTTTTTTTTTGCTTCATCCCTAGAAAAGGTTTTGGCAAACATTCCTCCGCAATAGATTAGTCCATAACTTCCATATAGAGGCATATATACTAATTCATTCCAAGCACAGCCGCACGAACATGACAAAGTCAGTGCCAACGCTGAATTCACGTCTATTTGCCGGTAGTGATATAGTGTCAAGATCTCGCAATATGTGTAATGACAAGGCATATGTGCAACATCAACACGATCCATCGCCTTTCTTCCTCGTTTCAATTCCAATCAAGTCAACGATCGCCTCCTCAAAATGATGCCCCATAGTATAATGATCTTCATTAAGCTCATGAAATACGGGTTTCGGAAGGCGCTCGGCCATATAGCGTACCATACCAATGGGCGCATTTGTATCCTTGGTTCCATGCCAAATCCGAATCCCTTTATAGGGGACGTCCTGGAACTCGAACCCCCAATCCTGAGACAATAACCGCGCCTCCTGGACCGCGGCAGCAGAGCCTTGTGCAAAAGCCTCAAATGAAGTGGCCATCATCCGTTTCCTCGCCTCTTCTGTCGACAACTCTTCTTGTACATCCTGCTCATCTCCCTTCTCCTTCTCCATCTTCATCCCCTCAATCCATGCATCCAACCATCTGGATACAGGAGCTGACTCTCCAATCCACTTTATCACACCAAGTAGAGGATTAAGAGCCATTTCCAGGGCTGTTGGGCAATTGGTCGCCGCGCGGGAAAGCAGCTTCCTGCTAACGGTCACATTCTCAATCCCAGCAGTCCAGGGCGGCGAACCCGCGATCACAGCTACGGCAGACATCATTTGTGGAGGTAAGAGATGCGCACAAGCTACCGCGTACGGTCCACCGCCAGAACAACCCATGACGGCGAATCGCGATAGACCCAGATGCGAGACGAGAGCTTGGACGTCGGCTGGCCAGTCAAGGAGCCGACGGTTTGGCTGGTAGCTCGATAGTCCGAAGCCTGGTCTATCTGGGACTATAAGGCGGAAGCCGTGCTTCTGCGGCCATTTACCGAAGCCCCAGCCTTCTAGGCGTGAGGATGGGTAGCCGTGGAAGTAGATGAGGGGGTAGTCGGTGCTGTTGCCGTATTCTGCGTATCCGAGGGTACGGCCATCACTTAGGTTGAGTTCCTGGTGAAAGCGCGTTGTTTCTGAGAGGACCGGTGATGAAGACCTGCTTGAGGTAGTTGATACCCGAAGGTGTGGCTTCGGTATAGCGCGTGTTGCCATTGTGAAGTTGGCAATGATTGAGTAGGCGAGATAGTCGTGGTCAGAATACTCGTATCAGCAAATAAATCTGAACTTTTCCAGCTTTCGAAGGAGTGCTCTGGCATTCATATTTAAGTTATCTCGCTGAGGGCGTGTGTATACCAGAACTGTTTGCGAGGCAGGCTCGTGTTCGTAAGATACGAACACGATCGCGATCCGATCCAGCCAATGGCGATCAACCTTTCCACATAATAGTTGCCCCGCTCACTATGAAATGAGCTCTTCTCACCGTCACGGTCGTTACTCAAACCAACTCCTGGACCCGAAAGATCATTCGTTGTGTCGACTCATCTGCAACAGTACCGAGATCTCGATTCGAAATTTCGTTCACCAACGAGATACCGAAATCCTGAGCCCACCACACATCTTGTCCGAGCCTCTCAACAAGAACGCCCCAAACCATCAATATCAACAGCGACGTATGATCTTTTGCTTTAATGGTCTGAACATATTCTTCACCAGCCATATTCAGCCATCCCAGTGCATACCCTCGATAGACTGGTCCGACACATCGTTGAAAGCACTCTTGGAGCAAAGACAGAGCCTTCTTGCACGACTCCCAGAAAGCGATTTGTTGCATGCGTCGCTCCTCTAACTCTTGAGAACTCTCGACGATCCTCCTATCATTCAATTGGCCGAGTTCAGTTATGAGCTTCGTGATAGATGGGTCAACAGCCACCTGGGGAAGGTCGTGAAACGGCGTCAGCTTTTGCACGTATTCACTGTCGGTAATCTGGTCCCCGTCACCTTCTGCAACTTGCACAGCGCCACGAACAAGTTCGAAATGGGCAATAGCTGTTGACAATATACTGTCCTGTTCATCGCATGAAGTATACTGACGAAATCGCGCTGATGCAAAAGCGAGGACCATTAACATCAGCGAAAAGCACAGAGTAGCCTTGCGGTCATAGCATTGACGAGAAACAAGTTGCGTGCGGAAATTGGCTAGTGCAAGGACTTGGTATTCAATTGCCGAATGGATATAGTGATCATAGTTTGAATCCTTGCGGTCATGGTTCATGAGTACACTGGCACTTTCAAAGGCTGACAAGGCCAACAGTCCATTCAAAAGGAAGTCGTATTCGAGTGCGAGAGCTGGCACTGTGAGCTGCCAAAGTGCCTCATCGCCAGAGCCCGGGGTACAGCAGCATTTGTAGGTAGTGGTAGACCACCGATGCATGAGCTGGAGCTCCAGGTGACGAGTTTTGGCAGGGAAGAACGGGCAGGCTGCTTCGGCATCAACTCTTGATTCTGTTGTTCGGTCCGCTTCCAGTGTCTCGTGGCCTGATAGGGACGATGGGCGGATGGGAAGGATAGCATATTGGCAGGCTGCACCCCGAGTCTCGCAGCGCTTGCACGGAGGACCCGCTTCGTCACATTTGACGCGCCGGCGTTTGCAGGTGAGGCAGCCGGTGTGGGACTTCTGATGGGAGCGACGAGGGGGCATGGTGGATGCGAGTATCCAGATTGGTACAGATTATTCTGACATATCCACTTGATTCGGAAACTAAATGTCTCAAGAGCCTTGAGGCTTGCGCTCGTCCCCATATGGTATTCTGTCTGCACGTGTGAGGAAGTAGAGTTTACACAGGGGCTTGACTTGGCTCTAGACCACGTGACCCCATGGTTATCTGGACTGGACAGTTTGTTTTGTCGACCAGAGCAGCACATCCCTCACTACAATAAGTACGTAGGTAGAACCTTGGGAAAGCAAGAAAGAGATAGATGAAAAAAATTAACTACCATTTTAGGATGGACAGCGATTCAATAGGAGCTGTCCAGTCCGACAGAACATATGGCAAGCCAGTTACCAGCAGCATAACGTGGGGGACCGACATATGGACAACCCACCCAACCGCAGTTTAGAAAGAGGAGGTACTTTGGGCCGCTTTTACTTGGAATTTGGTACTACAAATTAAGGGGATGATTCTTCAGAGAAGCCGCTATAGAGTATGTATTCTTTAAGGACATGGAATGAGTATTTGAGTCGGAAGTAGTGTGTTGAAGTTGACACCGCGCAATATATTATGGGGTTGTTTTGCAGGTTGAGGTCCCACGCACCCAGATATCCACTTTCTTGAGGTGCGCGTTCCTGCACTAACCTTTTCACTTTTATTCCATATTTTGTGTTTCAATTTCCATACTTCCTGCGAGCTTCGAGTAATTCATGCCATCTTCTCAGTTCTGATTTTTCGCGTAGAAAACTTCTCGATACAGCTGATTACTAGCAGAAGCTCGGGTCTATTCCAACCCGTAATCCCGTTATGACGTGTAATTTCCAACATGCTTAAGTTCACCATCATACAAGATAACTGAAGAACTGCCACAGCGGAGACATAAATAGCCCCCACTACTCAGCCTTGAGGCGCAAGTCTCGCGACTGCCGATCTGTCAGCGCTACCCAAAACACAGTCGGGGGGATGTTAGACCGCGGGTCACGTGAACTCGCGGGTGCTGCCATTCTCGTGCGCCCAGACTTGTGGGGCTTTTCGTCGGCCAATCATGCCCCCAGCAGGATCGTGTGTATGGCTTCGTGCTGGGGCTCAGGCTGCACCGCTGATTTCAGGGTCTGGTCCTTGGTGGCTATTAAAAAAGGGCTTTGTTCATGAAAGAATTTGCATATTGACTCTTCCGACCCAGAAATACCGCAATTCGACAAAATCTGTCACATTGCGAACTTCCGCCAACGGAAAACAAGCTCGATATATCTTGCCAAGGTCACCGACACAACTACATTGAACATTATCCAGGATGGCTGGGGACGGCAACTTTACATATCGCGACGGAATTGCCGTGGCACAAATAGTCAGCTTCTCAGTACCTCTACTATATGCCCTATATTTCCGATGGATGCGCCAAATAGGCTGGTTCTGCATCGGTGTTTTCACTCTCCTCCGAATCATCGGCGCCAGCTGCAAACTCGCAACCATCAGCAACGACCTACAAGGGCTCTGGGCGACAATTTTCGTCTGCGAGTCTCTCGGAATGATCCTGATAATATTCCTCCTGCTTGAACTTCTCGAAAGAATGTGCGTGGATTACAAGCAAACCATCGCATCGATACCATGCTAACAAGCCTCTCGACAGAAACAAAGTCATCAACGTCGCCGGAAAATGGATCTTCTGGGCTCCCTCATTAATCACCTGGATCGACATCGGCATTTCAATTGGAGGATGGGTCTCCATCATGGATGTTGAAAATCCCTTGCTCCCAACAAAATGGAGCCAAGCCAGTATGGGCTTGCTAGCGCTTATCTACGCGTATCTGATTGGCGTCTTTGTTCTATTCTGGCTTCGTCGGCATGAGTACTTTGAAGAGGAAAGGTGGGCGTTGAACGCAGTCGCTGTCTGCCTTCCACTACTGGCCATTCGGGTCATATACTCTCTAATTTTCATCGGGTCAAGTGATATGACGTTCAATGCGATCAAGGGAAATCCGACTGCCTACCTGATTATGACGATGTTGCCCGAAGTGGCGATAATTTGTGTCTGCACATATGTTATTGCGACTAGGATATCGCGTTTGGAAGGTGATATACGTCCAGCGTCACGGAAATCGGCGGACGAAGAGTTTCGGCAGGGGCTTTCTAATCGATGATTTATTTTACTTTTGTGGAAGATATGCATCTTTTGAATTTCAATATAGCGATTGAGCAATTGAAAAATGATTAGACATCAAAGTATGTTCACGAAAATCACCTAAGCTGGACTTTCCGCCCATCGACACTCGTGGTAATTATCAAGGGGGCGAGAACATGAATCTGGGCAATGCTGGGAGAAGAGATGGCCCATACTTCACCATCGCCCACCCAGTCGCCCCCAACAAAGACACAGTAAGGAGAACACACCTAAACATGGCCGCTTTGACCCTCGGCTGCAAGAATTCCTGAAGCAATGCCGCGAATTTCTCAGGAAAATGACGGTCGGGGTAGTCTTCCTTGGGAACTGGGAGACCGAGGAAAGGACAAATAGTGTCCCAATCAATCCCATCCTCATCCTCCAACTTGATCAGAAGGAGTCGGTCATCTGGGATGGTCGCCTTTGCCTTTTTGATGCTGCAAGATTAGTAGGTTAGCTAAAGCCCTTCATGCTCGCAGATGATGGAGATCTTACTACTCAGAATAATATTCGCAGAGCATTTCTTCATTTTCGGCATCGCCAGGCTTCGTATTGCTCGACAACGCCCGGTATACCAACACATTCACGTCGAAAAAGTGATAAAGGTCGGCGTGGAAGTACTTCAAAATACTCACAGGGAAGGTGGTAGCTAAAGCGGCCACCTTGGCCGCGGTATTGTTGAATGACAGAGCCCAGTTTTTCGGGTTTCTTTCAGTGAGAATGAACTTGACTTCGGGATCATCAATATAGGATTGAATGACATCCATGCCGAGATAACTGGGTACTTCAATGATACACTGTGATAAATTAGATCGGTGTCGCACATTGGAATTGGCTAAGAAGTGATTAACGCACATCATAATCTGCCAACCACTTCTCACAATCGGGCTTCCTCAACCTCTTTACTCCAGAAAGCCAGTTATACTGCGCTATTATGGCCTCTCTGAAGATCTTGATGTGTGTCGAGCCTTGGACACAGACACATTCGTATAGATGGTAAGGGCGATAGCCCAGGATTTTCATTGCTGCATAAAGCCCTAGCGTGCCAGACCTTGGAATGACCACTATTAGATTACAAGCATATTTTTGGCGGTATAAGGTGTCTTACCGACTTGGGCTCGCGACAATCACTTTCTTCCGCCGAATCTCCTTGGGCTCTGGGAGTCGATCGACTTCTCGTGACATTTTGACTCCTTGAAAGCCAGCATCAGTCTTTAGGTTGTTGCTGGTACACGTAAAGAACATCTGCCTTTTAAAGCGACTTCGTATTCGTTGCTCGGGCCCTGGGGCGCCTGACTGGCCCCCACTGGGGGTTCAGCTGGGTGAGCGTTGCAAGGGCGGAGGAAGCTAGTCAGCAGTAACGCTCAGCAATTGGGCTAGTTTATTGCTATTGACTTGGCGGATGTGTGAAGCTCATCGGAGGACGTGGATCGAAAACTATGCTTCCCCAATCGCTGTCATATCTCTAAGTTCTGACAGGGTGATTAAGGCTGAATGAACACCCTGCTGAACTGGAAGTTAAACCGCGAAGGTTTCCTTAAGCGGAGCTAGTCGCAAATAGGGGTCTCCCGGTATTGGGTCGATAGTTGGAAGACTAGGGGCTCGAAACATAATGTGACAGTTCAGTCGATAAGAAGACAATGGACTCAAGCATCAAGAATTGCATTCTATTCGTTTCCTTATTCATTTCCATTTTCTTTCTTCTTCACGGAGTTGCGGCATCTTCAAGGATCGGCAGTAATTCGATCTGATATTTCCCAGCCAAACAATATACGGTGCAGGCTTGAAAATATCATCCAAATCCTCAAGTGTTACAGCGTCTCAGGTAGGAAGAAAAGTGTACCCATTGTATTCATTGCACAAAGACCCTATGTCCAGTCAGTATTGCCAATTGTTGGAGAGATTATTTGGATCTAACCTGCGAAGAAGAAATTGGGCTTATATCAAATAGTCGCGAACAACAACGGTGTAGACTTTGAAGCACAGATTGTACAAGAACGTAAAGCTGACAGAGATCGCAGAACCCTAGGTCGCAAATTCGTCGGTAAAATCTCCATAGGAGTCCACCAGCCGCATGGCCCCACGTTGCGTCATGTGTGCGCTAGAACGAGAAGCTATAGGCCACCGTGCTTAAGCTGTCGCCCGCAGGGAAGTATTCCAGAAAAAATCCAGTGATGATCCAGAGCGTTGTCATGATGAAGAGTCCTGTGATTAGGGTTGGTCGTCTTCCGTAGCGGTCGAGAGTGTAAAGAGCAAATAGGAAGACGAGCGTTCCTGAAAAGCGTTAGTCAATTCAATCTACTTGCTGTGATGAAGAGGTGCGCTGTGTACGCAATGTAGAGTTGCCGGCATTCAACGGAATCTTGTAGTGATAGTTTCCAACGCCAGCGCTCTGGAAGATTGTCGGGGCATGTAAAAAGCGCTAGGAAGGCTCGGATATAGAACGGGGGGTAGAATCTAACGTAATGGAATTGATACTAGTCAACTGCTGCACTGCTGGCAGATAGAGTGCCAATGTGAATCGTCTGAGATTAGGACCCGGCTTGACCAGCTCCATCCAGCCCCTATTGGGGCCTTCTGCTCTTCGTGGTGGATTGCTTCCTCGATTTGCGCATGCCCAGTAATGATGAATGGGTCCCCTTTATTTCTAATTGCTAGAGTTTCATCACTTAGTCATTCGTGTCTTGTTGATCTTCGATTGATATGCCCGCATATCATGAAGCTTAGCAAGTGCTGCAATCGACTCGTCACTCAGACCTCACAAGCTAAGGCACCTAGGCGAGCTGAGCAGAACGAAGACAGCCGCAAGAAGAACAATTGACCCAATATACGGATATGCGAAGATCAGGCGCCAAGAAGTATCACCAGCGATATAGCTGAAAGCAAAGGGTATCTACGCAATAAACGAGAATCTAAGATCCTCCATAACATTGGGAAGTCAGGTATTATTATCTCGTTGGGCCGTGGTGATATCTTAGACAGATAGCGAGGCGTGTTGTTAGCAAGCGCCCCACAGCCGATACCCGATACCAAGCGACCGACGTATAGCATAGGGACATTGAGCCGCGACGACTAGAGTGACTCCGACGGTGAGGATAATGACGCCCAGTCACCCGAATCGGCCAGCGGATTGACCGGCAAAAAATTCTCTCACGAGACCACCGATGATGAATAGGATGACGATATTGCCTTGGGTTTGTGGGTCGGAATTGTTCTACGCGGCTGTTAGCAATTGATCTCACATATCTCTGGGATGGCTGGCTATTCACGAAGTAATTTGAGAATTGGCGCAGTGGGAATGAGTTCGCAACGACGGATTGGTCGAAGCTGGGAAGAATTAGTATTCGAGGGTTGCACAGAATGGTCTCTCAATGCCAACCCAATGAAGGTACCACCCGCAGCCGCCAATAAGGTGTAGTTAGAACTTGGCGTATAACTTGAAATATCCCGATCTGCAACGCCACCCATCACGTTGGGGCATCTTTGACTCAGTCACGATGCTGCAGATCTCCGAAAATGCAGCAATGTTCATATTTCCCGTCATGGTCTCTTATAACCACATCCATTATAACGACAAAAGTCAATCGCGGCTTATGTGGAGTCTCTTCCATTCCAGGAACCCAAACGGCAATTCTGGGTAAATTCCTCGTTGAGGAGGCTCTTTAGTGTTAAGCAATGGATCTGATGCGCAACGCGCGCCAATTGCAAACGGTGGTTTCCCTTTAAAGTGGGTGTCGGTAATCCAGCGACAGCCGGGGTGTCGCCGTGCGGGGGTGGATCCGCGCCTCCGCATCCCCGGATTCTTGCTCGTGGGCATCTTCCTGAATGGCTGGCATATCGCGGTCGAATAAAACTGTTGAAGATACACGGGATCTCTGGAAGGATCGTGGCGATCATGAACTCATAGATGGAATGTTCGGGAAGTTTAGGAAATCGCGGAATGGGAAGCGCTGGCCAATGCTGGAAGTGTGTTGTCTGCCCACCGAACTGAAGGTTTCTCGATAACAGCACACATCACCAACTACACGATATATTTCACTTATTGACCGTCCAACAAGGCACGGAAGAACCCATCTACAGCTCTTCCACTTGCGCGCCCTAACGTAGACTATGGCGGCATGCGTTTATTGGGTGAATCGCACCGACAACAGCAAATTTCCATCGCAAAAACATCTATGACTGAATTACAACATGGATCCTGAGAAGCTCCGATTCCTGTGGCAGAGGATTGGCAGTAATTCCTCGGCTGGAAATCCAATTGAAGATGAATTCATCGAACCCGGAGGGCCAAGACGCTATTTTAATGCAATACCAGATGGCGACTCCGAACGGCGTGGCTTGTGCCAGAGCCTTGCAGGATGAGTCTGGAGACATTTAAACCACAGACATAAATGTTACTGGACCTGCGAGCACGTGGAAAAGTGGCGCGATGGTCGCATTGATGTTAGCAAAGGCTCGGGGTTACGAGGAACGTCGCGACGTCGACGGCAAGTGGAAGGGAATTGTGGACACCCGAAGCTGGCTTGTAAGGCTGACAGAGGGGTTATTTTCCAGTTTAGGTATCTGCGCCGCTTCCATGTCAGCATTGAATTGCGACTTGAACTGTGATCAAGAAACCGTTCATTGTTAGGAATGGTTCATGTCGGTGACTCAAAAACGAAAGGGCATTCTGCATCTCCTGCATGAAATTGTTTCGGATTCAACACTCGCTCGAATCTAAAACATCTTGGACTTTGTGTGCAAGATGATATTCAGGCGCGCCCTTCCTAATTTATTTTCTGGGTAGCCGAGTCACCAAATCCACTGGGATCGCCATGCGTGGCGTTGCTGACTGCAGGGCTGAGGGGAAACTAACATGCAAGAAGTTCTTTGTCCTGCGGAGCGCAGGCCAGACGAACCCAGAGAATAGATTGCCTACCAGAGCGAGGCTTATCTATTTTAATCACTTTGTGCGTTTGGTGATGGTGAAAGAAAAATCGAGTACACGGTCAACAGTAGGTACTGTTGGTCGTTGTCGCCTTGGCCTGACCAGCAGTTTTCACCACGCCAGACAAAATACCGAGTCAGCACCAGAGGCTGCGTGATCCCTGCAACCATAAGCCAACGAGAAGTATTGGTCAGGTCGCTAATGTAGCCCGAATATTTTGGGTCCGCTGAAAGGGTCAAGAGGCTCCAAAGTGGAGAAACGGGACGCCTACTACTAACGCAAAGCGGATGGCAGGTGCGACCCTTCTCTTTCACAATTTGACTTCCATTAACAGCCGGACGAGTAAGCCAGGGCGCCAAGCCATGTTTATCAAGAACAAAGCATGGCACATTCAGCCGGTCTCTGTCGCCTAAGCCCCGATGAGCTGGCCTGGCCTGGTGGGGCCTCTTTCACTTCAGAGTCCTTCTCTTCGCCGTGCATCCTTCTGCAAATCGCATCGCACAACATCACTCTCGTTAAACCATTTGAAGATGTTGTTGACACGACCAGGACTCAGGTCACTGGTGGCCATATACGCGCTGGCGACACTAGGAAGTGCAGCGTCGATGTCAGCCGAGGTGTCTGCTACGGCGACGAGTACTGATGCGACGAGCGCGTCGGCTTCTAAAACGACATCGACTAGTAAAGCGACGCATACTGTTCAGGTTGGACCGAAGACAAATCCCCATGCATATGTGCCGCACAACCTCACTGCAAATGTTGGAGATGTGGTCGTCTTCGAGTTTTATCCAACGAATCATTCCGTTGTGAAGGCGGATTATTTGGCCCCATGCGTCCCGGCAAGCGATGGCCTGTTTTATTCAGGAATCTTCAACACCTTCAATACGAATAATGGAGATCTTGTTGGGCCAGTGAGTGAAAGATCGTTGGTTCAATCTTCGACATCGGAAACTGTGTCTGACATTGCTTGGGAAATAGGCTCCAACTTGGTCTATTGTCATCAACGATACAGAGGTAAAGTACCCACCAGGCCCAGACACACCAGAACGTTTACTAATTCGGCTCTGCTGTAGCCAACTTACTTTTATTGCACTGCGATCGGATCGTGTCTTGAGAATGGCATGGTCGGCGTGATCAATCCAGTATGTTGCTTTGTTCCATACGATGCGACATATCCGCTAATGCTCTGTTAGAATTCCACGCGTACCTACAAAGCACAATATGACCGAGCCCTGACATACCCATACATGCTTGTTCCAGGACAGGATATGCCGGCCGAAGGAAACGGCGAAGGATCCACAACAAGCCCAACCTCAACATCCACATCCACATCCAGCAGCGACAGCAGCAACTCTGGGGGCCACGGCCTCAGCAAAGGTGCGATTGCGGGAATCGCCGTTGCCGGTGCCGCCTTCCTTATCATTTTAGTCGCTCTATTCTTCCTCCTCGGTCGTAATCGAGTCTACAAAAAGTGGATGTCATCGGAAGATGGACGAAACGAACGCACTGCCCGCTGGGCTATGTTCAGCCACCCGACTAGTGGGGGAGCCGAGTCTTGGAACCGCAAAAGTGAAGTAGGCAGCAATTTGGGAAAGCCAGCCATGACTGATACAACATCTGTTTCGAGTCCGGATCCGAATCGCTTCAATACTGTCTCGCCCCCTCTTGGGGATGGTAACTCTAGCTATGGTACTTCCTCGCCTCGTCAGATTTCTGGTCAATGGAATTGGGATCCGTCTTTCGGTGCCCGCATGAATCGTGGTCCTAGCGAGCTGGAGGGTAACACTACCATACATCAACTTCCAGAATCTAGAGATGAGCGGTGATATGTTGGAGATGTTGGGACTGTAATTTGGAATCGGCCGTCGCAAAGCAGGTGTTTTTTGTCGTTATTGAGCAATAATTTCTTCTGCTCGGGTCCGACATGACTGGCGCTTTTTGTTCATCCTTGATATACCATTTGTTATGTGCACGCTCTGTCTTTTATCCTGTTATACCTTCGTGCAAATATGAAATAAAATATGCAAATAATACACTCCATGCCGATCCTATGACCACAGATCCCCCAGATCCTGTCCCACTCCGCCGTCAAGCACGAATCCTACAGGGTCATTATACACAATCCCCCTCAGATAAACCGCAATACCGCACCCAGCATGCCTCGCGGTTCCGAAACAAGATCAAGATGGGGCTGCTTGAACTGGTACCGTGCACCTCCCCCTCGGGATAGACATCCCCTTCCCCCAAAGAATGCCGATCGCACTAACGCATCTGCAGTCGCAAACGACGTAAGAAATGCGATGAGGCCCGTCCGACCTGTAAAATCTGTACTAGACAATGGAACGAGCGACGCATTTGCATTCACAGGCGCTTAGTCTGCTTGCGACGGAGTTGCTACTGGCGCAACTTGATGAGACGGGCTCGTGTGAATTTACTTGCTGGCAGTTTGCTGCTCATTTACTACGAGGTATATCCCAGTTCCCCGTATCGTGCGGCTCATAGTGACTCACTGATCTCAGATTGTTCTAACTCCGCAGATAATGCGTGGTGCCATCTCCATGGCGCCAAGATCCTACTCGAATATCACAATCAACCAATCGTGTCTCCTTGCATCACATTCTTCCGCAAGGTCTTCCAGTACTTTAATGTCATGCTCGCTCTTTCCCTGGGGAGGCGGCCTCTCATCATCAACGGCGTCCACGGACCGGAGTTCACAGACAAGGTCGACAATGTATTCGGCTGTGCTGGAAGATCATGGCCTCTCAAGCACCGTCTTGCCGATCTGATCGGACGAGTACGACTAGGTGAAGACGGGCGGGACGAGGCGCAATCACTGATGGGCAGTTTGGAGGCATGGTCCATTGATTCATTGCCAACCATGGATGCATATATGGAAGCGATGGTGCAGATAGCACGAGCATATAAATTCTCGGGTCTTCTGATGCTCCGCATGGCGACGAATCCTGCTTTCCAAGACCACTCTGGTGCTCTGGAGGCTTCCGACCAAGACCTATATCAGTTTGCGTTCAATAGTGTATTACGCGTCTGTGTGCTCTCGATGCCGATGGCTACCCTCACTTGGCCCCTCTATGTTGTGGGCCGACTTGCTGGCTCGACGAGCGATCGGACGATTATAATGCATATTTTTCGCAGTTCTTGGAGAAGCATCATATGAAGGTTGTCGATGGGGCATGGAAAGCCGTATGGGCGTACTGGGGAAGGGGTCACCCCAGACTTCGGACTGGAAAACACTCCCGCCAGTATTATTGGGTTGATGTTTCGATTCATGCTATTAGCGAATACATAAGCCAACGAATTTATCCAAAACGTACTTAGGGGTGCACACGAATAATCACTTTACGAATATTCGTACGAATACCGTAAAATTTTACGAATACGAATAAGCATCGTCGCTTATATAATATCCGTACGAATAAAATGTGTCTTATTCGTAAATTATTCGTAAAAATCACGTGTGATTAATATTCCTCAGAGAGATATATATCTCGTAACAACATCAACCGCCGCATAGTCTCCGCGCTCAAGGTGTTTCTCCTGACACCCAGTAAATCTCGTCCCTTGTTGAATAGTCTCTCCACCGACACTGATGATGCAGGAATGGCCAGATAGTCTCGTGCAGCAGTAGCTAGCTGTGGGTATTCGTTCCTCTGTGCTCTCCACCACGATAAAAGCCAATTCTTGTCCTGTGAAATCGACTCATTTATCGTGACGACGTCATCCTCAAAGTACCGGTCAATGTCAGATGAATGTCTCTTCTTAGGTTGCAGCTTCTGAAGTAAACGGGCCTCTATGCTCTTCTTCAGGCTCGGCTGCTCCTTAGAGGGCTTTGCCGACGAGTCGACTGCCAATGGATATTGATCATGCAGTAGTTCTTTGATGTGCGTGACAACTTGGGGTGCTGTGAGCTTGCCTAGATCTCTGTCTAGCAAGAGCGTTTTAAATCGCGGATCAAGCACTAGGGCGACATAATAGGCGTCTTGTCCATCCATCAGGTTGTAGTATTTTTGGAACTTTTTCAAGCCCGCAGCAGCAGCAGCAGAAATCTCCAGGTGCAGATCCGAGAATTCTCCCTCCCTAGACGCAGCATCATGCAACAGATCGTGCAGTTCATAGTAAATGGGGATGGCTAAGGTAATTTGCGGTTGACGCTTGGAAACAGTGAGGGTGAACTCCTCAAACCTGGCTAAGAAGCCCTCAATTTGTTGGAGACGATCCCAATCCTCAGCACTGAAGGGTGGAAAATCTAACTGATGGTGGATCCATTTCTTGATTTGCTGCTTCGCGTTCAGGGCGTCTCGGAGCATTCGGTGTGTCGAATTCCACCTTGTATCCACGTCGTACTCGATGAACTTGTCCTTGAGCCCATTGCTCTGGCAGATGATCTTCCACTGCTGCTTCCGCTGCGGGGTTCTTGCAATCCAAAGCGCCATAATCCGAAGGCGAGCCAATGGTGATTGCGGGCCAATCTCTTTGTTTTCCTGCATGAGATCACAAGCTGCATTCGCCGACGCGTGGTCCCCTGCTTGCAACATGACGAGTATATCGCTGACAATCAGATTGAGCACATGCGCAGTGCAGCGAATATAACTATCCACTCCTTGAAATCGTAGGGCTCTTGCAGCACTCACGGCTCCGTACATGGCTTGAAATTTCTCGGTGAGATTGAGATATAATTCCGATAGCAAGCGCTCATTGCTTGTGGCATTGTCTGCTGTGATCGCGAGGAGCTTGTGTTCGATTCGAAGTTCTGTGAGAAGCGTCTGAAGAATTTCTGCCATGTTCTCTCCGCTATGAATGCCGTGGATTTCCGTAAATTCAAGAACCCGCTCTCGGTACTGAAAATCCACTGTCAACCAGTGGCCAACAACCCCGAACATGGCTTTTGAATTCTTGCTCGTCCAAGCGTCTAGCGAAAGAGAGATCGTTTGGCATGTCTGCTCTAGCTCTTCAATCAACTGCTCCCGACAATTGTCGAAATCACGATCGATTCGACGAGCCATTGTCATGCGAGATGCGAAAGGGAGTGAAACACCCAAGTCCTGGAAGATCTGTTGGAAGGGGGGCGATTCTATGGCGTCAAATGCCATGTCGTCTATAACCACCCACCGAACCAGGTTTTGCTCCAGGACCTTTGCTCTCTGCTCCTCAGTCCGCTTCTGGAAGAAGCTGCTAACTGACGGCTGTTTTATGCTGCTTCTGTCGTCCTCCGAACTGTTTTCAGGGCCACTTAGGATAATACCATGTTTAGAGAGATGGAACATCATATTGGATGTTGATGTTGCCCTTGTAGAATCTGTCGTTTTCCAATTGCATCGCTTGCAGCGCACCTCCCGGTCGTTGATTGGGCCCTTTCCCCTTTTTGGCCACCACATCCTTCCCGGTAGCGGGGAACAGTCGAAATGTGCCCAGAGAGCTTGATTCTGCATCTTTCTTCGAGAAAGGCCAGATTCATTGGAGATACTGACCACGTCAGGCAACGCCTCCGCAGTCAGTTCATTTTGGGAGCAGATCGCCACGAGTGGACTTCGAGCCCGGCTTAATTGGCTTGCAGAGTCATCAGGAGTAATCGGTTCAACGCTACTGCGTGCCCTTTTCGAAGGAGGGATCTCAATAATGCGGTCTTCTGGTGGAGCCTCCTCGTCGATGCCATCATTGAGCGCACAGTAATTGATTCGCTGAGACCTGTATGGCCGTTTGCGCTGTGACTCCGTGGACTCGTCCATTCGTAGCGCGAGAAATTTGTCCTGATAGTTGACTGATAGGAAAGAAGTGCGTAGAAAACGAAATTATGGTCGTGTATCTGCAGTGTAAACAATCACGCGACGCGTTGAGCATCGTTAGATGGGCGGTGGGTCTCTATTACAGTAAGGGTAAGTTAGTCTTGGCGGAAATTACGAATAATTACGAATCGAATACGAATAAAGTCACGAAAATAGCCAGTCGAATACGAATAATGAGTTGAGGAAAATTGACGAATACGAATAACCAAAATCCTTATTCGTGTGCACCCCTAAACGTACTACGAGCTTAGGCAACCTTGATACATCTTAGTAGCAAGTGCCCGGATAGACGATATACGTGCCTTCTCCGCCAGGCGGCGTCTTGCCATTTCGGGTTCCAGCTGATCGTGGTTAGAAAAGTAACGTGACCTGCCCCACCCGTTTGGAAAATCATTTTTCCGAAGTTCTACCCACGCTCAGCTAACACAGCTAAGCGTGGGTAGAAATTCCAACCCACGATCCCCACTTTCGTGTTTTTAATTGGCTACCACTGCTGATTAAGTACGCGCTAGCAGAACAACTAACCTGTAACCTCAATATTTCATATACAGTGCATAGAGTAACCATATTTAAAGCCTCTCTTTTCTATATGCTTTAATGCTGTAGTGAATGTTAGACTGAGTGGGGGGGGGGGGGGGGGGGGGGGCGGTCTTGAAAATCGACCAATTCATCATTAAATGTAGACTCAAAGCGTCCTGCAAAGTCTGGATGATTGAAGACAGACATATTTTGGCAAATATGTAAACAATAGGATTGTAGGATAAATGGGTATTTATAATCAGTCTACACTAGATTCACGCTAAAAATAAGCGACCATGGGTTGAAATTTCTACCCACGCTCACCCCAGCCACCTGATCGTGGGTAGGAATTCAACCCATGAGTGGGTCAATTCACGTGATTTTTCTAAACACGCTCAGCTATGCCCCCTTGGCATTTCCCGCAAGTGTCGTTCCGCTCGGCATATGTTTGTATCGAGACAGCGAGATCTGTACTCGTCATTTCTCTCTTCCGCCTTGCGCGCCTTCAAAAATTGTTCATCCCGTACTTTCACATCGATAGAGCTCGCAGCCCCTACTTCCGTGGGCTACACCAAGCTGGAAGCTCCCTTGGAAGCCCCAGGAGCTCTGCCATGGACGTGACTTCCTCGCGTGGGAGCTTTCAAACAACGATGAATCATCAGGAGCCTCACGTGGAGAATGGTCAGAGTGATCGCCCCCTCGCGATTGAAATTAATTCGTCGCCAAGAGTATCACCAGTGGAAGATCAACAGGTTGAGTCGAGCTCCAACGATCCGACCTCAACACGTTCTGATGGGGGGCCCGTCCCCGAAGGCTCATCTACGGGCGAACCTGTGTTGTGGTCTGATGGAGAACCACCAGGGAAGAGACAGCGCACTGTCCAGCACCCTGACGCCCAGGAAACCTCTCAAAATGTTGGCCCTTTGTTGGCGAGTCGGGTTGATTCACCGGCCGAGAGTCAATCAGCGAGGAAACAGCGTTTCGCCGTTCCGGAACTACAGAAGAAGACCCTTCGCAGCTGGTCCGCCAGCCAGGATCCCCGACCTAGCCATGTCGACTGTATTGACTGGTTTGAGCAGCAATACGGTCGACGCCTCAACCAATCCACTGTCTCCTATATCTTGTCCAAGCGGTACGAGCATCTGGACAATGGACCTGTGTCGGTTGACTCAGAACGGCGGCAGCCCGCCCAATGGCCCATCCTAGAAGACAAGCTGAACGACTGGCTCGACGAGGCGGAGAACAGACACGAGCGCGTCTCCGGTGAGCAAATCATGAGGAAAGCGCGTGAATTTTGGCCAGAAATCATGGATTACGTGGGACGAGCCATGCCTTCGTTCAGTTACGGCTGGTTGAACAAATTCAGAAAGCGTCGCGAGTTTGATCAGATCCACCGAAATCGACCTGAAGATACGGGGCCTGCTCTGGTCGATATTGCGAATAGTCGCAATCAGACAAAGGCCCTGCGCAGCTTCGGCGGCGAGTTCATGCCAGAGAATATCTATCATATGGATGAAACAGGCCTGCTGTGGCGGAAGGCTCCGTTCATGTCTGTTCCCGCTGGATATACCTATTATCACCCAAGGTCACAGTACCAAGCGAATGCGCGGATCTGTCTCACATTGTGCACAAATGCTACAGGATCCGATCGCTTACCACTCTGGGTTATTGGCCACAAACACACGCCCGAATCACTTCGACAAGCCAATATGCAGGCCTTGGACGTCAAATGGCGATATAACAAACAAGCATGGATGTCAGCGGTCATCATGCAAGAGTGGCTACTGGCTTTCTACGCCCACATCGGCTCGCGTCAGGTCTTGCTAATGCTGGACAATTTCCCAGCTCACACGGCCGCCATCGAAGCAACCCCTCCCCCACCGAACATCCACATTGAAACGTACCCAATTATCCCCGAAGTCATTACACCGCCAATCTCGTGCGGCATTGCCCGGATCCTGAAACAGCAGTATCGGCGACAATACCTCGGCTACATCATCGCAGGATACAACAGGGGCTGCTCACCCATCCAGGAAATGTGTCTCGGGTACGCCCTGGTCTGGGTCACGCGCAACTGGCGCCACGACGTTCCAAACGCCTCGATTTACAAGGCTTTTAGGAAAAGCACTCTCCTAGATCCACGAATCGACCTCGTCCGCGCCCCACAGCCGCCTGATATCATTCAGCTTTACCAGCATGCTCTCCGACTCAATCGAAGCAATGCTCCAGTTATCTCATTCCAGGAATTTGCGAACCCGGCTGCCGAGGAGATTGCCGGGGATTATAATCCTGCGAGAGACGCATTTCTGTCCGTCGAAGAGTTGGATGAGCCCATCAGCCCTGTAGATGTCACGCCTCCTTCGGCTACGGAGGCGATTGCGTCTATCCAGGTTGTCCTTCGCCATATGATACACCAGCCTACCGCTACTGCGCAGGACATCATAGATCTTGAAAAGATTGAGAGGATGATGATTAGGAAAGCCTCGCTTGAATTGCACGGTTAATGCCATACTGGGAATGGGGTAATGCGATCCGAACACAAGACGATCATATGTTAAATAGATGTATTCTGTACGATGTATGATACCAAAGAGAGCATATCACGAGTCTGAATGAAAGTATACGATATTCAATATCCTATCTTGTCCCTTCCGTCGACTCGCAATTGATATCTTGAAAATCAGCTCTAGCGGGACCGGAACAAGAGTGAAAGTATTACGCTTACCATTTTGGAAGGCATCTGCCGTCTGCCCTGGCGCAAATGATACCTCATACCGAACCAAAACCTCAGCCACGACCTGCCGGAGTTCCATAAGTGCGAGTTGCTTCCCAACGCATGCATATATTCCTGGTATAAAAAGTGTCAGTATTGATCAACAAGAAACTTGGGGCGCATACCACCGCCGAAAGCAATAAAAACTGACGGATCTTTGATCAGCTCCGGGGCTGTGGTCCATCTTTCCGGGAGAAATTCCTCTCCGCGGACGAAGACTTGTTCATCTTTACCCTCCAAATCAACATTGAACGTCTTCAGTGACGCGGAGAATCCATACCTCTGAATAGAGCATGTTGCGGCATGCAGACTATCACATCGCCGGGTATGTAAACGTCGCCAACTGTGATACCTTCAGGTGGAGTGACGCGCTGGAGACCAGAGGGTACAGCTGGATGAAAGCGGAGTGTTTCGTGTATGATCGCGTCGATCAGTTTCACTTCTCGCAGACTATACTGTGTCAGGCTTGGTAGAGCCTAGAGTTCTTCACGGAGCGAAATGCCTAAAAGTTTTGTCGCTCGCCAAGTGAAAGAAGATATTTGCCAATGTCGCCGATATTGTGTCGCTGGTGGATCGTCAACTTTCAATGCGACTCTGGCTTTTCGGTTGCTGGAAATTACCTGCCAGCTACACAAATGAGGTACGCGTCGGCGTTCAGTTCGAGATATCCCTTATGAGTCTTCGGAACGTCCGGTTGACTTGGCGGGTTCGAACATCGAAGCAATCGAAGCGTGTTAGCCACTGGAGTCTCATCCCGTGCCCATGCCTTCGGCAGCTCACCTGCACTCGTTCAGTGACCTGATCTTCCAGCCACTGCCAAAACTTGAGATAGTCTTTATTGAGAAACGGCGTTCGCTTGACGAACGGAAACAACCAGGTCAGGTGGCTGAACAGGTCGACCATTTTCATATCGCCATGCAACTGCGACTCAAAATAGGAGTCTTTATCGTCAATGAGCATATTAAATGATTTTCCAAAAGCGAGATCCCCCATAACATCGAAGGCGAAATAATTGAACCACTTCGCCATGTCGATGGGCCGATCAAGATTTTGCTGAATGACATAGATCAGTTGATGACTGTAGCGACTAACGCGGTGTTTATAGTCTTTAAGCGCTGCGATATCGCTTAGAATGACACTGGCTGCGAACTCTCACTTTGAGCTAGCTACGGCTGGCTTTAAACGCTTTATCCCAGACCTTTTGTCGGACTTTATGCTCTTGTTTGTCCCTCGCCGTGTGGAGAGAAGCCCGTAGCTCAGTGATGGAGTACCAGGGACCTTTACTAGTCTTGGAGTGCGATCCATAGATTACGCTGACCGCTGCTGGGTTGGCGATCGAGAGCTGGGTCGGACCTTTTGCGTGGCACGAATAAGCATTCATTTTGCTGCAAGATTGTCTTTTATGGGCCGCTACTGACCAATTCGAATATAGTCTCCGTACAGCATATGGAGTTTGAGGGTCTCCTCATAGAGCTGGAATCTCCTCGCGGAAAGAAATGTGGCGTAAAAGTTCGATATCCGCCCCAAAAAGGGCCCGGGGAAGCGATTCAGTCCGTGAAAGAGCGTTCGATAGAGCAACATGCTGGAATAGATCCCGAGGACATGGTACGCACTGAGGCGAAATGAAGGTATCGAGTCGAAGAAATGGAGAAATCCCGACCATGCTATAGCCTTGACGCTTGTCAAAATTATCACATAGCTTATCACGATGCGCAGGGCGGCGAGGTCCCACTCGCCATGGCGATATAGAAGAATATGAAGACTAATGCCACTTAAAATTGCTACCACTGCTTGGAGGCTTTCGGACTGAAGGAACATTTTGGTGATGACATGAGTTGAAGACGATTAGGTGATTAGGTGAATGCTTTTTAATCATTTTTGTCTCGACTAACACCCCGCTGTACATGCAATGATGCGAGGACCGGTCACACAACACATGAGCGCAAACAAGGGCGGAATGCCCCTGGCCACACATTCCACGCCGTATCTAACCCAGCAGTCCAATGCATGAGCCTTCTTTCATCGAATGGATGTCATTAGCCACTGTACTCTAATGTTCATTTCCTTACAAGGTCCCGCAAAGAAGAAAAAAGAAGTTTCTTAACTGGAGAATGCTCGGTTTCTGACTGGCCAATCATCTGGGCGGAATCTCCCTGTAGTAGTACCCGGGCAATACTAGAACCTTTGGCGACATGCTACTAGCTACCAGGAATGCGTCGTCTATGGAGCGGAAAAACAGCCACAACTCCAAATAATCCTCATCTGACTCACGACACCCCACCAGGACTAACTGATTAAGGAAAAATCGCCAAAATCGGCAAGTGCAAATAATCATGTTAGAGCTGCTAAGCTGATGGCCTGAACTTCGTCAGGAATAGACCCCACTTAGCTTATTTTTGCGCACATGTAAATCGGACTAGCGGTGGAACCTTTCGGAAATCGATCGCAGTGTTTATCACTCATGTGCCCGTTGGGCCGAGCCGGCCCTGTCTGTTCTGCGGGGTTAGATGGGGCAATCTGACGGGCGCCTTAAAAGCGACAGCAGTCGCTGACCTACAAATAAGTCAAGTATTGGACAAATTTGTTGAACTACGAATCAATGTTTACAGCAACACAAGCGATTGTTGCGCGCGAACCAGAGCAGCCGTTTAAGCCGAACTGGTCGCTGGAGGATGTGAACGTTGGTGAATTTGGGGATGATGAGGTTCTGGTGGAGGTCGTCGCAACAGGAATTTGCCATACGGACCTCGTTCTTTCTTCGATTCCGACTGGGGCACTTGGAATCGCTTATCCGAAGATTGTCGGACATGAAGGTATTTACAGTATCCACTGACCAAGGCCGATCCAGCAGCGTCAGCTTCACACCCCAGAAATCTGACCAAAGTCTCCAGGTGCTGGAATCGTTTCCAAGATTGGCAAGAACGTAACATCCGTTCAACCGGGCGATCCCGTCTTGTTATCGTTCTACTCTTGCAGAACATGTGCTCAATGTCTAGCGGCACACCCTGCATACTGCGACAAATTTGCAGTCGGGAACTATGTCGGGCGCCAGGCATCAATTAAAACGACTTCCGACGACCAAACTACTTGGTCCCAGTACTTCGGCCAGTCTAGCTTCGCGAAACTGACGGTCGCAAATGAATCCAGCATTGTGAATGCGAAGGATCTCATCGAGGATTTGGATGAGTTGAAACTTTTCGCTCCGCTTGGCTGTGGGTTCCAGACGGGGATGGGGGCTGTCCAGAATATCACATCAGCAGGACCGGAAGATGTGGTTTTGATTTCTGGATTGGGGGCTGTTGGGATGGGAGCTGTAATGGTGAGATATATCGCTCGTCTCAATCAGAAAGTAAATTACTCACGCCTAACAGACTGCCCATATCGAGAATTGCAAGGCTATTATCGCAGTCGATCGAGTGAAGCCTCGCCTGGAACTGGCGAAACCGCTGGGCGCAACTCACACCATTGATACGAGTGACCCAGAATTTACAACATTGGACGAGGCAATTCGGCGGCTCTTCCCTTCCGGAGCCTCGGTGGTCATTGATACGACTGGCGTTCCCTCGATTATTGAGCAGAGTGTGCAAGCTACGACTGCACGTGGAAAATTTGTTGTGATCGGTGTTCCTCCTTTGGGCTACGAGCTGAAGGTAAATGTAGCGCAGCATATCAATGTGGGTGATCCTTCCCATTTTCAAAATTACAGGCTGACAGATATTCGAATGAAGTCGGGACGCTCTATACTCGGCTGCATTGAGGGAGATTGTGTCCCTGGAAAGGTTTGTAGAGCTCTCATGTACAATGTTTTTATGGATTTATTATCTGACTGGTCGTATTATGCAGGCTATTCCTCAAATGATCAAATGGTATAGAGATGGCAAATTCCCTATTGATAAGCTGATAGACTTTTTCGATGTGAGTTGACGCAATCTCTAGATCAAGGATTCCCGAAACTGAATATCTGTTCTAGGCTACCGACTTCGGCCAGGCTCTGGGCAAATTGCACACCGGAGAGACAATCAAGCCAGTACTTATGTGGAAATAAATTCAGGCAGAGAATATATTGAAGTATGATAGATAGTAGCTAGCGAGACAATATAGTTACGTCCGCTCAAAAACAAGCTATTCAGATAATATCAAGACGCGGGCCAGCTAATTTTCAATATACAACGGCACATGAACAGAAAAACAGATGCAAGTACCATCACACAGACTCCAAGCATCAGTGGGTTGATCTGCGGTTAATGACCTTAGTTGGTGCGGCGGGAGCCAGAGGCGCTGGAGGTGGAAGAGCCAGAGCCGGGAGGAGCATCCATGCCACCACCACCCATGCCACCACTAGAGCTCTCGTTCTCAACACCTCCCTCCTCGGTGTAGTAAGCGGCGGGAGTGACGCTGGTGTCAACGGTAGGGTCGACACCGACGGAGATCCAGGCGAAGATACCGTCGCTGACAGAGTCGCCGAGCAGGACGTACTCCATGAAGGGGTCGATGGTATCAGCTTCCTCGGAGAGAATGCTGTCGTCGGCGTTGGTGGTGAGCTCCTGGGTGTTGGTGCTGTAGGGGGAGGTCTTCTCGACCTTGGTGATGAGGTCCTGGTCGAAGAAGAGCTGGCCGACGTGCGAGGAGGAAGAGGTGTACAAGCCAGAGATGGTGTCGTTCTTCAGGACGGTGGTCTCATTGGCGGGGTGGGTCAGGACTTTTAAGTAGAGTTAGAACAGATCGGATGATAGAATCCATGGGATGAAAGAAAAGATGACGTGAACTTCTAGATGGGATAGAAAGATGGGACAGAACAAGGCAATGTCCGGGAGACTTACCGTGGATGTGAGTAGCACGGCCGGTGTAGTGACCAGGGAAGATGGACTCGAACTGAACAACACCATCCTCGTTGCTAGGCTGCAGGCCACGAAGGAAAGTGTTGTCAATATTGGAGGAGTCAGACGAGTCACCGTTTCCGCTAGCCTGGATACCGGAGTAGACACCCTAACAAGTCACGTTGGATTATGTTTATTGTGGCTAAGAATTCGAAACACTCACGGTGGCGTTACAGTGCCACAGATCCATGTAGATCTCGGGAAGGGGATCGCAGGTGTTGGTGTCGATCAGCTGGATATCCATGTACAAAGGAACACCCCCCTGGTCCTCAGCTATGTTCTGGCGGATCAGCTCGCCGGTAACGTCTGCTCCAGTTAGAGATGTTTTTCTCGTGAATGAATTTGATCAACTTACAGTAAGGACCCTGGGTGACATCGGGGGCAAGAATGCAAGTGCCCTCAGAGGAGAAAAGAACGCTCGGGTCAGTGTTGAAGTCGACACCGGTCAGGTTGGAGGCGTGCGAAGTAGCAAGGATAGAGTCAAGGTCGCGGGCCTTGAGGAAGTTGGCATCTAAATTCCGATAAGTTAGAATCAAGTCCATCGTAAATAATGAAGTTCTTAAGATGAATATCTTTGCTTACCGTGCTTCAGCCCACGACGGCGGCGTAGGTGCTTGACAGCAGTAGAGCGGCGAGCAACGTTCTTGCTCTCAAGGCCGCGGGCCTTCATCTTGGAAGCGCATTGGTCCAAGCTGCGAGACTGAACAGGAGCATTGCGCATGAACAGAGCGCGCTCGGCGGCTTCGGCCTTGTGGTCGTGGCCAGGGTGAGCAGAAACAACGCTAGCCAGACCGATAAGGCCGACTGCCAGGGCGGAGGTGAGCTGAACCATTTTGACTAGATGTTGTCGAAAAAATATAAAGTGAGTTATTCGAGGAATCGATCTGTTGGCTTGTCTGAAGTTCGATTCTACTTGCAATGGCGGATCATCCAGGCTTTATAGAAAGAACTCAATCTATTCATCAACCGAAGCCAAGAAGACCGCGATATGGGATAGTAACCCGCCGCGCACCCTTGAAGGCGCAGAGGTCGGAGCTGACGAAAGTGATGGAGATGCACGCAACAAGGTCCGCAAATCAGCAGTAGCCTGTTTCTCATCGCATAAACCGAAAACGCATATTAGTGTATCTCCTGGACCCGCAGCGGAGTCCGCATCGTGCGCCAGGGTAATCTGGACATTGGCAGAACAACGTATGGTGATTCAAGTAAATTCATCGAGGAGATTCTCATTGGATCTGAGCACTGGGTTTAGAAAGGCTTGCGTCCAACGTATCCCTAGGAGGTCTTGGTGAAGAACATGATGAGTCGTCTTGCCCACAATAGAAGCGTGCGCCGTGATGCCAAGGTGCTTGTGAACGAGTCTTAGGGCGCAATTTCTCCACGCGGAGGATTAAGGGCAGGGGCCTTGGCCCCTTACTAAAGGTAATAGACCTCTGTAAGTGGCGGAGAATCCAGTGATCTGCGGCGATGACGAGGCATGGTTCTATGCAGGTCTCGCCCTGTGCACAGTTTGCGATTTTGCTGTTTATCCGTGTCGAGAGCGAAGTTATACCTCCTGTCGCGAAGCTATTTACCCGCCATTAAGTCCAAGGTTCTTGAAGGGTCTTTGGACGTGACCTCTGCATGGCGCATTCTCTGACATTGCCTCCGTTCCAGAATCGCCACGGGTGACACGCGCCAGCAGCCGCTAGACATGGCGAGGGCAGCTAGTTTGTAGTTTTAGAGAAGCGAAATTAGTAATCGGAACAGTGGGCATCGAATAGCCTCGAAATGCCCTGTCGATCATTGCCCCTTATATGAAGCTGCACGTCCCCTGCCCTGATTAACGGGCATCGGTCCCTGGCGACTTTTGAAGGTTCAACATATACGCGTACGTACTCTTTCTTGGCATCCTTGTCTCTGTCAGCGTCCCTCCGTGAGGTATCGCGATCACAAAAAGATTCAATATGTCGCGGGATATGCCAAGTAACCTTGGCACTTTCTGCAGATATGCTACCGGAGAAATTGATTCATTAGTCGCTAGAATCAATCAGACGTTCCAAAATGCAGTTGTGGAAAAATCCGAGGCCAAGCTGCTGACATAATCCACGGGCCGGCTTGGCAATGCTTGCGCCGAGGATCTGCCGGCGGAGAGTTGGGCTGCCTTGTCTGCTCTGGTGAAAGTTCTGAAAATAGTTCCGACTGTGTTTCATGAAGTTTCCGGGCGCTGCATTCTAGATTAGAAGCATACGCGTTCCAAATTACCCTAAGGTAAGCTTATACCGAGCAAGACAGCCTTGCCGTAATGTATACCCACTCAAAATCCACCAATGTCTCCACTACGAGCCACATTGTCATGGATATTACTCTTTGGAGTAAGCAATGCGTAAGAAGGTGGAATATTCTAGTCTCCAGGCTTCTATTTATGTGGTTCACCCCAAACTAGGCAAGTTGACTCTAACATGAGTGTCGATTAACCTGGCGGCTACTAAGTTCAGTCACCCTTTCTTTTCTCCCCAAAGACGTTTTCTAGCAACAGCGACTATTTATCCCTATGCCAACGCCATTATCTGAGCAAACTGAAAGTCTGCAGGTATTGCAGGACACAATCTAAGACGAGTCGACGAAGATGAACCTCACTCAGCTTCCTACATCTTCCCCGGAATCTTCGACGCGCGGCATCTAGCAAAATTTAGAGAAAGCAGGTCTACTCAAAGGGTCGATCCGGAGTTGATGCCTACGTGGTCGTAAAGATCGCACAACTAAAGAGGTAAGCCAGAGCTTAATGATATGTAGCCCTTTGACTGTGCGATCTGTAGCTGAAGAGCCACAGACTACCAAGCTCTCGTCTATCGCCTCGATCAATTTTGTTCTCTGTACCGCTTAGATTTGGTGCCTCGTGTCCTCAGAATCGCCGGAATCCTTTTTCTGCTGCGCATTGATCACACTGGATGTAGAGTGTGAGCTTCGTGTTTAACTCGCTGTCCAGAATTCGGTTTAAAATGCACACGCAGTAAAAGAAGTTGACGAAGCGAAATTGGCAGCCTAGACAAGAATCTCCTTGCAGCTGATCAGTTCAGTCTCAAAAGATCTGCCGAAATTCCCAGAATAAGATGAAGGCCGCAGCTGTCTCAGGATGATGAGAGATGAGTAGCAACAGCGAACCGAGTCCCTCTTATACCTCAGGGTCCGTACTCCTTACGGCATCGATGATAGTCCTCTTTGTCTCTCGGTACCCACATTATCCTCCAATGAATGCACCTATCTAGACTAGCACGGGGTCGGCATCCTTTTCACGTCTTCTGGGTCACTGATGCCAAGAAGAGACCACCCATGGCAGCCTCGCAACCAACTTTGATCGTCTTCGACCAACTCCGACGTCGAATTGCGCTCACAAAACCGACTGGCCATCGTCCCTGGCGATAGATAGAGACGTACCCGAATCACCTTGGCTTTCTCGTGCTCTTTGTTGTTTCTAGCCCTGTGACATGGAAGACTGCTCTCGACCTGCGTGGCAGCTGTATTCTTTGATCACCCCGGCGGACATCTGTTTCCCTGCTTGTCTCATCGTCTTTCAAACTGAAAAGCGAGGAAGTTGGGCGATCTCATTCTCTATGTAACATGTAAGCGTCACGTGTGGTGATATTCCTCTTCTGTAGTTGCCTTTTCGTAGCCCTGTATTCATTCTTTCGTCGTATCTTCTTTTACTAGTCCCAAGTCCTGTTCATCGCATTTCCATAGGTCTGATCTCAGTTCCATCACATGACTGAGAGTCTGACCTCGCGTGCCGGCTCACGTGGCATCGTCGTTAAACTTTGGAATGTTGATTCTTATCCAATCCACCGAACGCTAGTGCTTCAATATATCAGTCGCTTATGAGTGGCCAGCATGCTCTGATTTTGCTTGAGTTATTTATCAGAATCTTTTTTTCATCTCAAAGTATAGAAGGTGGTAGCTGCAGGTAGCTTTGTGTTGCGGGAACTCTTGATTATATATGCTTCATTGTTTAACATAAAAATACATCGACTCATAAATCCGAACTAGACAAAATAGATAGCGGAATCAAACATAAACGCACGAACACCAGGTATCTGCGCTAAACAACCAATCCGCCTACACGAAGCAACTACAAGAGATGCAGAGGACGCGACAGCGACTCGTCCCCCACTCGCAAGATCCTCTAAACCTCGTGCTGAGTAACCTGGGGAATAGCAGATGACTTCTCGTCGGTGAGACCCATCTCGTCGGCAAAGGTGGAGTGAGGCTTCCACTTGGATGATGTGCGGGGGGTGGTCTCCTCCATCATCTTGTCGACCTGCTCCAGGGTCAGACCCTTAGTCTCGGGAATGAGGAAGTAGGTGTAGACGAAGGCGCAAGAACAGAGCGAGCCCCAGATGAAGAAGACCTTGGCGCCCAGGTTGCCCTGGTCGGCATCAACCATGTAGGGGGTGATGACGGCGATGATGCAGTTCCAGAGCCAGTTGGACGCGGTGGAGAGGGCGACGCCGCGGGAACGGATGGGCAGGGGGTAGATCTCGCCGATGACGACCCAGGCGCCGGGGCCCCAGGTGCTGGCGAAGAAGAAGATGTAGATGCAAATGAAGGAGATCATGGCAGAGACAGCCTTGGGGTTCTGGCCATCCGTGACGCCGATGATCGCGACCAGGAACTGGCACACAACCATGCCCAGAGCACCCCACAGCAGCAGGGGACGACGACCGACTTTCTCGATGGCGTAGAAGGAGATCGGGGTGGAGCAGACGTTGACAATGGTGGTGATCATGGTGATAAGGAAGGGGTTTTGAATTGTGCCGAGCTGGGTGAAGAAGGGGGTGCCGAAGTAGAAGACAAAGTTGACGCCGGTCCACTGCTGCATCATCTGTAGGGAGGTGCCAAGGACGGTGCGGCGGATGTTACTGTTGGGGTGGAAGATGTTACCGCGGAAGCAGTTGAGCCAGCTGTTGATGTAGCCGTCATCGGGGGTGACCTGTATCTCATAGAGGAAGTTGGCCTCGATCTCGTTGAGCTCGGACTCGATGAACTCGGAGTCCTTGGGCTGGCCACGGATGCGGGCGAGAGCGTCGCGGGCTTCCTCCTTCTTGCCCTTGCGGATGAAGAAACGCGGGGACTCCGGGAGGATGAAGAGACCGGTGGCCAGAATGACGGCCCACAGCATCTGCAGACCGACGGGGATGCGGTAAGAGCCGGAATCAGTGCGGTGCTCAGTGGCGTAGTCGACGCAGGAGGCCAGCATCAAACCGATGGTAATGCAGAACTGGTAGCCGGAGACGATGGCACCACGGACCTTGCGGGGCGCAATTTCGGACATGTACATGATAATGACGGCAGACACGAATCCGACACCAAATCCAGCGACGAGACGACCAGCAACCAGCAGACCGATGCTGCTGGAGGCGGTTTGAAGAACGACACCGACGATGAAGACGAGGCAGCCAGCGATGACAGTGAAGCGACGGCCGAACCAATCTGCCAGGTCACCAGCAATGAGAGCACCGAAGAAAGTACCAGCGGAGAGAATAGAGACGATGAGAGACTTGCGGGAGGAGGGAATAACGAATTTGTCGGAGGGAGTAGTAGCCTTGTCCTGTAGAGTGTGTTAGCACAGACCCTGAGGAGAGATGTAGCTGGGGGAAACTTACGAGACCCTCGAATGTCTCGATGAAGTAGTCCATGCTCAGGACACCGGAAATGTAACCGGAATCGTAACCGAAGAAGATACCACCAAAGGCAGCAAAGGCGCACATGAGGTACGTCTTGAAGGTGACAGGGGCCTCGATGCGGCGGGCATCGACCACAGTCTCAACGGGCCGGACGACACCAGTCTGCGCCGGCCCCACGACCGCAAGAGTATCACCGTCCATTTCGGCGATGAGCACTCTAGGATCGAGAGTGGTAGGGGGTGTGGTAGTGTTAGAAGTCGTTGACGTGATCCCGTTGTGTTGGTAGTATCAACAAACACAGTCGTGGTAATTATGGAAGCAGTCAGAGGAGACCGAGTCAACAAATCAGTAGACTAGATGAAGTAGAGAAGTAGGATGTACAAGACAATGAACTAGGTAAGGGGGGCTGCAGGCAGTTTATATTCTGGGGATCGGGGCAGCCAGCAACCCACGATCCCCGGACTGAAAATAGCAGCCAGCAACAAAACCCCCGCTAGCACGATCTAGTCCCAGAAGCAAGCGAACGTGGTAACAGAAATTGGCCACTCTCGGAACACGAGACACGGCCACGCCGTGCTAGACTCGGCTGGAGACCAGCAAATTCCTGGGTCAGACAGCTCGAACCCCGAGCAGCGTAGGGCCACAGACCACCGGGGGCCGCTGAGAACCATCGCTAGTTCGCATTGAGCCTAGCGCATACCCCGAAATGAGAGGGACATGCCATGCGGCACAGAACCCGGGGAAGGTCAGCACGGATCAGGCCGGTGACAAGCGAGATGGGGCCGACTGATTGGTTCTCTCTCCAAGTCGCAGCCATACAGCGACTCGGTCCAGCCCGGCCGCGAACCCTAGCGAAGTCGAAGTTGCTCGGGACGCGGAGATGCTCCCAAATCGGGCATGGCTCGGGGCGGTCACGGGGTCTGATTGGAACACACCTCTTAGTTTTCTCCCCTAAACTGCTCTAAGGCGCTTCATCTGCGCCACACTTTTTCTCTCGAATTTTCACCGCGAGTGACCCGAAAATCTGCTAACAGACCGAACCAGCTTCGGCACCCCGAAATAGTCTGCTTCTGTTTCTACATACAGCCCGAGTCGCGTGAGCCGATCGGGTGACCACGGCCATGTCCGCGCAGAGGGAAGGAAGCTGGCGACTAACACTTTACTAGTATTTTTCTCACGATGGACGTGGATGGCAAGCTAGACCACACCGAGTAATTGGTTGCTCTTCCCCGTTGGGTTGGCCCAACGCAACCATGACATGCAGCCAGAATTTACCCTCAATGGTACCTCAGACTCTGGCCAAACAAATCCCGCTGTCCCACCCCCAGGGCGACCCCAAATTATCCCACGGGGAGTCCAGCCAGTCGCGCGCCCTGGAGGCGTCGGGTCGTGGGGAACGACCGCTGGACGGCCGAGACTAGTCAAACGCTGGCGGTGTCCGCGACCCTTGGCGCAAGCGTGGCGCCCTATAGAAATCGTCCCCAAATTCCCCAGACCCTGGTCATCCCCCGTGAAGGGTTGTTTTTCCCTAACCAAGGTTTGCCAAGCCGGGTTAATATCGGGCCATGCGCTGGGAGGTGCGGCCGGGGTCGGTCCTTGGCTCGCCTCGCCTGCATTCCCCTCTTTTTCTCATGTTCGTAGTTCTTACGGGGGTCGTCGCATCGCATGGCGTCGTGTTATTGCCGAATTTTCTTGGGACTTCCGGTGGCCAAATTAAGCAATGCGAAGACTGTTGGATCTGGTCTGGAGAATGGTTGTCATCCACGTGCGAGGCGCGGCGCATGGTTCCCCACTGCCAACTGCCGAGAGCAATCAGTCGAGGAGTAGTACATAGTGACAAAGACAAAGGAGGACTGCGCTGTAATTCCTTAGCAGGTCTAACTCGGGGCAGAATTTTCTTTGCATTCTATCCATCAAAGACAGGGATTGTAGAAAAACTCTAGATGATACGGTAGTATGGAACACCAGACGCTTCCAAACCCAAATCCATTTAAGCAGTCGGGGGCCTAAGTTCAACAGAGGATTTCCTGCTGATCAGTGACTTGCAGCCACCTCCAGGGTTGGTCCCAGCGTGGATGGCTCTGCATCTCGCTTGGACCCCTGTAGTTGCCGTCACACTACACTTGTAGCCTCTGACTTGACTTCCAGTGTTCTCGCCTCCTGCCCATTCCGCATCAATATCCCGAATTCCGGCATTAGTGTCCTTGTGTTTTTGGGCATCTTAGGACTCGGGCCTTAGAGCCCTATATCACTAGCCCAAACAAGTATAGCCTTCATTAGAAATGGAGAAAGACGGACCTGGTGGCGCTACTGGAGGAGGCTTGGGCCATTGCCAGAGAATAATGCGGTTGAACTTTTTTGGTAGTCTAGTAATCTCTGACAAATCGCCTTAGTGGAAAAGCAGCTTGAGGCGTTGTGGGGTCTTTTTTGTTGTTCAAGTTCAATTTTCCGGATTGGTGAATTGCGCCTGCCCAGCACCGGTTGTGACACTTGGAGCGGCACCGCACCGATGGACTCGTATCCAAGGTCGGCACGGGCACGTAAATTTTCGCAGAGCAACAATCAAGTATTGCAGTTCGAGTCTTGCGCAATAAAAATATTAAGATATTCCTCATATCCTACTAGCCTTTTTATTGAAACCACAGCTCAGAATATGGACAATCGTATCATGATCCACACATCACGTTATGTCAAATGTTTGCCAAGTGGCACTATCCACGTGTCGGCAACCCCCCAGTGCTGATCTGCAAATATATATCTGGGGTAGTATATTTCAAAAAAAATACCTCTGAAGCGTTCACGCACAGTGCGACATATGTATTACATGGCCAGAAACCTACCAGTCGCATCTAAATAGATTCTTCGGTTGAAATGCCCGACAGAATGGCGACTTATCGGGCCCGATGATAGCCAGGCCATCCCGGAAAAGAATTCGGATGAAAGAGCAGACCGCACCAGCATCAGCGGTTGCTGGATTGTTTGACAAGAGAAGCCTCAGACGCGAACTGCCTCGGAAAACAATCTACAAGTCGTAGAATCATACACAAAAACCTGGCACAACAAATTCTTCATTGCTAGTAGGCAACACCCAGACCGACCGAAGCCCCGGCCGGGGTCATCGGCACCCCAGCTCCGACCCCGAAAGCACGGAACGCTCCCGGTGAGCGAGTTGAGTTAGTTTGGGAGCCGTGTAGGCAAGATATGACGGGAGAAATGTCTCGGAGATTTGTGGCTGGTTCAGATGTAACCGTTCCGCGGGCCGCCGAGGCGAGAATTTTTCCCCGGGTCCGGGGTACTGGGGGAGCCGAGGCGGTGGTTAGCTGTGGAGGGCTTTGGCAAGGTTTGTGGGGAGGAACTAGCCCCTTTTCTGGTAATGCTCGGATTGTGGGCTGTTTCCTGTCTCGGGTGGGTTGGGTAGGGTAGGGCCTGGTGCTTTCGGGAGTTTCTGCCTAGTTGAAATTCAACTTGGGCATTGTGAGGCTAAATGCGCGTGGTAGCTCTCGTTTTCTCGTTGTAGGCGAAAGTGATATAGGGCGAGAAGATCAATCAGGTGTTCTCGCCAATATCTCTGCCCTGGGCCAATCTGTCTCGCTTATTTACTGCGATTCCATCATCTAGTGTATGTGTGGTGTCGAATGGATGGGTTGAGCACAGTGATACTGTCAAATAAATACAATGAATTCAGCTAGCCGCAATGTATTTTCAACTCCTTGTCAACGCCCATCTCGCAGAGTGGGATCCAAAGTCGGGGTGACAAAACTCGCCCTAGCCCCTAACATCGGAAGCGGAGATGAACGGGAAAACATCCCGAGGGAAAAAATAACTACCATTGCGCAAGCAGAATGATCGGGGCTGACGGTGACGGGGAAGAGCTGTACGAGAGCTTGGCGCAGGTGGCGGTCTCAGGAAGATCACCGCAATTCGAGAGCTGTATCATTCGCTCGGCGGATCGATCAATGATGGGCTCGTCAGTTGCGGCAAGTCTCGGTATGCCGCTATTTGTAGAATAGCATTCACGTTTACCTCCTCGGTCTTTGTGACTATGTACGTCAAATCCAAATTTCTGGTTGTATGTCTCGTTGTGGGTGACTCGAAAAACATTGCTAAAGTATATTTGAAGAGCGGAATCCAGAAACTGATGGATTTTGACCGATCTGTGTGTTCTTCGAGCCATGATATGTCTTCCAACAAAGGAGCCAGGAAACCCGGGTAAGTTTACTAGCTTCGTCTATTCCGTAAACACTTAAATATCCTCATTTGTGAGACGTGTGCGGGGAATAGTCGTTGCGAAGAGGAAAGACCATGCAGTAAACCTCCAGGCGGATTGAAGTCAATTCGGGGAACTATGTCGAAGTAACCAATAGAAACAAATCATCCAAAGCTTTGTCTGAATGCTCAATCTTATCACTAAGAAAGATATAGCACTTCCAGCGAGAAAGGAAGAACCTTCTCCATGTTTCGTGTAGGCCTTTCGAGTTCATCCACTTTCACTCTTCGGATAAGTACTCCTTCTTATTCTCTCTGAATATGGCCATTTCCTCTAGCGAAGATTTTAAAGTACTTCCTCACCACCACCTCATCACGAATCGGCTGCACGGTTCTCTTCCTCACCATGGGCTTTTTCCATGTATCATGTCATGCTGGAAATAGTGATCCGCACCCCCTCCATGCACTTTGGGCATTTGGATCCCCATTTCTTTGGCTGAAATGACAGGTTTCCAGATATGTTGAACAATCTTTTCACGTAATAGGCCTGTGCCGGTGGGTTACCAGATACGTTGTTGGCACGTCCAGATGTTCCTTGGCAGAAAACAACAACAGCAACCCGTAGAGGAATATATGGTTGTTGGTTGTTGTAATGTTTCATGTCCTCTCTGAAATTAGTATCCCCTCTGGAGATTTCTGCAAAATTCTTTTCGCTTTCCTTTTGCGGCTGTCACCGACACAGGCTTACTACAGGAAGCAATTTTTCAACGTGCCGGGGGCAGAATACCCGGAGTACAAGGAGGTGCGAATCACCATTCCAAGCATGACACAGCACATGGAAAAAGAACTGGGCATTCTCATTTCACTCCTGGTAAAGGTCCCCTCGGTATTCCTTTTGATGTTTGAGTGTCACCGTCGTCGGCGGTGGCAAGCGGCTTCAATGCCGTATTTTATCCTGCGTGTTTGCTGTTTTATAGCCGCACGCTATTGACACAAGGTGATCATGTATAAGGAGGACACGGGAAATGAAACACAAGGTGAACTTCAATTGATGGGCGATTAAAGATTGACCCGATCGCACCCATATTGTTCTGCACCGTCCAATCAAGTAATCAGATATTGCGCTCATGCTGGTGGATTGAACAGTGACAGGGATGTGACGTAGCTCAGACTCTTTGGTTGAATTGTGAAACCTGAGCTTGCCAGCTGCCAGGGCCATATGGTGGTGCGCGGTCGCGACCTCGTCCTGGCTTCCTTATTCAGCGTTTTCAAAACACTGATGGTTGCTCCTGTGCCACCTTCTTCTCTATGTGACCCCCGGTGTCATAAGATGCTGCATAATCTACACTTACAGTTCATAGCGATCCTCCTCGGGGTGTTCTTACATAGCCTACCGTATTTTTACTAAGATTGATAGGTCTCTGATATTACCAGTCTTCAGAATCGTGAGCTCCGCTTGTCAATGAATAGCGACATGTCAAAATAGACAGTCAGTTGTCGGATTTGATACAAAAAGAGTATAATATGCACCGAGCTCGAAAATGAGATCGTGGCGGATAACCTGCATGCTGAGTCCACGGAAGTCCGCAGGGGTGTGTGGCCGGGTCGTAGTGGTGTTAAAGGCTTGTTGAGGTCACTAGTAGTGGCACCTAGTATCCCTCGCCATTCTTACCACGACCGACCATGGCAGAGTGGAGCGAGGTATATCGCTCGGTAGATTCACAGGCCGTCCTGCCCTGTTGCCATATGTACTGGTCCCTAAACTCGGCCATCATCAGCCCGCCATGCCAGACACCACTCGTATGTACGTAATATATTCCTCAATATGCTTCCAAAGTTGAACCACTTCAGCGACGAAAAAATATGCTTTTACGGGGCGCTCCATCAAAAGGGGACCCACGGAAAGCACATGTGCGGCGGACAGTTCTCGACGACCCGTCAGAGGCTGAGTTGTCAGCTTTTCGCATTCTGCAAAACGAATTTGCGACGAAACCATGGCCGGCACACCACGATCGAAATCGGCAGTTATACATGGACCTTGACGCCTCAAAGGAAGCTGGTTTTGGGGCGATGGTTTATCATACCACCCCGGGGTACTCTCATGACCCACAAAAGCCCCCTGCATCAACAGCTATTCAACCAGTGCTTTTCCTGAGCAGATGCCTTTCGCGAGCTGAATCTAACTACTGGCCGACTGAGCTCGAAGTTGCGTGTCTGGTGTGGGTGTTGCGAAAAGTTCGCCACCTCGTCCAGGCTGCTCCAGTTGACCTACCAGTCATTATCTACACAGATCATAGTGGCACGACAGCCATTGCAGACAGTGCGAGTCTTCGATCAGTAGCGTCGGACAGATTGAATCTTCGATTAGTGCGTGCCTCGCAATATATTCAACAATTCAGGGTAAAGGTTTTCCATCCGCCTGGCGTCACAAATAAGGTGGCAGATGCGCTGTCTAGACTCCCATCAACCGACCCAACTTTGGCAGATGAGGACCAGGACGATCTAGACGCATTATGCGTCACCCCTGATCAATCAGATCAACACTCATCTACGATTCACATCTCAGATGAGTTCCGTGACCGGGTTCGGGCACTCTATGACGCTGACCGGCGATGGTCGTCAGTGATCAAGACGATTACTACTCCATCTGATGACCCGGTGCAGCCAGTGCTTCCATATGAGTACGAGGATGGACTACTCTACCAAGTCGATGCAGAGGGAACCAGAAGTCTGTGCCTCCCAAAATCCCTTGCCGCAGAAATCTTCCGCCTAGTACATGATGAGCAGGCACATCAAGGCTTAGACAGATCGTGGAGCAAACTGAGAGGGCTAGTTTTTCCTCGTGGTCTCAAACTCTTACACGAATATATTAAACACTGTCCTCAGTGCATGGATAACCGCACAGCAAGGCATCGTCCTTATGGCTCTCTACAACCGGTCCTATCACCACCAGTCCCGTTTCACACGGTCACACTTGACATTGTCCTCGGCCTACCAATGTCCTCAGACGGTTTTGATGCTATGATGACGGTCACTGACAAGTTCTCGAAGGCAGTTGGTCTAATCGCGGGAAAAGCAAAATGGGACGGCAAAGACTGGGCGTGGCCACTACTGACATTTTTCTGGATGGCGAATTGGGGCCTTCCAGCCGCCATTGTTTCTGACCGCGACCCGAAGTTCACACAGGGTCTCTGGAGTGCCATTTTCTCAATCCTCATCTCGCTACTATACTCCAATACGAAAGTATCATCCACCATCTTTCGGTCTTCTTCGCCCAAACGGTAGACTTGGGGCTTCTGGGTTTTCGATTCCCAGCCTTTAATAAGTGGTATGCGCATCCATTGGTCTTGTGGTAGTCTGACTATTTCGGGCGCAGACCAGACATTGGTAGAATCGACCCATGGAGTCATCCATTGTCTCTTGCGCATTACACAGGGCTTCCATGAACTCGAATTGGTACTTCTAACGATACTCTGCGGGGGCCTCGTTGATCGCTTTCATAGCATGCCATTTGCGAGCACAATATACTGTTCCGAAGACTCGCGTGCCCTATTCCCCTGTATCCAGATCTCCTTGTTCTCGCACCTGGTCATAGTCACTCACGCAGCGGCCTCGTCACGGCTCTGTCGCGGCTCTCGTGGACATTTCAAAAGAAGTGGTCCATCGAGAAGTCCATGATTTCTCGCGTGTCGCAAAGCGCCGGAAGCATTTTAAACCCTCTCCGCAAAAGCGCTAACGTGTTGAATCAGAGAACTTCTTTTGACCGCTCTGGTAAGTTCGACATGAGGGTCCGCTGGCCAATCATGGGCCTTTGGTCAATAATGACAGCCGGGAATTTTGAAAAGTGTTCTATATACCGGCGCGTCAGCTTTCCGTTGAGGGCTGATATTGACAATCGAGCGCATGACGCCTAGCCAGAAAGTAGACTTAAGTGCACAGCCCAGGTACTCTAATGTAGCAGCCTCAGCGGGTACTACACATAGAGGAGAAGGGCCAGGCGCAAGCAGGTTGCTGTTGTTGTTGTTGTTGTTGTTGTTGTTGTTGTTGTTGTTGTTGTTGTTGTTGTTGTTGTTGGGGTTGAGGGTTGGGCCCTTGTTGTTCTGGTCGGTACTCTTGGATTGGTATTGTTGGATGTGAAGATTTCGAGGTATGATTGCCAGTTAAACTGAATGCTTTAGATCTCGTCGAAAACAAAATGAGAAATTTTTGCTAAATCATGACTGAGGCATGTATTTACTACTGCTTCTACATAGGCATCAGCCCGGACATCGGACCAGTTGACATGTCAAAATAAAAAGGAAAAGAAAAATCAAATCATGAGAAAAACTTAAAGTAGATTCGAGGAAGTAAAAAAGGAACCCCAAAGCCCCAAGCTCTCCATTTTACCTCAATTACCACAACCGACACGCCACAACCCTATCCCCGGATACGTCACGCAGATCACACGAACCTCGGAAGTGGAGCTTCCCGCGCCCTTCACAAGCCAACTTCCGCCACCCAACATTCCACCTTCCCTACAACCCACAAGCCACACATGCACAACAATGGACCTCAGCTCAGTCCTCCTCGCAACCACAATAGGCGCAGCAGCCTACCTAGTTAAAATATGCTCCAAGTCACCCAACCCACCTCCGCAATCGCGACATACCACCGACACAATCGGCCCGCTAGTGGGCACATTCACGAATACCCTCCGCCGAGCCGCGCTGGGTGTTATGCTGTTCCAGGCTGCTCTAGCACTCTTCGTTCAATCTCCGGAGCGGATTGAGTCCATCTGCGCTGTACCAAGTAACCTTAACGAATCCCTCGTCACCTGGGATAAAACAACGATAATCTCACTCTTTCTTATCTTCCTCGGCGCCGTAATTCGGCTCTCCGCATACGGAGGTCTCGGTCAGAATTTTACGTTCCACCTCGCTGCGCCAGATCACCTCGTTACGGACGGTGTGTATAGATTTATGCAGCATCCGAGCTATACAGGACAGGCGGTGCTTTGTCTTGGCGTTGCAGGGGCTTTTGTGCGATGGGATGCCTCTGTTGCGTGTTTTATTCCGGGCGAGGTACTGAATTCTCTCCGGGGGTGGGGTTTGCCCCTTTTTTATTGTGCTTGGCGGTTTAGTTGCTGCTCTTCTTCGGGCGAGGGTTAGAGATGAGGAGGGGATGTTGAAGGGGGAGTTTGGGAAGGAGTGGGAGGTGTGGAGTGCGCGGACTGCGAGGTTTGTTCCGTTTATTTGGTGATTTATTCTAGGTTCAAGGGTTTTTGTATCATCTATATTGAGATGTGGGTAGCGTGGTACACTTTGAAAGCCATTTCTGTGCATTCTGCTTGCTTGGACTGTATGTGATTTATTTCTCGTGTCTTTCCTCCGTATCGTTCGTCGGGGTGGTATCCAGAGCGTCGATGGCCAAGTCGACGCGCGGTCCGGTGAAGTTCTTGCGGCCGTCGACGACCCACTGGAAGGCGGAAATAATGATGATGACGGCGAAGGCGGCAATGCAGTAGTCTAGAAATTGAAGTATCAGCGAGGTCAACTCTGCTAGGGTCAATTTAGCCGTCTTACTCATGCTGCTACCGGTGACGGTGCTGGAGGGAGGGAAGACGAAGAGCACAGTTGTCAGAGAGATGTATGACAGGGAGACCTGGACAGTTAGCATTGATTCAATCCAATATCAGGAAGGTATGGCATACAATATCGGCAATCCACCCGATTGCATTCGGTAGCTTCCACTTTCCCTTGGGAAGGGCTTTGCGTCCTTGGAGGCAGTTGACTAGGATTGGCATGGCGTAGGAGAGGTCGAGGGCGACGACGGCGCCAGAGATGATGGCGTTGAATGCGCTGTAAAGGACAGTCAGCAAGGCAAATTTAATTTTTGTGGTAAATGACGTACCTGCTAGAGCCCAAAAAGATGCATCCAAAGCAAATCACCACGACGACGGTGAGGATGAGCGCATTGAGCGGCAGCTTGAGAGTTGGGTGAACGGTAGCGAAGAATTTGGAGGCTGGGAGGCCACCATCACTGGAGACAGGTAAGCTAGAGGCGAGGCAACCATACGTAAAGGTATGTACTTACCGGGAAAAAGCGAAGATCATACGACTGCTGGTGGTCATCACGCTGAGGATAGCGAGGATCAGACAGACGAGGGGAAGCCTATCCCAATTAGCAACGCCAGCTGAATCTGCACAATAGGGAGACATAGACATACATGAGAAGACAAATGGCACCCGCCTTGTTCTTGGTAGCATCGTAGAGAATCTGTAAGAGAGGCCCTGCGGCGGAAGTCGTGACCGAGTCCATGCTGCCGGCGACAAAAAGCAGGACGATGAGGAAGATGAAGCCAGTAAAAGTACCGATTCCGACGCAGGATACCATGATCTTTGGGCCCTCGACGGAAGCATTGGGGACCTCTTCTTGGATTAGTTTTGGATTTCTTATCGATGAGAATAGATCCTACCTTCAATCATGTGTGCGACAGCGTCCTAGGGATGTCAATTGATGTCTGGGTCAGATTAAAGGGGGAGCTTACGAATGCCGTGACACCAAGTCCTCCTTGTAGTAACTGGTTTTGTTAGTCGTTATCTTGGCATGGGTTCGTGTGGAATATACTCCAAGTAGCCACGCCACGCCATCAGGCCCTGGATTTGTTAGTACGGGTTTAGGCTGCTGGATTTAGGGATACATACAGCCCGTGGTGTTGATAAAGTTCGCAAATACGAAGCTATAAAATGTAAGTGAATGGTCCAAGACGATGTGCGGATATAACCCACGAAGCCGAGTTGTAGTCAGGTGAGGCACAAGCCAAGGCCGTGATGGACACGACTACAAAACCGCCAATGGACCAGGTGACTAACATCGTTAGCATAGTTTCGCCAAAGGCTTCTTGGGGGTAGCATACAGGCACCTCGGTATATCAGAGGCAGGATGGAGTTGCCGAATCCGTTGATGCAGAATGCACCCATGGTCAAGCCGATGTAGATGAGGAATTGATGCCAGCGTTGAGGATCATAGCTAGGATGCATCAAAGAGATGATGCCCACGATCAGCTGACTAGACAATAGCGAGTTGGTAGCGACGAGAGCAACCTTGAAATGTTAGAAATGTATCTCATCGCTGTTGGAAAAAACACTCACCCATCCAGCGCAATTTATCCAGCCCGTAATCCAAGAGAGGATGGGGACCCATTTTGGCCAAGCGACTCCCAAGATTAGTTTCATTCTGGCCAGAGGTAGTGTAATCCAAACATACTGACTATAATCCCGTTAGCAAATACTCGAAGACAAATGAAGACGGTAAGATCGACTCACCTGCCACCCAGTGATATTGACCACCCGCCCTAAACCAGTTAGCGTAGGCATTCAATTTCGAGGAATCCACACATACGTAGGATAAGCGGACAAAAACTCCGCCAGCGACGACGCAATGCACAGATTGCAAAATCCCGCGGTGACGAGACCCCAGATGACACTTGTGCTCCCGCCAGAGGTCAAACTAATCGACAAACTGGCCGAAAGTGCCGTCCACGACTAAGCATAAAACCATTAGCTGCATTGATCCCGGCACTGTCAGTGGTGAGTCACATACATTCAGCACGGCAAAAGCCAAGCCCAGCATGGCCCTAGCAAGGTTCGCATTAGTATAGCCAAAATCCAAATCCCATTCCCAAATGCCGATCTCACCAGGTGGAAAACTGCCGCTTCAGCTCGGCTCGATGACCCATGGCCTCGAGCTGGGCGTCGTCATCTTGCAGCGGTGCTTCTTTCATGTTGGTAGCGTAAATGAACAATCAACAATCTGATCTCAAACGAGAAGTAAGAACGGAGGAATCTCTGAATAAGTAAGATCAGCCTCGGCGACAGCTATCGCATGGCCATGTCGTTAACGGATAGCGCCGACAGGGTTGCAGCTCGCATGCGGGGAAGATTCCATTACCTCAACTGACTCCCCGGGCTAAACGATAGTCGGCACAGGCCAATAATGACTCGACCCATAGCTCCATCGGGTCCACATAATACCCCTTAGCTTATCGCCCCGCGGGAGCAGCCTCGCGTGAGGTTCGGCAGGAGCACCAAAACAATCAGGAGGGCAAGCACGAGGGAAGCAGCCCGCCTCCGCAAAGCTTATCAATTCCAACGTCGGCCCGGCTTGTCCTGCCAGTTTCGCCGATCGCCGCGTGTACCTGCCGCTTTCTCGCTAGTCACGCTCTCAGGGCTGCAGCTGCAATCTGCACATCGCCCAGCTATCGATCGTCGGTGGAGCGGCGATAACAAAGGGTGATCTGATCCGGTTATAAATATGCGCGTCGTGGTGGAATTGCCCTCCATTCCCTCGGGCTGGGCTCACAGAGTCGGAATTCGCAATGTTTACCAAGGGATTGCTGACCGCATTGGCCGTGCAGAGCTGCGTCGCCGCAGTGTCAAAGGCCCGCGATGAACACGCGTCGTGTACGAAGACAACGGTCGCAATTCTGTGAGTGTCGCCTCTCGGGACAAAGGGGGAGTCGCGCTAATGTCGCTTGCAGGGGCGGTGGAATGGCCGGAGTCGCCGCGGCTGTGAGTATCGCCTGAATTGGGACAATGTCGGAGATTAATTCTGATCCGTTGTCGGTGTAGCAAGCGTTGCATAATTCCTCCATTGACGACTTTGTCATTATCGAGTATCGCGATACCCTTGGTGGACGTGTCGCCCATACCGACTTTGGCAAGGACGAGAATGGGAAGCCTTACACGGTCGAGCTGGGGGCCAATTGGGTATGTGGTACGGTTCTCTGTTGACGCTGGCATGGCTAATGCGGATTAGGTGCAAGGATTGGGCTCGCCGGGGGTCCTGGTATGTTCACCTCATTCAGACTGATAAAGTAAATGGCTAATGCAACACAGAAAACCCTATCTGGACTTTCGCGAAGAAATGGAATCTCAACAACACCTATTCCAACTACAGCTCTATCCTCACCTACGATGAGAATGGCTTCAATGACTACGCATCCATGCTGGATGAATTTGAGGACATGTACGACGAAGCCTCTGAGCAGGCCGGGATCCTTCTCAAGGAGAACCTGCAGGACCAGACTGCTCGCACCGGTCTTGCCCTCGCCGGCTGGCGACCCAAGATCGACGACATGAAAGCCCAAGCCGTCGAGTGGTGGGAATGGGGTAAGTCACCCCAACACACTACGAAAACACTTCTGCTGACAACTCCTCAAGACTGGGAAGACGCCTACTCGCCCGAAGAAAGCTCCTTTATCTTCGGCGCTGCCGGCGAAAACCTCACCTTCAACCAATTCAGCGATGCTAACAACTACGTCTGGGACCAGCGCGGCTACAACCACCTCATCAAAGGCGAAGCCTCGACCTTCCTGAAGAAGAATGACCCTCGTCTGCAGCTCAACTCCATCATCACAAATGTGACTTACACCGACTCGGGCGTGACAATCCACAAGAAGGACGGCAGCTGCGTGCAAGCCGCGTACGCAGTCTGCACCTTCTCCCTGGGCGTCCTGCAAAACAACGCCGTCTCTTTCAGCCCCAAACTCCCCTACTGGAAGCGGACCGCGATTGAGAAATTTAGCATGGGCACCTACACCAAGATTTTCCTGCAATTCAACGAAACCTTCTGGCCGCGCGATACGCAGTATTTCCTCTATGCAGACCCCACAACCCGAGGCTACTACCCGGTCTGGCAATCCCTCTCCGCACCCGGCTTCCTCCCCGAATCAAACGTCATCTTCGTTACCGTCGTCTCGCAAGAAGCTTATCGCATCGAGCGCCAATCCGACGAAGAAACTAAGGCCGAAGTCATGAAAGTTCTCCGGGACATGTATCCCGAAAAAGACATCCCCGACCCCATCGCATTCATGTACCCGCGCTGGACAACGACCCCCTGGGCCCACGGGAGCTACAGTAACTGGCCGCCGTCGACGACACTGGAGATGCACGAGAACCTGCGGGCCAACGTCAACAGGTTGTGGTTTGCGGGCGAGGCGACGAGCGCGCAGTACTTTGGTTTCTTGCATGGAGCTTGGTTCGAGGGGCAGGATGCTGGTGAGCAGATTGCGAAGTTGTTAAAGGATGAGTGTAAGAATGTTTCGGATACTAGTGTTGATTGTGGGGATCGCCGGTATTATGACACGCTTCATGGGTCGTCGCCGTTGGCGGATTATAGTGTTTTTGATGGGTGGGAGGTCAGTAGTTTTTACTCGAGTAGTTAGTTCAGCGTCGGATTGAAGCTTGTGGTATATAACACAGTGACCCGGGGCACCATGTTGGTGCATTCGTGTGGAATACTGTCAATATGCACCTATATACACAGGATTTTGTCCGCCGGGTGGGCCTTGCCTGTCTGGGCTGCCGCCCCTTTTATGAGGGCGGTCAGGCTCAGGCTCACTAAGTAAATGTCAGCACGGGCTCATGCTCAGTGATCTGGTCAGTGCAGTCATGTGATCGATCTGTGATCTAAAAGATAAAAGGCGACTTGTCCCATCCACCGTCCCATCAAAAACAGCATCCGTTTATTGTTTGCTTCTAAAGTCAACTCCTTCTCAAAGACTGCCTCTTCACCTTTCACGAGCTAACAACAAATACCGGGCTATGGGTCAAAAAGCTTTTTTCTCGAGGCGTGATGAGAAGGCCAGAGAAAGGCGCCGTCTCTTGCGGCAGAGAAATGGCTTTGTTCCCGGAGCCCACAAGGAGGAAGATGCTATTCGAAATAAGGATAAAAAACTTCCAAGGACAAAAAGGCTACATCAACAAACATTTAATCTCTGGCTTGAGTGAGTTTGACAGACAAAACAGAATCGTTGATGGTAATGCTGATTATTTCTTAGCTTCACTGCAGACCCAGAAAACGGATTTGCAGATTATAAAACTGTTCCAGGTTGCTTACCTCCAAGCCATAAAATGGTAAAAGAGTTCATTCGCTGGTATGCGACTTCCACCAGTGGCCGACTCTGTAAGAGCGGGAAACCAACAGTGAAAGAATTCTTATACCTTGCTAGTGTGAAGGGCTACGGCCGAATTGATTCAATTGAGCGGTACCAACATGCTGTTTATCTGAAGCTTAGAGAAGTTTAGAAATAGGGGGTGGCCAGCGGTGACTAAATATCCTGGGGACTTGATAGATCACATCGCACAGGCTTGGCCTGGGCAATAGATCGGGACTTGACCCGTTACAGCTAGAGCGTGAAAAAGCTCTCGGCCAGGGATATGGTTTGGAATACTATCCTCTTTGGGTGGGCTTTTCGGTTCTGGACTCCATGAAATTTTTGGGTAAGACTTCACGGCAGCTGGCTTCTTTTTAACCATGATCAAGGCGAGTAATGATAAAGCTGGGAAGAGGTGTTGGGAGTTTTGGAATTCCGGCGAAGCTGGAGATGACGTGGTAGGGATAAGAGAGGTATTCATAGGACGAGTTCAGAGGCGAAATTAGGGATGGAAATGACTTTAGAATCACGGATAGTATGTATGGTATTGTGTAAGATATATATGTTGACTATTATAAAAGTGTTGCGTGAAGAATGACATAGGAAAAATGCTATTCTAAAATCACTGGACATCATTTCTGGTACGGAGATCTCTAGTGGAAAATTATCGCAGACTTGAACGTCATACTAGTAGACTGGAATGACTAGCCAAGGTTCTAGCTGGTTTGAGTACCTGGGCCATAAGATTTATACCAGCTTAATCCTTTCTTGCATCGCCACAACTCCCACACTGCCCCAAAAGCTTTATCCTTCGACTCGGGGTCGGTATTTGCTTCCGGGAGTATGTTGACAATTGCTTCGTGCCCATTTTCCGTAGCTAAGGAAAGCGATGTTTGGCCAATTTCCTTATACACGGACTCAACACCAGCACCCGCTTGTAGAAGCAGCCTGAAGACACTCTGATGGCCGTTCTCCGTTAGCCTAAAGCAACGGCGCCTGGCCGCATATCATATTCTTAGACTCGAGGTCAGCGCCCTTTTTGAACAGTAGCGTGACGATAGTGTCGTGCCTATTCAGCGCAGCCCATAACACGGCATACACACCAGCCAATAGACCCAGAAGACGCCTATCATCAATCGAAGAAGAATTCGTCACACCGCAATCTCGGCCACAGCCACAAAGATATCAGACTGCCTCAAGTCGGAGTCAGACACCACGGTCCATATTTAGTGCGTCGAGAGGAGGTTCAACCCCAAGGACACCAGCCGAACTAGATGATGGTCTTGGCAGAAGCGGCATCAATGACCGAGGTGGAAGCCGACAGTCCAGCCAGTCGATACCTGAACGAAACAATTTGTCACGAAGAAGTCGAGAAGGTACAAGATCCAGCTCAGCACGGGGCGAAAGACCGAACAGAAGTGGACGGTGTTGTAATTCAGAGGAAGATTGCTTGTATTCCTTCTGGACAGAAAACTTGAGGGTTTATATACACATGCGACCTCCAGATTGATTTCCAATCAAAGCTGGTAATTCCGTGAGGTTAGGAATTGATTCCGTTACGATACGACATATCACAACAGACGGTCAACACCAAGGCCGCACACCGATCCAAAAAGAGGGGTTAAATGCCCGATCTACCTGGCCATTCAACAATATCAGGGCAAGCAGGTCTCCTGATTCATCTAGGGCAACACAGGAGGTATTCCGTGGTAGTACGCGGCCATCGAATTCCAATAGAGGAAACTTATAATACAAGACCCCAGACTCCTCTCGATCGAAGGGAAAGGCACGGGAGGAGCAGAGGTCCGATAGCACCCCAAGTTCCTTAAAGTCAAAAGGGCGAGGCCCAATTGATTCTCATTCAAAGAGAAATCAGTCAGCGGGAGCTACCCCAGGCTCGTCAGGATCCAAGAGACAAAAGAAGAAAGCCAAAAGCAAGCGTGGAAGTAAATTTGCAGGAGACTTTCGTCGCCCAGCAACTCGCTCTAAAGGAGTAGAATTCGCTTAGGTCATATATAGCTCTAATTGAATTAGCTTTCGCGATACTCAAAGTCTACGGATAGAAGGCTCAAGTTTTTTCTCAGTATCACATTATTCGAATATCTTTCTATTATATCTTCTCAGTCTTCAAAGGAAAAAAAAATGATCTCCCTTGAAGATGCAAGAGAAGAACTCCGATAGGGGAATCGAAGCCCCGGCAGCCGTGTGAGAGATCACACCGGTGGAGCCTATTCGGGTTTAGGTTTTAGTTTTTATACTCTGGGTTTAGCACCATGTGTCCCTATGCACACCCGTGCGTGCGTGTATCACCTCGGGCCCTCTACCCACTTCGATCCAACAGCCCCCAACTTGCTGTGCATTCTCTTCCCTGCTCTTTGCAGCTGAGGCATTTTCGCTATTTATCAGAATCACCTAATGCTCCGTCACCCCCTTTCACCGACATCCAGCGCGTCGCTCGTTTCTCTGCGAATTCCGCCTCGTTCATCCATGCCCGGGCTATAGAGATCTGTACCTAAGTCTGACCACCCTGCGTGACCTAAAAATACTCCAAACAATCTTACAAGTAGTTTTGTCTTCTGAAACAGTATTCTGAATGGTCTTTTGCACCGTCACCTAACACCATGGACCGCTCCTAATCTTGTACCGTCGATGGAGTATCAACAAGTGTGAATACGTAGCAGGGTTCTTCGTGTTTTTAGTGATTTTTCTCTGTCGGTCTTGCATCAGCCATAAACTAGAAATGAGCCATCAAGATGGGGGAAAAAGGGAGAGGGAGGTAGGGCCGCTACCTACAACCTTCCGTACAATGTAGTTATTCGAGATCATATGATCTTCAAGCCGCACTACATGGCTTCGTCCACCGTCATTACTCCATCCACCGTGCCATCCATTCCCGCAGTATGAACTGCCACGAGTTTGCAAAGTGCCGTGCTTCTGGGAAGATACCTGCAGGGTGCCTTACTGGCCCCTCAAAACCACGAGTTTGTGCCAAGACTGCGGCTGATCGTCACCTGAGTGCCCGGGTGGGGGCTGGGGTCCCCTATTTTCTGGGGGTTAGAACTTGCACTCTACCGATAACAGCACACAACAACACGTGCACCTTCTTCTGACCATGGATTCGATATCCTTTGGGGACGGAAATAGGGGCGCTCAGTTTGGCAACCATCAAGGACCAGTCCATATCCACTACGGTATGTGTGCAGCCATTTCAAGCGGACAAATCCATTGACAGCGTGGCCCAGGCCAACAGGAAATACAACAGCAGAGCATAGACAGCGGTTGGTATTACCTTTTATTAGACAAAGAGCTATCACTGATTATAGTGGCAGGGGTGCTCAGGTCACTTGCTTTCCCCCAGATGCTAGATCGAAGAGATAACATCGAGAAATGTCATACCGATACCTGCCAGTGGATTTTAAACTTGGACACTTTCAAGAACTGGAAGAGCCAGTGTCACGGTCTACTCTGGATCAAAGGCAAGCCGGGTGCGGGCAAATCTACATTAATGGCATTCCTGCATGACAAACTCGGAGAATCGCATGACGGGACTCAGGGCATCCGGCTCGACTTTTACTTTAGTACTCGAGGCACTGAGCTACAACGAACACCCATAGGAATGCTACGATCGCTGCTCAATCAAATATTTTACCTAGACGAGACCGTACGCTCCCAGGTTCGCGAGATCTACGAGCAACGATGCAGACGGTATGGATATGGTGAAAACGACTGGCAATGGACACAAGTTAGGCTAGAAGAGCTACTGGCAGATACGATCCTGACATCGGCCAAACGGCAGCAAATGATGATTTTTGTGGATGCTCTCGATGAGGCTGGGTCCGAGTCCGCTCAGCATCTAGCAGCGTATTTCCACCGGCTCATCTTTCGCGCGGAGAAAATGGAAGCAGCTGTCCAAGTTTGCATCTCATGTCGACACTATCCTATCATAGGAGACGCCAGGGCTGTTGAGATTAATGTTGAAGATTATAACCATGACGACATCGCCATTTACATCAAGGACGCCTTTACTAGTATGGCGGTCAAAGACGACCGTAGTCAGGCAAAAATGGAAACTTTGACAGAGCACTTGCTCTACCAGGCTAAGGGAGTGTTCCAATGGGTCCATCTCCTAACACCTCTGATTAAGCAGAGGATCATCGAAGGGGATTCGTTTGATGAAATCTACTCCTGGTTGCGTGAGGTCCCGATTGGTCTAGAAGAGGTGTATACATACATTCTCGACAATGTGATACAGAACAGGAATCGTGAGCAGTCATTTCTGTTCTTTCAATGGGTATGCTTAGCTGAGCGACCCCTGACCGTGACCGAAATGAGGTATGCCCTAGCGGCTAAGTATGCCCGAACTTTGGCATCTCCCAAAGCATGGGAAGATATCCCCGGTTTTGTCGAAAGCGACGAACGCATGAAGCGAAAGGTCAATGCTCTTTCTGGTGGACTTGCCGGGGTAGTCTCCAGCGGGTATGACTCTGAAACTATACAGGTAGTGCATCAGTCTGTTAATGACTTTTTTTGCACTAAAGGCTTTAGGCTTATGTCTTATCAAACTGGTACCACCTCGTCAATTATGGATTGTGAAATGATTCGATTTCGATGCCAGGCAAATCTCTACCGATCATGCCTAGTTTACCTAACTACTGCAACGACGGCCTGGAGAATGTCAAATAATCCTTCAACAACAAAAGATGACATCGTCCAGGACCACCCATTGCTTGCCTATTCCACCATCAACCTCTTCATCCATGCGGAAAAGGCTGCAAGCTCTCGGGCAGAGGTTCTGAAGAATGAAAAGGATATCCTGCAGCAAGTGATTAGTCCTTGGGTCCAGACTTTCCGTATTTTAGATCCATACAGCACTGAACGTCCTCTAGATGGCACAACTCTCCTGCATATGGCTGCAGCTTCTGACCTGGTTGATGTTATTGAGTTTGTGTTGGAGAGGAATAATAATGTCGCGATAAAGGATGAACTCGGGAACACGGCTCTTCATCTAGCCGCACGACGGGGTCATATAACAGCAGGCAAAATCCTACGGGAAAGGGGTGCAGACTGTGACGCAAGGAACAGGATGAGGATGACGCCACTGACTGTGGCGGCTAGTCATGGCCGTTTGAAATTTATTGAGTGGCTCCTGTATGAGGGAGCTATGGCTGAAAGATGTGCTGCAGGAGACGCATTGGCATTGCAAGCCGCTGCCCTAGGAGAACATTCTGATGTGGTACGTATGCTGCTTGATGCTCATGCCGATGTCAATGCCCAGGGTGGCGAATATGGCAATGCCCTCCAAGCCGCTGCCATTAGAGGAAGCACTGAGATAGTGTGCATGCTACTCGATGCTCAAGCCGATGTCAATGCCCAGGGTGGCGAATATGGCAATGCTCTACAGGCCGCCGCCTTTAGAGGAAGCACTGGGATAGTGCGCATGCTGCTCGATGCTCACGCTGATGTCAATGCCCAGGGTGGCGAATATGGCAATGCTCTACAGGCCGCCGCCTTTAGAGGAAGCACTGAGGCAGTGCATATACTGCTCGATGCTCACGCCGATGTCAACGCCCAGGGTGGTCGACATGGTAATGCCCTACAGGCCGCCGCGTATGGAGGAAGTACTGGGGTAGTGCGCATACTACTCGATGCTCACGCCGATGTCAATGCCCAGAGTGGGGAATATGGCAATGCTCTACAGGCCGCCGCCTTTAGAGGAAGCACTGAGGTAGTGCATATACTGCTCGATGCTCACGCCAATGTCAATGCCCAGGGTGGTCACTATGGCAATGCTCTCCAGGCCGCCGCCTATAGAGGAAGCACTGGGATAGTGCGCATGCTGCTCGATGCTCACGCTGATGTCAGTACCCAGGGTGGTCACTATGGTAATGCCCTCCAAGCCGCCGCCATTAGAGGAAGCACTGAGATAGTGTGCATGCTGCTTGATGCCCACGCCGATGTCAATACCCAGGGTAGTCTGTTTGGTAATGCCCTACAGGCCGCCGCCTCTGGAGGAAGCACTGAGATAGTGCGCATACTACTCGATGCTCACGCCAATGTCAATGCCCAGAGTGGGGAATATGGCAATGCCCTACAGGCCGCCGCCTCTGGAGGAAGCACTGAGATAGTGCATATACTGCTCGATGCTCACGCCAATGTCAATGCCCAGAGTGGGGAATATGGCAATGCCCTCCAAGCCGCCGCCATTAGAGGAAGCACTGAGGTAGTGCGTATGCTGCTCGATGCTCACGCCGATGTCAATACCCAGGGTGGTTACTATGGTAATGCCCTACAGGCCGCCGCGTATGGAGGAAGCACTGAGGTAGTGCGAATGCTGCTCGATGCTCACGCCGATGTCAATACCCAGGGTGGTCAATTTGGTAATGCCCTACAGGCCGCCGCCTCCGGAGGAAGTACTGAGATAGTGCGAATGCTGCTCGATGCCCACGCCGATGTCAACGCCCAGGGTGGCCACTATGGTAATGCTCTACAGGCCCAGGGTGGTCGACATGGTAATGCCCTACAGGCCGCCGCGTATGGAGGAAGTACTGGGATAGTGCGCATACTGCTCGATGCTCACGCCGATGTCAATGCCCAGGGTGGTCACTATGGCAATGCTCTCCAGGCCGCCGCCTATAGAGGAAGCACTGGGATAGTGCGCATGCTGCTCGATGCTCACGCTGATGTCAGTACCCAGGGTGGTCACTATGGTAATGCCCTCCAAGCCGCTGCTGCTGCTTTTGAAGGAAGCACTGAGGTAGTGCGTATGTTAGTCGATGCTCATGCCGATGTCAATACCCAGGGTGGTCAATTTGGTAATGCCCTGCAGGCTGCCGCGTATAGAGGAAACATTGAGGTAGTGCGCATGCTGCTCGATGCTCAAGCCGATGTCAATGCCCAAGGTGGCGAATATGGCAATGCTCTACAGGCCGCCGCCTCTGGAGGAAGCACTGAGGTAGTGCGTATACTGCTCGATGCTCACGCCGATGTCAATGCCCAGGGTGGTAAATATGGATCGCCTCTTCATGCGGCTCTTGGTAACAGTCGTTCCGATATCATTGCTTTCCTTCTTACCGCAGGCGCAGATCCGCTGCTTCCAGATGAGCTCGGCCAGACTTCGCTTCATATTGCGGCCTCAGGAAATTTGATGCACATTCTCCCTAGCTCTCCGCGTCTCGCCTCAGCTATTAACGACCGGGATAAGCTATTACGAACCCCTCTCCATGTCGCCATCCACCGAGGGCAAATCACGTCTGCTATCTCACTCCTCGACCTCGGTGCAGATCCTTCTATTCTGGACGGTTGTGGGAGAAATATCGTGGACTGGGTACAAGAACACCACATCCTGATGCACAAAATTCAAACCTATTGCCCTCAGACTCGCTCGACGCCGAATGAGACTCAGCACTCTACTATTCGTCAATCAGTCCTTCTTATATCAGACATGCTTCTTCGTTCCATGCCGAACTTCCAATGGCCTCTTGTGCAGCAATTAGGTCGCTATCTCTTGTTTCTCGATGATGAAGACAACGCGAACTATCTATTTCAACTCCATTTATCTCAGGACACGGTACCTCAAGCAGGGATATTCAAAATTGCCTGCACAAGATGTGACGATTGGATCTCTGGTCCCCGTTCTGTCTGCCGGAGATGTGCCTATGTTGATCTATGCTCGTCCTGCGTCCAAAGGTACCCCTACCACAGCCCATTGCACCCAAATCAAAAGCACAAAACCTTGGACGTGTCACATGTGCCTGATACAGGGTTGCATTCCGGATCAGTGTCCGAGCGATTAGGCCACTTTTTGAGCAATCTTATGCATGAGTATTCTGCGCCATGCACCCATCAAACCGAGACAAGGCTATCAAATAATTCTGTGTCTTCCCCGGTGGCAGGGAAGGCTACTCTTCCGTCACGGACCATTTTTGGTCCAGCAATAATCGTTTGCATTTTTCTATTCGGACTTTCTGCCGTTATATTGGGATTAGGATACTTTTAGCTCTGTTTGAATACATCTTTCGAGTCTACATCTTTCAGCAGGATGAATTCAATATGGAGTTCTCCATCTGTTTGTTCTAAGAATGAGTAGATGACGCAATGCATGCAATCTCCGTTGACAGGGATTCTTGGTTAAGTTCCAGTGTAGATTAGTTAGTGTTTCGAGAAACAATCGAAGAGTGTACGTGATCATACCGATTTCCTGAAGTACTGTATACCAGTGGCTCTTTCGGTCAAAATGCAACGCTGCGACCCAGAAACCAGCAACTCAGCAAAAAGGAGGGTTGGACCTCAATATGAGGTTATGAGTTCTCCTCTCGTCGATCCTTGGTTCACTTATGCTCGACTTCATATATAGCGCACACATTTGTCATATAACTCATAATGCGCTCTTCACACATCAGGGTCTTTGCCTTGACCCATCCAAAACCTCTACCTTCAACCCCGCATGAAAATGGCCTTGAGCACTTTCTCTTCTTTTGTGCCAACCGTATTGACCCACCATTCAATGAAAACATCAAAGCCTTGGTCGGGGTCCCTTTCATAATAGCTGCAATTATATTTGATGAAATTTCTTTTTGAACTCAGCGAGTAGCTCCTCTAATGAATTTAAATCCAGCGAATAAGGCTGGGTGGAACTACACTTTTGTGGGGGGATCGTCACGAGTGAACAATGGAACTATTCAGATCCGTAAGTAAAACGATAATGGCGTCGCTATTGAGTCTTACTAACTTGATGCAGAGTATGATCTCAAGACAGATATTGCTCACTATCTACAAACCCGGAGGGTTAACTCGGGTGCGAACACTCTTGAAGATGTCATCAACTTCACCGTCAAGCTGTGGGATCTTGTGTCTCCAGAGGGCCAATGCTGTTTTCCTGTCCTAGTTGCAGTAGATCAACTGGGTGATCGGTCGACATCTGGAGAATACTGGTTGTCCAAGAACACCCAGGCTTGCCTTTATCAAGAAGGTCCGGCTGTCCTTTTTGAGAAGTACAGGCTCGATGTGCTCGTGCTGCCGACTGAATTCTCGTCTTCGCGACTCGGTGCCGTAGGGATACTTCCCGTTGGGTCGGTTCCTCTGGGCTATGACGATATTAATCTGCCATTCGGTATGGCTTTCTTGGGGCGACGGTATGACGAGGGATCTGTCATTCGCTCCATGTCTGCGTATGAAGCAAACTTCCCTGCTCGCAAGGTGCCACATCTGCTGGAGTAAGGTACGGCATGGAGTAGCAGGCTCAAGATGCATGGTATGTGGCAATAGTATAGAAGATGGTACAACATTATTGGATATCTCGGAGAGATAAATCAAGGTGTAGCAATAGTATAGCGAAGGGCAAGGGTGGAGATTTAGAGCTAGGGACGCTGTCTCTTTACTAAGAGATAGAGATTAGGATTAAGTCCTCCAACAATCGCGAAATTTACCTTCTTTCTTTGTGGTGGTGTCGATTGAGACACAAGCGTGTGCAGGGGTAATTCTGATCTTCTGACCCTTCTGTCGCAAGGTTCTTCAGCCAAATCCAGTAAACATCACTTTCCTGAGACTTGTAACCACTTAGCACTAGAATTACCCTGGAAAAGACGAAATACTATGAATCGTGCATTAGGGTTTATCTAACAGGCTATGATAGCGTTGACTTTTACAACTTTGAAGTGCTCTCCTCGCGGCCAACAAGGTTAGGGTGGCCGTCGTTCATTGGTCGGGTGACAGCGTAGAAAGCAACACCCTCAGACTTTGTTGAGAACTATAAATGGGTCAGCAAGTGTATACAGGTTGATTGGAGTACAGAGAACTAACCTGAGCCTTGGATCCAACATGGAAGAAGGCCCAGTCTCCAGCAACGAGGTGGTGGGTCTTGCCAGTGGCCTCGTCCTGTATGTTATCAGTATCATTCGTAATAGAGATTTCGAGATCGACTGGGATCTTACTGTGATGTCGATTTGACCCTTGAGAACATACTTGGTCTCCTCGTAGTTGTACTCGCCGTATCGTGTAGGTCCGGGCACAACACGGTAGAATCCAGTGGTCAGGTAAGGGGTAGAGTGTGAGCTCTGGGATTTGATTGAGTGGAAGTCGGCGATAATGGCGCATTCGCCCTCGGGGATAGGGATGTGCTCATGGCCGGCGCCCTTGATAATGGTAAGAGGAACGATCTTGTTGTTAGACACTAGAGATGTTAGCACAAGATTTTAGACGACGACTAAGTGTATCTTACTGTTGATGCGTATAGATAAAGACTAGAGATATAGACAAGTAGGTACGAGACAAGCTGTCAGCACCTGCTTATATACCGATTGAAACGGAGCATTCTCGGCATAGATAGTGTGTTATCAGACCTTGAGATACGGGGTCCGGCTCCGGGGCCGTAGCTCCGTGCTACCTCTCAAGCTTATTCAGCTGCCACTAAGCTACAAAAAGGGTTAGTGTCAGCGAATTAAGGTGGACCGAGACATAACGTGATCGGAACCTCACGGCCCTTGGCCCGATTATCCTGGAGGAAAACCTATCTTCCATTACCTTGTCGGTATTTTGTTATAAGATCTGAGTTCCGAATGTCTCATCTGGTTGGCTCGGCCATCAAGGGACCCTGGGGCCACGGTTGCTTCTTCCCGCCCCTCTGTGGCTACAGCCAATAAAAATGATCTTTGATACTTGTGACTTGCAGCAGTATTCACTCAAACTCAAGTATTCATGGTCAAATGGAGATGGAGGGACGGCCCCGTAAGCATCCGGGGTAGCTTCTACATCCTCGCCTTACAAGCGGTGAACAGGCTTAAGCTCGACATCGAGGCCATTATTAGGTGATAGCCACTATCAGGTGTTATTAGTAATCTCTTATTTAAATCAGCCTTCTGAATTGCAACACTAAACGAGATCATAAAATCAGACCGATGGTACAGTATGGATGGACGGATGGATGATATCATTTACCCTGACCCCTCGCGGAAAGCCAGATCCCAGATCACGTGATGTATAGGTATAGCAGTGACAGCCTGTCAGGCTGCCACCACCACTCTAGGCAGAAGGCAACTACTGTGACTACAAATAGCTGCGGCTACTCGCATAGTTACGATATGAACTACATCACACCTGTACCTCAATTCAGGGTCTCAACTCGGAAAGCGATATGCAGGCTACAACAACTTTGTAAATACATGATACTTGATCCACTGAGATTGTTCCAAACTGCCTGAACGGTGAGCTTTGAGCCTCACCTGGTAAAGCCTTTCGTGGCCTCGTTGCCCTTTTTGACGTTAGGCTGCCCTCGTGGCGCGGCTATAGTGTGTTCCCAGATAGGGCAGCCAACAGTTGTCCGCGGTTGACTGCATCTCCCCTAGAAGTTGCGAGACTGCTGGTAGTGCTGAGATTAAAACCTTGGTTAGGGACAGTGCGGCAGCAGGAAGCAGATCAGGCCGACTCGCAAATGCAACATCTGGTCGAGTCCAGATCGCGGGGAAAAGGGTAGAACCGCACTTCTGCTGATAGAGATTAATGAGATTATCATCTAATATCTCTTGATCCGATGTCGAGTCCAGACAGTGAGATGAGAGTGGTACTCGAGGAATTCGGTGATTCATCAGGTGAAATTTAGCAGTTATCTTCTCAATAGAGGCTGATTGATCGAGCCACGTCTTCCGATTTTTTCGACCTCGAGTGATTCGAATACCGATAAACTGGGTAAGTTCTCCACAGTCTTTCATCTCAAATTGCTGTTGCAGTATTTGTTTGATCGTTAAACGCCCAAGGATCATCAAGAGTTGCAAGGCGAATGGCATTCTCAACATCGCGCTTTCGGAACGCTGGTCCGCGACCGAGACAGATAGGGAGGAGGGAAAGATCTACGACAAGGTCAGTATATGCACGGACAGGAAGACACAAAGAACGATTGATCTCAGCATTACTCACATTTAATGAAGGTCGCTGCGTTGAGCTGCGGAGCCGAATTGAACCGGGGACTGGAGAGGGGCGAGCTCGGGTCCTGAATACGAATCCCTCGCTGCTGTAGCAGCCTTTGCACACCACTCGCATCCATCCACTCATCAGCACCCGATTCATTGACAATTTGCCACGTTCGAGAGGAAACGGTGAGTTGTTCAGGCGAGTAGCTGTTCCTCCTTGAATTGAGAACTTTTGTGCTCAACTCGATCGTGTCTCCCATTTCGTCGTTTTCGTCGTGCATGGCGGCGAGGAATCTGAAGATGAAGCGGTTGCGCTCCTCGATGGTCAAACGTTTGCCGAAGACTGCTTTGACCCTTGATTCGTCTCCAGACGAGCTTGTTAATAGATGGTATCCAACCTCGCAGCATTGTCGGACCAGACGGTGTGAGAGTGTCCAGCGCCCTTGCTTTAAGAGATAGTCGGGCGATACTGTGGTCGGGAAATTCAAGACGGGACTAGGGATGGATGAGAAGGGGATATTCGGAGATGGCAAGACCATTCCGAACGGTATAGTTGCTTGTTCTTGGTAGGGTGGCATGGGGGGTAGTTGCGATAGTCCAGGCCATTGAGCCGCGAGGTCCGACGAGGACAGGAAAGCGTCACCGATTATTGGCAATGAATCATGTTGCGTTATGAGCGGATTGTAATTTGAGATTATATCTTCTGAATCGCTGAGCGTGGGAGACGTCGATGGCGATACGTCTGCCGGGGCTGTAGGTGCTTGTTCGGCCTCGTCGCAGCCACTTTTGGCAAGCGACACGCATTGCTGTGTAATTTTTTGCAGAGCAGTTGTGACACGAGGCTGATTTTGGAGGATCCCAGCCTCGAACAGAAGATTACTGAAGGAAAGGAACGACTCGCTGAGCTCTTCGATGCCCGACTTGAGTTCCTGTACGCGAGATTGCAGATTGACGATCGTGGTCTCTTTTCTCTTGCGATATGCTTGCTGCGCGACGCGAAGCTGCTTTCGACGTCTCTGGATTCCTTGAGTCAGTTCCAACTTGCTCTGTAGTTGCTCGAGATGTACCCACCTCGGGAACTTGCGGATCGTTCGTCACAGTTCGTGGCCGGCCTCTCTTGCGAGGCGCGGGCGCGTCAGTCATTGCTTCGACCATCGTGTATTGCTTTTGAGGCCTTTCTTTATCTTGAAGACCTGCAGTGATGTAATGGATAATCTGAGAACGCGAAAAGGACGTGACGGCGTTGCTTTACTCATCTGGGTCGGGGGCGGCGGGACTGTTGAATAATCGAAAAATCGGTGGATCGCCACGATTGGCCCGAACACCGTCCAAAAAGTTTATTGCTAAGCGGCTTCCAAGGAATTTTACTGTATGTCAGGAGAATGGTGATCGGCATCGTATTGACTTACAGTAAACGGTACATCTGAGGCTTCCGAGGATATGGTATTCGGTATTGGGATTACGCGTACTTTTCGCCACGTGTCACAGCACTAGGGAGTGTCGCGGCACTGCAACACATGCCGGGATCGCAAACCCGAAAACAGTACGGCAGCATCAGTTAAGTACTGCCTCTGTTGCAAACACTAACTAGCAAAATGGATACTTCGGACAATCTTTACGGCCACCGGACAAATGAGCTTGCCGCCCAAAGGCTTCAGTGCTACAATGGATGCGCCGTCATTGACTTCCACCACCTTAAGTTTGAGACGAACCCTACCCTTGGAGGCCGCCAACTAGATGAACGCAATGTTGAGATGCTTCTCAAAATATATGAAATAGAGGGCTGTGGCAACCTTGAGACAGAACACAGAATCGCCGCCCTGCTAGACCAAGAAAAAGTGTCAACTCTGAGAGAGGTAAAATACTGTGGATTCTCCACTGCTCTTGGTTATTCAGCATCCACCCACATTGCAATAGTAATTGTATGGTAATTCGGGTCATTCTCGGAAGAACTGTGATGTAATACGCAGTTTATAGCCCCTGGATCATTTTTCAACAGATCGGAACACACAGACACACTCTCGTTAATCCATCTCATGCATCAATTGGCCGTCCCTCGATACTAGATGATACACGTATCCGACATCCTGACAGTTATGAGCCCGGTTAGCCGCGCCGCACACGTGTAACTGCGAGCGTACCACCCCTGGCAGCACTGCAGCAGCGATTCGCACGATCGGGATACCCCTGAACGCACGCATCACGCGAGAAATTGGAACCTCGCCCCGCGCTCAACGCAGCAATCCCGTACCCTTGAACCTAGTATCAGCACAGTATCAGTATCATCGCGAGAGAAGACAGGATGGCCGATTCACA